CGTCAGCTCGCAGCAGAGACACTTGCAGGTCGAGCTGCATGGAAAAGGGCTGGACGATAGGAGAGCCGAGCTGCTGAGGAAGAGGATTGGAAGTCGTCAAGTTTGCAGGAGACTCGAGCTCGGCCTTAGCCAGGGTGACCTGATGAGAGTCAATTGTTGACGTCAAAGGAGGAGTGGAAAGGAAGGAAGAGAGCGAGGAGAGAAGGAGCTGTAGACGCTATGATAGTGGTTTCAAACATACTTGCACGCAATCGAGCGAGACTTTCATCGGCAGGAAGAACATTTGCTGCATGGTCTGCTTCTGTTCCTCCGGGTCTGTTGATTGCAAAGCCTTTGAGACCAACCTGTCAAAGAATCTCAACAGAGGCAGAGAGGAGGGGAAGGAATTCTTTCACCTCATGATGCCGTTATGAGTGTAACCGAGACAGCCGTAGGGTGAGCTCGAGAAGACAATCTCGGCCACGTCCACGACGAAGAGGCTGCGGCTGTGCAGGCTGACATCGAGAGGGAGAAGCAGCTTGAGGGACTTTGCCCGCAGGTTGAGAAGGAACCCTCCTCCCATGTGGTCGATCTTTTGACATCGTCAGCTGCTACCCAGCAGGGATCACGTCACACCCACCATGTACTGGAGCTTTGCGGCCAGCAGGCCTGGGCCATCGCCGATGGAGTTGAGGGCGTCGAGGACGAGGTGCTCGTGGAAGGGATACTCGAACTCGGGGACGAAGAAAAGAGCAAGAGCTTGCAGGCAGTCGGGGGACAGCGAGACTTCCAATGGGTTGAGGAGCATGTCGATGATGGCAGATGGCTGCCTAGAGTCCTGTCGGGCAGTGATGACTGTGACTTCTACCTGCAGCAGGAGGTTGAGTCAGTGACTGATGGAGCCGTCCTCTCTTCTGAACCTCTAGGGCGTTCGAGCTTGAATCTTCTTCGTCCTCCTCCTCGTGGTCAGTAGGCATGTACCTATACTCGCTCCTCAATTCTTCTCTACCGCACAATGGAGGGAGAGGACTTTGAAGATCTCACCAGTTCCCGGGAGAGCACTTCATCTTGGGAGGTTTGGAGACGATCAGCCAGGGGTAGCAGGAGTGAGAGGTGAGCATGTCTCGAGCCTTCACGCTCTTGACAGAGCAAGAGATGCGAAATTCTCTCTCCAACATTCTCATGGACAGGGAGGTGTCATGTACGTAAACCGTCATGATCTCCTGTAAAGCAAACGTCATCCCTAAGGCACGATCATGGTCCTTTGGGTTTCCTGGATCCCGACGATTTGCGGAGAGTCTTCGTCCTCGACCTCCTCGCCATGCTCATCCTCGTCGGGCGCAATCAGGACAGCGAGAGTGACGGAGATCTCTTTGATCTTGACGTCAACCTGCACCAAGTTGAGACCGTCAAACCTCCCGAATGACTTAGATGGGAACCTTTGGTTGGAGCTGGGATTGGCTAGTCGACGACTCTTGCTTACCAAACCAACTGATGAACAAACCAATTAAGCCGAAATCTGTTTCAAACACAAATTTCCAACATGTTGGCCAAATGTTGAGCTTCTTCTGTCTTCAGCCCCATAATTTCCTGACGAAAACATCAAACCACCTTAAAGCTCTCGCTTCAAGATTACCTGCCCTCCTTTAAGACTTCGATTCAAGCGATTCTATGATTTCAAAAAAGGAGTCAAATCTAAGACATTGAGTAAGATTTTGCTCACAGCATCTGCATTTGCAAGACTAGCAAGAGCATCCTTCTTTCTCGTCTGATCGCTGTCTCTGCCCTCCAACAGTGAGGTGAAGGAACTATCACTCTCAATTCGAGGTAAGGAATTGTCCGAGCTGCTCTCAGCTTGTCCGAGCTTAAGAAGAAAGTCTTCCTGTTCCTTCGTGAGCGAAACATCCAGACCCATGTCCTCCAGCCCAGCCGTCGCATCCTCTTTGTCTGAGCTTCCGTTGCTGTTTGCAGCCTTCAAGTCGCTTGATCGTGCGGCCCAACGAAGAAGCCCCCACTTGTACCAACCTGTTTGGCTACCAGCAAAAGCTAAGCTGGTGCTCAACTTTGGGGTTCAGAGTCACCTGGACTGATCTCTTCCGGCCAACTTCTCCGCGACTCCACGTGCAAACATGATGCCATCAACAGGCAGGCGGGATTCGATCTGAGCAAGCTGAGTGCAACATCAGCCTCACACACTACAAGAGTAGACGTCGCTTGCCTTGCGCTTGTTTTCGTTTGTTGCTCGATTCATCAGGATGAGTCGATAAAGTTCGGTATACTCCCGACGATCATTGAGATAGCCTTGTAGCTGAAACCACGACAACCTCCATCTGGACCTCCGGATCTGAGCCAGAGTTGATTCAATGGCGAAATGCCACAGCATTTTCGGATTCATGAAGCCCTACAAGAGCGAAATCATCACTGCGTGGAAGTTGGAAAGTGAAATCACATGTTGGATAGGCCGAAAGCTTGCATTCCGCCTTCGCAAGTCGAAGATTTGAAACCAGTCGACAATCCTGAAGATGTCCCACAGTTGTCCCACTTCGATACAAGTGTTGACTTGTGGCATCTCTACCAATATCTCGATCTTGGAGTTGTAGAGATAGCTGTAAAGCCTTCAATCGAGAACCCAAGCTGCCCAGTCGTACGGACCTTCCTTTGACGGTAATGTCGCACGGCTGCAGCAAAAAATGATGGATCAGGATCTCATCCTAGGTTCAAAACTTCAGAGAAGCTCCGCAGGGTTGCTATGGCAGCAGAACCTCTGACGGAGCGACGTAGAAGATATCTCCTTCATCGTCCTCGTGCACGGACGGCACGGACGGCTTGTCCCCTCCCTTCCACAGCTCGAACAGCGAAGAGAGCTCCTGCACCACTGGCGTCACCAGGTGATGATGAACATCGCAGGCCGACGAAAACACTAAACGCTCACTGGAAGGCTCAGATGGGAACATTGAGTTGGAGAAACGTCTCGATCCCAGTAGAGCGAGGCCCCTTTCACCTGTACACCAGAAGCTCAGACCTCTTCCTCCCATGGTCAGCACTCTCTTCACCTCGAGGAGTTGCTGAGATGACCCGCTTGCCTTCGTCAAGATCTCATCGCACATGAAGCCGAAGGCAATCGGCGGTCCTCCGGACACAGAGGAATCAGCCTGCAAACCTTGACGATCAGCATGCGTTAAGGGGGAGTACGGGACAGCACCTCTATCCGCACGTGAATGTCATAGATGCGAAGCTCAAAACAACTGAGCAACCGACTCATCAGCCGTGACGTGAAGGATCGAAACGCGCCAGAAGACTGTATCAGAGTCAGATGCAAAACAAAGCAATAACAAAATTCGCAGAATGAACCACCTTGCTCCTTTTTGCTATCTCTGCCGCAGCGATGGAGGCTTGCTTCGATATCTCAGAGTATGTCTCAGCATTGACTGGCAACAAAGACTTCTCCTCGATTTTCAGGATGATGTGAATCTGTTTCAGCTCAGCAACGACTACTTTGGTTCCGAGATATTTCCATGGAATGGAGACTCGCAAGCTTCCAACTGCACATCAGACGCGGGAGCATCAGACAACAGCCTCACACGTTCAGCTCTCACCATAGCCTGCTTCAATCGAGATGGGCAACCCGAGCCCGTCAAGGCTATCACTCCTCAGCTCAAGGTCGTCGAGAACAACCTGTACGGGCAGGTATAACAGACAGAAGGAGTGCATAAGAGATGTTTCCTACCTCTCCTTGCCACACACCAACACGAAGCTGCTCATGCGGAATGTTCTTGACGAATTGTGAGGCCCGGTTACTGAGGAGATTCGCGACGAAGGATTCGAACATTTCTAGGTACAGTCGTTGACCCCCACTTAAGGGCTGGAAGCGCTCTCAAACGATTCTTCACTTCTTGATGCTCCCAACATGTCGCCTCTGCTCTCTGACATGTTGCGAGTGAACGCATGTCGCACGAGGGCACATCGCTCCCGTGCAGCTGTGCCGGCTGGAAGCTGCCCGTGCATGACGACCGGTGGAACGGTGTAACTAGCTATTCCAGTTTTCATAAGGGAATACAGCCCGCCTCATCTGGATAATAAGTTGAGTCTATTGGCAGCAAGTCAACTCAGCAGTGACCTGCCGCGGCCTCGGCGGCGCAGCCTCGATGGAGTCTCTCAGGCGGGCCTCAGCGCCGGCGTACACATGATTCAAGTTCTAATCGCTTGAATCTCGCGGATGGCGATATCCCCTGAGCCTCAGATGCATCTTCAAGGAGCGATCCTCAGATAATGAGAGCAAGTAACAGGGTACGGGATATTTGGGACAGGAAGTCTTGGTCGAAGGAGGAGGAGCTAGTCGAAGGATGCCCCTTTCTTGGTTTTTGTCTCCTGCCTTTCATCAAGGAAATTTTTCCTCCTTCACATCGATTGATACATTAAAATTATGAAGAGAAGTGGTACGACATCATCATCGGAACATTAAAGTCGACATCTTTATGCTATCGAGAGATCTGGAGCGAAGCCACTGCTATTTCATAATGCGTTGACGAGAAAGACTTGGAATAGTCCCAGATTGAAATAAGTATGACCTTGATCTTCTCTGGAACCAATGAAATGAAATGTAGACTAGAATGCATTGTCTGTCAGACATATCGTTTACGCACTGTGTGTTTATTTCAACGTGCAAGCTTGCTCTAGGGTGAGAAAACCTCCTCGAACGTTCCTCCATCCTGCTGTCTATTCCTGGTCAAGCAACCAAAAACACGCAGTTAGTCCAGATGAGCAAATCCGTGGGTCCTGCCCTCTTCCGCATCATAAGATGAATGCGCAACAAATGTGCAAACATCGAGCGTGTTGCCTCACCAAACTCTCCCTCTTCTTCAGGTCACTTTGTAACATGCCACTCATTGTACAAAGTTGCATTTTTGAAATGTTCTGATGCCGAGAGTACCCGAAATCCTCTCGAAAGCAAGCGATGCCGAGATGTTCCATCAGCCGGAGTGCTAGCAGTTCAACCCCAACCGATGGATCGTCTTGCATTTCTAGTCGTGCTCACACTTCTCCCTTGGGTCGACACACCAATCGCTCACGTCCTCCGGAGCCTCCTCAAGCTCTGCCCAGTGCGGAGTAGCCCTCTGTCCAGCCACTTCCTCCTCCTCCTCTCCCCACCCACTTGTTGTCATCGTTTTCTCAGAGTCGTAACAATGTGAGCTTACTAGATGACTCGGGTTATCGGAAGTTGCGTTTGTATCTGCTGCTAAGCTCTTGTTTTTGCTCTCTTTCCTGTAGTCAGCTGCTGCATGTTGCGTCGTTTCAATGAGCCGGGTATACCTTGACCAGGACTTCCTGTCCCAAATGTCCCGTACCGTCTTGGAGCTCACGCCGAAGCACTTGGCGACCACCTTGCTCTCGATGTACTTGCTCTCATTATCTGAGGATCGCTCCTTGAAGATGCGGATGGCGATGTCCGCTGTGAGCTTTCTGATGCGAGATGCATGGTGGCTTCTATCAACCTGCGAGTTAAGGATGTGCATGACATTGCCACCATTTCTTGGACTTTCGTCTGTAGTTGTCTTCAACGACGAAGTGTTTGGCTCACGTGCAAAACCAGGTTGGCAGTGCTCGTCAAAGGTATATATTTGTATTGGGAATGCTGGAAGAGGGCTTGGGGCGTATGAAAACCAACTCGAAGGCATGGGAGCAGGAGAAGATGTTGTGACCGACAGATGATCGGAATTCCTCAACCGCGATTCAAGCATGCCAACAATGTTAGGTGCTTGAATCATCTCCTGATTGACATTTTTCCAACATATAAACAATCTTAAAAAAAGAAACAATCTTTTAAAAACTGGGCACTTTTAAAACCAGGGCAGCCCGGCCGGGCCCCTCGCGCCGGACACCCGTTATCCCAGCACTGAGTGATTTGGACTTTTCCCTAGTGGCGAACTTGGGACGGGAAACCAAGGAGTGGACGATGCACAACGCTGGATCAACTTGGCTTGGCTGACTGACGTGCATCAGAATGAATCGGCAAGCATGTTTCCCCTGAATCGAGCACATCTCGTCTCTCTTGTGCTCGTCCTCGGCCTGCCCTTGCTTGTCTTCACTTCTCTTCCTGACGACTGTCACGCGGATTTGCCCAGGGAGGTGCTATGGAACGCCTCCTACGATTACGGAAAGCATGGCCTCTTTGATGAATCTCGTCTCTGCTTTGAGCTTTTTGCCTCCATCTACCCTGAGAGCATCAAGGCTTGGTGCCTCCTCTCTGAAATCCATGGGAGGATCGGAAACTTTGATGGCGCTCTTATTCACGCTCGGATTGCGGCACGGATAGGAGGGGAGACAGCAGATGGAGCTGAAGGAACTTTCCTGTTGGCTAATGCACACATGTCCGTTCATAACTACGGTCTAGCCAAGCAAAGTTACTACAGGGCAATCCGATTGGATCCGAAGCATGTCAACTCCATGGTGAACCTCGGTGTTGTACTTGGCAACAACAACGACTTTGCTGAAGCGATCCCGTTGTATCAGCATGCATTGAAGATCAAGCCAGACATCATGGCAGCAAGACATAACTTGGGATCTGCATTGCACACGCTGAAGCATCATGCCCATGCCCTTGCAATCCTTGAACCGCTGGTCAAGGATGAGCCAGACTGTTTTGAATGTCTGCTGAGTCTCGGGCATGCGCTTTCAGAAGTGAAGAATCTTGAGAGATCGAAAGACATGTACAAGAAGGCCATGGACATCAGGCCCTGGGACGCGGACGCTCTCCTTAACTACTACCACACCAAGCAGCAGGTAGCTGCATTGTCTTGATGAGCGTGTTTAAACGGTTAAGAAACTCGTTCAAGGTGATTGATTGGGACGAGAGAGATTTCTTGTTCGAAAAGCTCAAGAATGTGACGGAACAGCAGCTGTCGCAACGTCACTTGACTACAGTGGGGCCGTACTACTCCCTCCTCTCTCCCTTCGACTCTGAGCAGATGCTTGGAATCGCTGAGTCTCATGCTATTCGAGCACTAGAGAAGGTACAGGGAGGGGGAGGATGTGCAGATCGTCTTTCACCTCCCCTGCCTCTCCATCGCCTTGTTCTCACAAGCTATTCTAACAGGTTCGGTACAAGATCCCGTTCCTCCCCTCGTCGTTTGGCCTGGAGCTCGAGCCTCCGCTCCATCGGCTCCGTATCGGATACATGATGGCAGACTTTCGGCACCATGTGACTGCTCATCTGCTGCAGGTAGGGTGTAGGATCAATGTTGTGCTGGTTGACCTCCTGCCCAGACTGTCTTCCAACGACATGATGAGGAGCGCTTCGAAATCTTCTGCTACGCCCTGAACAAGGTCTGCCATTTGGACCCTCGGGTTCCCTTGCCGTTCTGATTGCCCAGCTGCAAGGACGACCGATCTGCTTTCCGGAGGAAAATCAGGGAGAGTGTTGGAGACGATCACTTCAGGGAGCTCGACCGGTTCACAGATGACGCAGTCGCGATTCAAGTCAATGGCGATCTGGTTGATCTTCTCATCGACACAGACTACTACAAGTCCCGACTTTCCATCCTCGCACTCAGACCTGCGCCGATCCAGGTCTCATTCGGCGAAATCGGACATTGAATGATTGCTGTTGATGTTCTGAACTTCCTTGCAGGTCAATTTCCTTGCTCACCCTGGAACTTCAGGGGCAGAGTTTGTAGATCACATCATAGCTGACCGGATAGTCGCTCCTCCGGACAACGCTCTCTTTTTCTCGGAGAGCATCTTTTACATGTCACATCACTACCAGGTCACCTTGCTTCTGTGTTGGACGGAAAGAATGACTCTGATACTATGACGGTGAAAGGTGAACGATCACAGAGCAAGTTATCCGATACGTCCAGAGAAGACAATCTCCGAGGTCAGCTCATTGTCTTGCTAGCTACATGTCATGTCAAAGGGCATATTTTCCCCGACTTTCTCCACAGATCAGAAGAAAGGAGCGTCTCCCAGAGCATGCGTTTGTCTTCTGCAATTTCAACGGGCTCTACAAGATCGAGCCGCAGGTCTTTGAGATCTGGGTCAGGATCATGCATCGAGTCCCCGACTCTGTCTTGTGGCTGGTCAACGAGAACAACGAGAGCAACGCCAACATCCTTCGGCAGGCTGAGGTCTGGGTGAGCTGTCTGCCATGGCGCCGCCTCTGAAGTCACCAACCAGGTCCGAGGGATCAGCAGCAGTCGGATCATCTTGGCTGAGAGAGAAGATTTTGCTGAGCACATCTTCCGAGTCCGAGCTGCTGACATGTTCCTGGTGACTTGTTGACTTTTCTTACACTCGTCGTGTTAGCCCTCGTCTTCGTTCTCAGCCCTCGTCCTCATCCTCGTCCTTCGCCCTCGTCCTTAGTCCTCCTCCTCTTCCTTCTCCTCCTCGTCCTCCTCCTTGTCCTCCCTTCCTAATCTTCCTTGTCATTTCCTTCTTCTTCCTCTCTCCAACCCTTCCAATCTCTTATCTCATCCTCGTCTCGTTGGTTCCCTTACCATTGTCAAGGATTGTTTGACTTACAACGCGCACACAACGGCCGTCGATTCACTCTGGGGAGGTCTACCTGTGATGACGCTGCCGGGGTAACAGCCAAGTTTCAAAGATCAGGGATGGCGGGAAGGGCAGGAGCGTGTGGGACGTTGGGAGAGAAAGAAAGGAGGAGGAAGAGGCATGAATCATGTGGGCAGGTGGAACATGAACATGCGGCTGGCTACTGGCGCTCTATCCTCATTCGGTCCTGCATCGGAGACCTGTGTGAGAACGGTACGGAGGAAAAGCAGAGCAGCTGGTGCTGACGTGGCGGGTGTGGAAGGAGTCAGAGTACGAGGAGATCGCAGTGGCCCTTGCCCAGAGGAAGATGAGGATAAGGATGAGAAATCGGCTGTACGCGGAGTGGAGACTTGCTCATGGTTGGGTGGTAGGCACAAGATCAGTTCCTGACGTGGCGCAGGGGGAAAGGAGGAGGTGACGCTGAGCAACATGGAGGATATTAACGGCAACACCCTGCCGAACAGAACGGGGTTGGAGGGAAGACCCCTCTTTGATACTAACAGGCTAGTACCCCTCCTCACCTCTTCGCGTGCGCATCGCCCTTTTCGCTCCTCCTCTCTCGCTGATCTCCCACCCTCTCTGGGGTCTTCCAAGTTTTTGCCCTCCTTCCTTCAGGCTGACGTGACGTCGCAGCTGGGTCAAAGACTTCGAGGGAGGTCTTCGCATGATGGCTGATATGTCTGCAAGTATCCTCCTCACTCCTCAACTTCCTCGTCCTCCCCGCTGCTCTTTCCTTCCTGCTCACTACTCTCTTCCCCTGCAGGCGGGATCGGACGTGGAGATTCCGAGGCACAATTCTATGCCGGGAGCGGAGCAGGTTGGGGGAGGGAGGGAGGGGAGGGAGGGATGGGGGAGGAAGAAGGTGGAGCAGGTGATGGTTCTGGCTGTCAGGTGGGAAGGGCAGGCGTCCTCATCTTGTTCGAGCTCATCAGGTGCTTCGGCCTCATCAGCTGGGGTTAGCTAACGCTTGTTCAGTCGGACTGGGGCCCTCGATCGCGGCTCTTCTGAAAGGGGGGACGACAGGCCGCAACCTTCACACTCTTGACATTGACAACATACCTACGTAAACACATGAATTTTCGAGCTGCCAACGAGCTGATCAAAACCGCCGTCACACGCTCTTGACGTGCAGGCTGAATCGGATGAGGACGCGGGGGCTGGCGTGACGTTGGGAGAGATGAAAATCGTTGACGCACGAGGGCCAAAGGAGGAAAAGAGCCTCTCCGGGGACAAGACCCAGCACAGCTTCGCCTCCCTGCCATGCTCATGAGCTCCACACCCTCCTCACAAGGCACGCGGCGAACATGGCTGAGAGGACGAGGGTCCTCTAGCTGGACTCCATCTCCCTCCTGCAGCTGCCTCGCTCGCCTGACCTGCCAGCAAGGCATCACCGCTGCTCCGTCGACCCTCCTCTCCTCACCTCCTCGGGCAGGGAGGAAGGACAGGTCTCGTTGGCTCCTGTGGAGAGGTAGATGATCCCCTGCAAGTGCTTCTCCATGCCCGCAGAGCCCCGTCGACGCCTCCTCAGCATGCTCGTGTCTCCCTGCTCATGATGCTCGACCCACATGTCCGTCACGATGATCCTGCACGTCGCACGTCGCGGAGGCTGCTTGCTGTACGTGGTGATGAAAGGATGATGTTCTAGTGGGAGACAAGGTGAGGACAACGAGGTTGTTTCCACAAGTCGAAACATCTCACCCATTGCAGTCAGCATGTTTTGAGCGTGTTGCACGATCTTCTCTTGCAGAGCCTGCACCAGGGGAAAGCAGCGACTCTCCTCATCTCCACACTGAGCAATCAGGTCGAGCTGGTTCCTGCTTGACGTTCGGGTGACAAACACATCGTCGCTGGAGGTGAGAACGTACCTCCCCGGCTCACTCTCAAACACAGATCCATCCCCTTTCCTCTCCATCATCCTCCTCCCGACTTCCTCCATGAACTTGGCATCCTTCATCTTGTAGATCGGCGTGGGCCATCGCACAAGAACATCTCGGACCAGCATGCTCCTTGCTGTTCGCACTTCATACTTCCCTCTGCTCGTCTCCACACCTCCCTGCACTCCTCCCCACAGGTGCCACTTGCCTGTCCTGCCGGAGGAGTCGGAGGAGAGGGTTCCAAGGAATTGGTCCAAGTCCTCGTCATCACCTCCCCCTCCCCCCTGCCCACTCAAGAAGTCCACCAGCTCTCTCTCCTCCCTGAAGTGCCGGTTGAAGGCGAACATGAGCAACCTCGGCGACTTAATCTTGCTATGGGGCAGGATCGTGACGGGGACGCCGACTGAAGTGATCCACACGTCGCCCTTCCTCAGGCAAGTTCTGAGCTCTGTCCCGAACTGGAACATGTCCGGCAGTTCCAACATCCTCCTCCCCCGAGGATCTTCGAAGATCAAAAGTTTTTCCTCCTCCTGCGTGCAGTTCCCTGCGTCTTCGAGCACCACGATCCCTTGGAAGTGCGACCTCGACTGCTGCACCCTAGAGCTGCTGCAGGAATGCAGGAAGTCCCTTCCGTTTCCTCGCACCACAGACGCCCAGGTGGAGTCCAGCACGAGATGAGCTGCTGCTCGTTTCGTCTTCTTGCTGCTCAGCAGCGGGTGGAGCCAGACGCTCGAGATGCTTCGCTCGATGTGAAAGTGCAGGGCAGTGCTAAGCACCTCCTGGAGGGTCTCGTTGGGCAGCACGACGTTTTCAGCATGCAAACCTCCGACGGAGCACAGAGCCGGTCGAGAGTCAGCATGCGCTTCCCTCGTCACAAGCAAGCTGAGCTCGTCGACAGCCAGCGACAGCTGCTCGTGGAAGGACGTAGCGTCCTCGTGCGCATAGTCGAGCGTTGAGCTTCCGAGTTGGCTATGGTAGATCCAACTTGGCCACATGAGCTGAAGTCTCTTGGAGTGCTCGATCCTCTCTGAATTTAGCGTGAACATGTCTGTGCGAAGAGATGAAGACAAGAAGTACCATCTTCAGACACAGCCCTCCCGTCCGCGTTGTCCACTCCCCTGATCCAAAAACTTGACGCAAACAGGTCAGCAGCACTCTCAAGAGAGTTCTCTTGCTCACCACAGGCAAAGGAGGAGGAGCGACATCAAGTGCTTGCCTGACCTTCTCGTCCCCGCCATGTGGCCGACAGAGCCGCCGAACTTCAGGGCCCCCATGGATGCCCTGAAGCGACTCTACGCCGTGGTTCCTTCATTTCTCTTTATTGACTGAAAATTCATTTCTGATAAGCGCCCCATTGAGGCGGGCTAGGGGAGCCTTTTTAACGGACGTAACGCTCTGTCGGGTTTGTAACAATGAAGCGGGGGTTTGACGAGGAGGAGCAGGAGGCGATCGCTACTTCAGCGATGGAGAGGAAGAGCAAGGGAAGGAGTGGTCTTGGCTTCTCCTCCTCCTCCTCCAACCACTCCTCCTCCTCCTCTGCCCCGCCCGGGGCAAGGAAGGGGGGATACAACGACAACATTCAATTGAGCGCTGCCGCCCATTATAACAACAGGGAGGACACGCACCGTAGGCTGGATAGCGACTCGGACACCCTACAGCAGAAGAACTTCAACAACTGGGTGAAGGCCATGCTGATCGCTTCTGCTGTTCGCCCCATGTACAGCATCCTTGACCTTGCTTGTGGGAAAGGAGGGGACCTCCCAAAGTGGGCAAAACAGGAGATAGGGCACTATGTAGGGGTTGACATTGCATACAAGAGCATCACAGATGCTATTCAGAGGTACAATGGCCAGCAGAACAGAGCAGGATGCAACTTCCCTGCTATCTGGTGCGCTGGGAATTTCTGCAAGTCCAATTTCTTCCAAGAGCTGGAGAAAGTGGAGAAGGGTGTGAGGTTTGATGCCGTGAGCTGTCAGGTACTCTCCCGCCCTTCTCCACTCTCAGTTTCATGTCTCTGCTCCTCCCTCCTCGCTCCTCTGCTATGCTCTCCTTCCTTGTCTTCTGGTTTCTCGCATGCTGCCAGATGGTAAGAGGAATCTCCCCATCCATCGAGTCGTCTCCCATCGATCGATTGCGAGATGACTTGATGGCTCAGTTTGCTATCCATTACTCATGGACGTCAGAACAAGATGCAAGGACGGCATTGAAGAATGCTGCGAGGTGCGAACTTGACAGCCACTGGGGCATGATTCTCTGACGGCGAATGAAGGAGGTTAAAACCCGGGGGTCTGTTTGTTGGAACAACGACTGACGCAAACGTATTGGTCAAGAAATTGCAAGACGCCCCAGGTCTTAATTTTGGGAACAGGTACAGACAGAGTTCACATGATGAGATTTCATTTGATGTGAAACTTGATTGTTAGCTTGTACTCTGTCGAGTTCCTGCCGAAGAAAGGAGTTGCTGCAGCAGATTTTGATAAAACATTCAGCGATCATTCGCCGTTTGGTATCAGATATCGTTTCTACCTGAAAGATGCTGTCGATGATTGTGAAGAGGTATCCCTTGAAACATGCCGCCGCGATCAAGTTTGAGGTTGTCCCATTTGCAGTGTCTTGTACATTTCCCTACCTTCCGAAAGATCGCTATGGAAGTCGGTCTTGAGCTCGTGGAGCATATCAACCTGCACGATTTCTTTGAGCGAGCGACAACGAAATCATCCAAGAAAGCAGTGAGACATCAGCTGCTGTCTGCTCGCCTCGGATTGACTTCAACAGCAAAACATAGACCTCCTCAAGCGAATGAAAGTCCTCGACAGGCGAAATACAATCTCCGAGGACCAATGGGAGGTGCGAGACTTTCATGAGCTCCATCTCGCTCTCCTTACTCTCTCGCAGGTCATTTACCTGTACAAGACTTTCGTCTTCAGAAAAATGCCCTCGGTCTGCCCCCGCCTCCTCCTCTTGCTCCTCCTCTTCCTCCCCTCATTCATTCTTCTTCTCAGTCGCAAACGGAAGGAAGCGAACACTGGAGGCCCCGGCACAAAGGCCATCGCCCGGTCACGGAGAAGGTTTGGCATTTTTTCCCCAGCTGATCCCCGCCTGAGATTGTTGGAAGGAAATTGTCATCTTGACACCGGACTGTCATCCTCAGTCTCAGGGTATCTCGTGAGACTGGCAGGTGTAAACCCTTGAGCTGCTGGGCATGCTGGCCAGATGTAAGACAAGAAAAGATGGAAGAAAAGGGTAGAGACCGTTGAGCTGGAGCTCGAAGATGACGATGTTCTGATGGAAATTCGAGAACTTAGCGAGAAAGCGACGAGCTCGAGTAGAATTTTGAAGTTTCACTGTTGTGATTTTCCAATTCCTCGCAACTCTGGACGAAAAAGTGAGATGAAAGGCCGGAAACAAAGAGACGAAAAACAGGAAGGTGTTCCTGAGGGATCAAAGGATGATTGAACAGACCTCGCCGTGCTGTCATTTTTCTTCTTGTTCCCGTATGCTCGAATTAAATCCCTATCAAAATGTTACGATCTGTTACACCCAGTCTTGGAATACTCACCCACTCTGAATGTTTTGAGAGAAAAGTGAAAATTCAACACCAGTAAGCTTGCGATCGGAAGTGATGGTCAAGGAACAAACGTAGCTTGCCTCCACCAACATAATCTGCTTCAAGGTCACAAGAAGCCTTCCTCCCGAAAGATGAAGATGATATACTTCAACGATTACAGGTTGCTGGGCTGATTGCAACTCGAAACTAGAGAACTCACACCCATCGAACATGACGAGGACAGAGCTCTGCAGGAGCAGTGATCATTATCTATGTCTGAAAGCATGCCATATTCATCACATTCCCCTCACTCCCCGCGGTGGCTGATAAAACTCTGAGCCTCCTGCAGAAACCATTGAGATTGGTCGAGGGAAAAGTGCAGTTTGTTCAGGTACCGGCTGAAAGCATTTTTACCAGCAAGCGCATCATCAACGAAGTCTTGAAGCAAGTGTGTCTTCTGCCCCATGAGTCAAAGTGACAAACTAGTCCCCCCAATGCGAACCTTGTCGAACTTCCTTGCGAAGAGGGAGGTTGATGAAAGGGCGCTCCGAACATCTTCAAAGGACCTCATGTGACATCAGATGGATCGATGTTTTACCTCTCATCTGAAGGACATGAGGACTTTTTCCGCACCTTGTTGACAAAGGGTCGGCATTCTCCTTGACAGGCAGCATACACTGATAACTCACCAATCCGCCTTGTCGCAATGTACTCCCTGACTGCACGTCTTGTCAAAGCGTTCTAGAGAGTCAAGTTTGTTTACCTTTCCGCCTGCCACTTTACCCATCTCATATAGTCTGGATGCAGACTGTTACAAAATCTGGTGTTCATCAGCACCTGCGAGGTTGGTTGAGATTGCAGAAACTGGACGACGCAGCAAGTACAGTGTGGAAGAAGATCTCTTCGGATGAAAGAGAGTTCTCAACCCACTCCAAGAGATGGACGACGATCCTGAAACTCAATGTTCACCCTCAACGGCGGAGCATTGTTTGGGCTCATACTTGCAGTCATTGTCCAGGTTAATTCCAAGAGGCTGAGCTGTCTGAAAGAACGATTCCGCGTCTCTCGACGTTTGCTGGAATAGACATGCGACAACAAACTCGACAAACTCACGACTAGGGCAGAGACACTCAACGACATTGATGTCAGAGATGAGCCATTACTGTAGACTGGCCCACGCTGATCCTCCCCACATCTTTGAAACAGTTTATACAGCAACTTTGTGTTCGTACATCTCACCTTCAACGGCAGGGCTCGAGTCTTGTTCCCCTGCAGATGCTGTTCAGCCTAAACAATCTCATGTTTGTACAACACTCACAACAACATGCACGTAGTTCTCGCATTCCACAAACATGCGGTCTAACCCACGAGCCATCACTGCATGCTCTTCCTGCTGAACAATCACAACTTTACAGGTAGCAGGATCAATTCCTGTGGGAAGATCTCCAGACAGGACTTTGCTCCAACTGAAGATGAATGAAATCAACAATCCATGACCGACTGCTCTGCAATACTTGAAGACATGGCAGATGCCATGTTCTCAACAGTCTTGACAGGATAGTCGGTTCCACTGAGGACCTTGACAACAATGTCATACTCTGTGTTTCGGCAGCTCACAACGATGAACCAAGACATGATCCCATCCTCCATGCTCAACAAGGTATCTCATGCCTTCCAGCTCCACCTGCTCCATATGTTCACATGATCTCTTTGTTACATATTTTCCTTACTCGCAACATGCTGGGACCTCCCCAGGCAACGGGTCTCGAGGCAGAGCGAGGGAGGATATGGACATTGTCGTTCTCAAGGCGCAAGAGCTCAGAATGAAAAGACGCCGAGCTCTTCTCAAAGTCCATCAGTAACAGCAACGTTCCCATCGTCGTCACCTTGCCATCGACATGGATAATAATGAAGTTTCTCGGCAGCACCAGACGATCGACCAGCCGCTGTACTGACTGCGGTGTTTGTCTCTGCAGCAACATCTCACAACTTGCGATCACACGAGCATCTCTACTTCATCGATCATGATCAAGAACGCCAGTCCCTCCATCTTGCATTCTCCCCCATCCCCTGCATCCTCCGACGGCACAGACTCCAACTCCTCCTGCGTCCACGTCGCCCGGCGGAGAAATCGAGCCAGGTTTACCCCAGCGTCCTCACAGGATGGTACCAGTCTGAACTCCTTCTGCATCATCCCCGGCATCACGATGAGACTAGTCTGTTGAACCCCCACTCACCTCTTCTCTGGACATCACCGCTGATATCTCCTTGGCGCACTTGTCAGAAAGCTGCATCTTCGCCTCTGACCTCACAATCAGCGGGGCAACCGTCTCCTACCTGCCCTTCAGTCCTACCTGCCCCCAAACAGACTGCCAGTACGAGCGCGCATAGCAGGCTGTCGTACCGGGTTGCCCCCATTGTCGGGGGGGGAGGGGCGCAACAGGACCTGAAGGGATTTTGCAAGGACGATATACTACAATATGTGCTGGAATTATGATAGTAGTGCGGAGCGAGAAAGCGAAGAGGACGGCGTGTTTGAGGGCAATCCGAGATGAGATGAGACGAGACGAGACGAGACGAGACGAGACGAGACGAGAGGAAGGGCAGGAGAAAGGGGACAGAAGGAGATGCGTCAGTGTGCCAAGGAATCTCGATTATAAGTCTGGTCGATGATGGAACAACGCTGACGATTGTTGCAATCTCACCTCTGACACGCTAACATGGTAGGAAGAAGAGATATCAAGAACTTTCGACTTTTCCATTTACACGATCTTTGAATAAAAGAACTTCTAGCAAACCCCATCGTCGTCCTTCTGTACACATCTCTAGGTACCAAGACGCGCTCACGGTCTGAAAGGCATCAGGTCGATCTTCAACGCCAGCAGGAACTGCAACATGTCAGACTGAGAGAGAACAAGTCATGACAACAAGTTCCTCACATCTGCATAGCTCAGCCCTCCTGTGTAGACATCAGATCTCGATTCACTTCCCAGCCTCCATCCTCACCGAGACGCGTGGTATGAAGCACGATAGTGGTTTTGTGCATTCCCTTCATGTTCTCGTACTTGACACTCTTCGGACTATGACCCTCTGCGAACGAACTCAGCTCAGAAGCTTGTAGCAAGAGGTGATCACGGTTGAGCGAGGCAGTGGAGATGCGTTGCAGAAATTCTATGGAGGATTGGAAGCTCTTTGAGGCGCAATGAGATCGAGCTAGCAATCATCTCATCACTCATCAACCTGCGAGTCCCATGATCTCTCCAGGAACGAAGAGCATTCCGATAGACTCCACTCGGGCACCTGTAACATCTTCAACACTGAGGTGCTCCAGCTTCTGCGCCACCAACACCGTGCTCAACAGCTTCGCCGCCTCGTCCTTGGTCAAAGGCTTCCCTCCCTGCTCATAGGGGTCGCACTTCTTGCTGTAGGTTTGCGAGTCTCCCACGGTGATCTGAACTCCTTTTCTCTGCCCTGCTTCTGTACCGGCACTATCACTCCCTCCCGCAGAGAATGGCCTTGATCCCCCTCGTCTAGCTGCTGCTGATGCTGCTGATGCTGCTGATGCTGCTGATGCTGCTGATGCTGCTGATGCTGCTGATGCTGCTGATGCTGCTGATGCTGCTGATGCTGCTGATGCTGCTGCAAAAACTCCTTGTCCTCCTCCTGATCTCGTCGTCAGCACCCGTCGGCCAAGCGCTCTTGCCAGCATCTTGGACACCATCGCTGTACAGCACTAATAAGACCCCCGCCCCCGAATTTCAAGGTAATCATCTATACCCAACACCGGTGGTATCACCGACTCTAGTGGCTAAGTGACACATGGGTCGAATTCGGCCCACGTGGGCCGAATTCGACCCACGGCTTTTTGCCCCTCATACAGCACCCTTTGTGCGCTGGTCTCAACGAAAAAATGGCAGGGAAGGATAGAAGAGGACAAGCGCTTTCAGGGGCTGCAAACGCCATTCTGTTTCATGCATCCGTTGAGATTCTACAAGCTTCCAAAGTGAAGGCTTTCCAACAAAATTGCATGTTTTGTTCATGATCGTTGAAATTTCCATCCAATTATTCTGTGTTGCTGTTGCGTCCGCGGTGCGCGATTTCGCTTGATTCTTTCGTAATAGTTCAGATAGAAGACCATCCTGACTAGTCAAGATCAGTTTTCAATCTTTCGGCTGATTTCAATAACTCAATTTCCACTGAAATGACGAAAATTACAGAATACGACAATTTTGAGGTTTGTAAGTTGTGGCATTCACATGTGATGATCTCCGTGAAGCTGGAAATATTATAGATTGCTTCCTATACATGATAGGCAACCGTTGCATTCGAAATGAGCACCAAAGTTGCCTCAGTTGCGAGGCCAATGCGTCGAATACATATTGGGATGAATTTCGTTGGAATGACGTGTGCCTGAAGAATTCTTCGTGGTACATCCACTTCGAGACATGGAAACATCGCTGAACAGTAGTGAACCCTATTGACCAACATATCCATTAACAATACAAAGCGTATTCAAGCTGGATCTTCGCATGTCTGTGTTTTTTTTCCATAATTTTCTTCGTGCCGTATTTCAAGTTTGGTATTCTGATAGAAATTGCACGCGGAAGAACATGGTCTACGAAGTCGTTCTCTTCTGGGTTAAGGAATGGTCACAATTCCACATCTTTACATGTATCTTGCATAGTTCATGCATAGAGTTTTGAGTACTTGATGGGCCCTGATGACAGTTGCTTCATTACTACTCATCCGAAGCCACCACTCATCAGACGGATGTTGGAGCTGGCTGTTTCATGTCTGTTTCACGCAAGTAGCGCCTCAAACTGTTTCCACGTGAAATGTTCTTCGTAATCGCATGTTATTCGTCTTCATTAGTCACTTTTTCTAGCATTTCGTTGGAGAAAACTGTGAAAAAATGGTTCGTCGATTGTGTCGTTCAGAAATATTTTTCACATTTTTTCCTTCCAAACAGGGTAAAACATCACCTAGAACGTTTAAGAATCATCGTGCAGGGGAAAATAATCCTGCTGAGTGTTGGAGAAAGGCCTAAAGACTCATTTGCAAAGTGAACAGACACGGTATGAATCGCTATGCACCAGCACGAGAGAAACATGTGAGTACAAGATTGACGCCGGAACAGATGATTTGAAGACACCACAGCACAAGATCTCGTCATCCTTATGTGATCACGAGACGCAGGACATGCTGAAAGACTGACATGAGATTGCTCACAGCTTCAAGATGTGCGGATAACAGTGGGAGATGTCATATTCCATGCGGAGTGGTTGTCTGCATCAACTTCAATTTCACAGTTGAGGAGGTGAATTAATGGCAAAGAAGCTGCTCTGAGAAAGAAAAGGGACTTGGATGTGATGAATATCATCAAGATGCACGATGGAAGTGAAGAGTTACAAGGTTTAGTGTAGGTATGAAGGAGATGGTAAGGAAAGTGATTGGGATACCTCATACCGAAATGTTGATAAGCACTGAAACAATTTCAAGCGTGGAAGGGGCCTATCTCGACTGAGAAGCAAGACAATCACTCAGAGACATGCAGGTGAATCAGGAGAACCCATTGCAATATCGCAGCAGGCAAGAGGATGTGAGGAGTTGTGTAGATTCTTGATTCCGTCCACGGTTTTACGACGGAAATGATTTCGCGGAGTGAGCATTCCAAAAATGTTGAGGTCTTTAACTCGAGGGAGACCAGAGTAGCGTGAACGATAAGACCAGTGATGGATGGAATACTCATTCTCCAAACCTGTAATCAAGTAATGAACGTCCTCCACTGCGACAGTTGGGTTTTAAAGAAGACCTAATGACAAAGACACAATTTCGCTCATATCATATTCTGTACATTTGTATTAGAAACTCTTTCCAATTAAGTTGTTGAATCAAGATAGATAGTATGATACATAACTCAATGAACATTTTCCTTTGTCTCTGTGATTTTGTACGCAACAGATCGATGAATTTATCGCTAACAACAGCATGTTGGCGTTATGACATACAGTGAAAATTGAACAGAAACTCATAAATATCATGAAATCATTTACAGTCTGCAACATGAATGAGTATTACAACAGTTTACTTTCATATGATGCAGAAAAATATGTTCTCATGATTCATGAAGTGCACCAATGACCCTCCTCATGGAGCATGGCGGCGCGCCATTTCCCGGGAAGGCCAGTACCCCCACCCAGCAATGGCAAGTAAACACCCTATCTTTGATTTATTCAAAATACCCGTAGTAGGACTACCCCCACCCTTCATTTTCAGGCCCCTCTAAGGCAAAACCATCTGAAAACGGCAAAAAGGTGCCGAAGGTTTGTGTCACTTAGCCACTAGTGCCGTACGCCCCCGCAGACTTTGCCCTACGAGAGGGCGAGATCCGGAGCGACGTCAGTCTAGAGGTCTAGAGGACGAGCTGTGCCGTGTGACAACAAGGAGGAGAGGGACAGGGACAGGGACAGGGACAGGGACAGGGACAGGGACAGGGACAGGGACAGGGACAGGGACAGGGAGCGTAGGAATGTGGACACGATACGGTCGAGGCCCAGACGAGCGGCACTGAGCATGAGCACGCATTTGAAGGAATGAGCCAGCGAGCAAATGAAGTAGATCTTATATTGAACTGTGTGATTGTAAGTTGCTAGAATTACACGTCATGGAAGACATCGCGGCAGAGAACGAAAAGACTGCGAGCAAACTTTACACTTCCTCTCGAATCAGGTTCCGAATCCAGTAAGTTTGCATCAGCCCCTTGCCCTTCACCAACACCCCTGCCTGTCCATTGGCATGCATCCGCTCAATGATGGTGAACTTGCTCTTGCTCTGCTCAAGGAGGTTCCTCGTCTCCTCCGTCACCTGCAGCTTGCCTGCTTCCCCAGTGCTCTCCATCCTGCTCGCAGTGTTGACTGTGTCTCCGAAGAAACTATACTTGGGGACAGCGCTACCCAGCACAGCAGCGACTACCGGGCCAGAGGCGATCCCTGCCCTCATCCTTATGCCATAGTCACTCCGTGCTACCAGGTCCAGCGCGTCCAGCGCGAACTTGGCCACCCGAGAAGCAGCTTCAGGCCCATCGCAGGTGGAGTGAACTCCTGCTCCTGCGATCACCATGTACGCGTCGCCAATGGTGTCCACCTTGCACACGTGATGCTTCTCGACGAGCCTGTCGAACTTGGTGTAGAGGTCGTTGAGCATCGCGACGATCTCGATAGGAGACGTCTTTCCTGCAAGGTCCGTGTAGCCGACGAGGTCGGAGAAGAAGACAGAAGCCACGTCAAAGACGTCGACCACCTGCTTCCTCCTCCGCAGCTGAACGACTGCATGCCGAGGGAGGATGCGGTAGAGCATCATCGACCGTTGACGCTTCTCTACCAAGAGAAGAAAAGACAAGAGCGAGAGAAGAAAAGTCCCTAAGATGGAGCCTGCGACGCCTGCTGAGTACCATTGAGGTTGGAAACCACTGATAGGAGCGACGGTCAAGTTCCAACGGTCATCTGGTAGACTGATCTCAACAGTGACTCCGTCCTTGATGGTATCCGTGTTGTTGGCGATGACCCTGGTGGCATATCGCAACCCTTCCTGTTCTTGTACAGCGATCGTGCTGGTTATCATGAAATACAAGTTGTTCGCCGCAGCCATTTCCGCGATCTTGCTTTCTGCAACAAGGGCAGAGAAATCAATGATAACGGTGGAAAACCCCCACCAAGAAAGATTTCGCGATATCAGCGGATTGATGCCAGGAAAGTCGGTGAGAGGAGTAGCACCCTTGGTATCCTTAGAAACAAAGATCGGGAGCCTCACGATTATTCCAAACATGTCCTGGACGAGATTCACAGGGCCGGTCACGCTGTAGTTGCCGTTCAAGATAGAGTCGTATGCATCTTCAGCATTCTTTGCATCTTTGAGCAGAGCAAGCCCAAGAGCTTTGTCGTTGCCATCGAGAGGATAGACGAGAGAAACGACTCCACGAGGAGCAAGCTGCAAAGAGCGGATCGACTTTGACTTGGCGAATTGCAAGATTTCTTTGGATATGTCGTTGAATTCATCGGTAGTACTCTTCTGGATCCATGGCTTGACGTCATAAAACACACTTAAAGTGTTCGGAACAAGTGTGAAATTCATGGCGACGGCAGCAAGTTGGTTCAAACTTGACATCTTCGCAACAAAGACTGCTAGCGTGTACAAGGGCGTAACTGCTCGATCCAACTCGGTGGAGAAGAAAGCGGAGATATCAATTGCTTGCCTTTCAACTTCCTTCTCCTTCTCGTCCTCTGATTGGTTTGTCCAGCTCCAAACAATCATGACAGCTCCTACCCCCGAACACGCCCACAACAACCAGAAACAAAGGATATTCTTCCAGGTGCTTGCCTCCCAAATGCCAACAACATAAGCCCAAGAGGACTCACAGGCACTCTGCAACAAGGACACGGATTCTGTCTCATTCATACTCCCCCCGGGGTTTACCAACGCTCTTTGCCACCACCTCTCCCCGTTGGACGACGCTTCACCAGACCCTTTCCTGCTCGACATCCTCTGAAAGAAGGAAAGTCGTCTTCCTGTGGGACGTGGATTTGATGTGGTACGAGAGAACGAATCATCTGTGCAGAATGACTTTGGTGCTGACCGCTCTGACAACGTTTCTGCACAGTCTGAGACCACTGGACTCCTCGAGTGTTGTTTGTATGAGCTGTTGAGTAGATTGGACAAACTGTCCGCTTGCTGGCGAATCAGATCAGATAAGCCATCACCAGACATATCCTCTGGTTTCACTGAGTTGTCATTTCTTAAGGATGGCAGCAACAAGGTTGCAATGGCTCTGAGAATCCCGTTCTTCTGCAAAATGTGTGATATCTTGTTGATCTTGAGAGTTTCAAATAGCGCCATCTCAAAAGCGGGATAATCCAACCTGCCTTTGCTTTCCAAGACACCAAAGGTGATATCGTGCTTCAGAAGCTCAAGTTCAAGCTCTTTGAGAGCCTCGTCGTCAGCATTTCTGGGCATTCTCGACCCAAACTCCAATCGTCCATCGATTTCCGCCAACGCTTCGAAGAGGTCCTTGATTCTGAAGGGATTCATTCCAGCATTCTTCATGTACAAAACACGCACTATTCGAGAAAATATTTCGAAGTCAATCTGGTTGTAGAGTGGAGGCTCTTTGACGAAACTTAGAGCATCTTCAAGCTCCTTTGAATCAGTCGGGACATTTGCGAGTGCCAGCGCTGGAAGGAGATCGTGAGCTGAAAGAAAACCAGAGGACTCGAACGCCTTGAAGGCAAGAAGCGCGTCTTCATCCTTCTCTGCCATGTGCGTGCTCGGACCGGTTGAAATACCCAAACCTTATGGAACAGCTTTGCCTAGCAGCTACTTCAGTGAAACGAAGAGGTCGTTTGAGGCCGTGCAACAACACGGAAAAATAGACTTTAACAGAAAGAATTCTTTTGATGGTGTGGAGCTTGTTGTTGGTCAATATTCGTCATCATCGTTCAGCCATCCAACCTCGTCTCACCTCTTCGATCTTGTCCGTCGTGCATGACTTGTTTCAGCGCATGCCGTCAAGACCACGCAACTGTTGAATATCCTGTATATACTTGTTAGAGGTCAAATACACATTTTTAAGAAAGATCCTGGTACAACAAAGGAGTCAGAGCTGACAAATAAAAACTTTTATAAGCCTTATTGGTTTTTAGAATTAAAAAGTGTTTTACATCGTAAAATGTTCATAAGCTATATGGCTCGGTGTTGCCTTTGAGAGCCAGAGAGGACTGGAGGCTACACTGCTGCTACAGCTGACAAACCTGCGCGGGCCCGGCGTGGCTATTATTTAAGTCCCTGTGGGAACTTCCGCCCTCAAGCCGTGGGGTACTCAGGCTGAAAGTAAGGGGTGGTGCCACGGGTTTGGTAGGGGTCCAATGTTGGGACAGAAGAAGTCGTTACGGTCAGCCGGTAGTGTCTTGAGTAGTAGAGGCAAAGGAACTGAGCATGCGGTACTGTTGTGACAACAAGGGGTTGAAGAAGGAAGTTGAGGGGAGCAGAGAGTGAGCGATCGGGAGAGCCAACAACTGAAGCATCGAACAGCGTCAGTAACTTGGACTTGTCCGACCACAGTAAGTTTCAGGACTCAATCTGCAACTGGAATTGAGAGAACAAACCATCTGCAAGGCATCTCAGTCTGGAGCGAGGATGAATTCAGACAAGACCATCTTCTTGTTCTTTCTCGCAGAGTCGCTCATATTCGCTGCACAGGGCCAGTCAGCAACTCTGACTTGGCAAGGAACTCCATACGCGCTAACTCCCACAGGATTCCAGGTCTCCTGGGACCCAATCAGCGTACAGGATAATGACAGGATCGAGGTACATCTTCCGAGGTTCGGAGGAACGTACAACTCGTTCGGAGCGGAGGGGCCGACTTCTTCTCGTCCCATCGCATCGCCATCGGCAAACGGAGTGAAGGCGCAGGGGGGGGCCGTCAGCGATGGCCTTCACTCGGCAGAATGGAACAGCAAAGTAGAGACGATGAGGCTGCGCGTCAAGGGTCCTTCTTCTATCAGCGGCTTCTCGCTGGATCAACTGTTCCTCTTCGTCAATCAGGATTCAACTGCTGTTCCCAACGGCCTTGGCCCTCTCCCCCCCATCGGCGGCATCGATGACTCCTGGTACCAATACGCCTACGTCGCTCGCTTTCCCTCGTCAGCCTGCTCCAACGCAGCAACGGGGAGAGAAGGGCTGGGACAAGAGCAATGCGATCACGCGTCTGCTACCTTCTACCCGTTTATCAGCAAATCTGAGACGTTCTCCACCAACCTCCAGCCGTTGCCCACCAAAAGGATCGGACCAGTGGGAGAGGCCAAAGTCCCTTCCATCGTTTACTTTGCGGCTCAGGTGGGAGCTCCCTGGCAGAACAGCGGCACCTGCGTCACCGTCACCTTGATCTCTAACGTCGTGCTAGTCACTCCCGGCAACGCCGTGGCGACGGGCCTGACCATCACTGGCTTGCCGACCGGCACAACCCTAGAGAGGCCGGACCTGCCCTTGTACCTCAATCAGAACGATTGCTCTGCTGGCAGCGTCCCGTCGGTAGGTCAGAACGGTGTCTTGTCAGCTCCTGGAAGTCGATCTGTCGACAAACTGATGAGCCCTACTGGCTTTGCATGGGCGGCCAAGTACACAGCTGGAGGCGAGCTGGTGATCTTCCTGGGAAACGGTTTCTACATTAACGATGGTGAACTGCTGACCTTTGCTTTTCCTATCGTCAATGGCAATGCAAACTCTGCTGTCCAGCTATCTGCCAGCATATCCGGATACACCTGCACGACATCTTATCTCTGCTCGGAAATTGACTCACAGCCTGTGTCCATAGCGGGAACAAAAGTGCAAAGAGTGACGACGTATGCAAAAGTTCGATCCGCAGGTATAAGAAGTGCAACCTTCAATGTCGCAAAGATATACCAAGATTCAGATTCCCCCAATGCAATTGCACAGATCACTGTGACGCTTCAACCGAGTGTTGCTGTTCGAAGTCAAGCTGTAACGATCTCAGGTTTATGTGGGACCCAATCAAACAACAATCCTACATTGTCAGGTCCGGCAGCTTCATCCTTCAGTAGCCTTGACTGGAACTTCAACACGCAAGAATTGAAGTTGTACACGACTTCTACGGGGTTGCCAGCGTTGCAAGCAAGCGTGTTTCATTCTCTTGGAAGTTGCTGCCCTCGTCAAACTCTCCTTGCTCGATTCAAATCAGTGCAGGCTCGCTCATCAGCCCCATGCCCATGGAGAATGTACAGCAGACGGTCGGGAAGGTGGTTGGCAGGGGCTTCACAACTTATCAGATCGGCCAGTACACCACGAGACCAGACACAGTGAACTACATTTGCGTGACCTTGAAGTCCAACTATGACTTCATCGCCTCGACGTCATCGTTGGCGGTGATAACGCTCTCTGGCCTCAAAGGAAGCGGCGCCAACAGCTTCACTGAGGGGCCGATCTATCAATGTCCTACTAGCGACCTGAACGGCGCGAGCGCTCCAGCCTATCCTAACCCGAACTTCAAGCTTTCATTCGACTCGAGCACCTCCTCTGCCACGGTCAAGCTCACGTCTCCCTCTACCTGGGCTGCTGGAAGCACCACCACCTTCGCCTTCGCTCTCTACAACCCGGCGACCCCGAATCAATGCCAGGTGAGCAGCACCAAGGGAGATGTGTGCGACTTCGAAACGCTGACCCCTCATGCAGACGGTCACCATGACTGCTTCTTCTAGCGACTTTGCTCAGACCGTCGTGATGCAGCAGAGCAGTGTGGGTAGAGCTATCGCCGGCGGAGAAACCGATGGAGATTCCTGCGTGCTCAAGATTTATGCCCCGCAGTTCTTCACCAGACAGATCGATCAGAGCACGTCGCTGCCGAATGAGCTCAACACCTTGGTGGTCTCGCTGCGAGCAAACATCGACTTGCTAGGCAGCCCCAACGGGTTCTCGTCCTCAGTCACGATCTCTGGCCTGACAGGCTCTCAAACCAGCTCGACGGACTCGTTTCAAGTCAGTCCCGTCTCGGGAGGCTACTTCCCTTCCTTCTCTAGCGCCCAGTGGGACCAAAGCTCAGGCAGCCTTGTCTTGATCCTCGCAGCGGGCCAGTGCAGCCCCCCGACGAGTCAAACGGCCCCCAACCTCTGCATGAAGGCGGGCTACACCTACTCCTTCAGCTTCAACCTCGTCAACCCCAGCAGCCCTCAGAGCAGCCTCACCGTCTCCCTTCAGGCAAGGTACACGTCAGACAAGACGACGCAGCTGCAGACCATGACCACCGGCTCTGACCCCGTCAACGCCCCGTTCAACGTCCAGCCAGCCAACCAGCTGCTGTCCAAGGCTTACATCGGTCAGCTGCTCCCCGCTCCCAGCGCAGCCAACCGCATCTGCGTGACGCTTGCGGCAGCCAAGAGTCTTCAAGGCAGCTCGCTGCCTGCCTCCTTCACCATCTCCGGTCTCCCCAGTTACCCCACGATAAGCTCCTACCTGCCCTTGTTTGACCTCTCGGGGACTAAACCCCTCAGCTCCTCGGTCGGACCCTACAACCTCATCGGAGGCTCCACGAACCCTTCCGATGCCAACACAGTGAAAGCAGACTTCAGTAGCGGACAGATCTCCTTCTTCCTCCTCTCCCCTGGTGTCCCAGCAAGTCAGGATGTGCAGTTCTGCTTTGCCGTCATCAACCCCTCCAGCGCTGCCAGCTGCTCCAACGTCTCCATCCGAGTTTCTTCCGGAGGCACTTCAGGAACTCAGCCCATGACCCAGGACCTCATGACGCAGCTGTCAGGCTACGGATACGCCTCTGCCTGTGCAGGATATGTCTCGGGGAAGGGGTTTGTACGCGCCATGATCCGATCGAGCTCCAACGCGACCTCGGCATACGTGACGGTGATAATGGAGCTTGTCACCAACTTCAACCTCCGATCATATGATTACATCACCATCGTTGGACTGCAAGGATTTTCTCCTCAGTCCTGGTCGTCCAACAATCAAATGTCGGCAGACGTGTACAAGAATGGGATTAAGTATTCACAAACGCAAGTGCTAGTCAACGGAGATCGATGGTCCTTCACTGTCATGGACGGGCTGCAAGCTCCCGACGTCTACAAAGACAGTACTCTGACAGGAGACAAGCTGGAAACCAGATTCAACCTCGTGAACCCTTCCTCTCCGGCTTCTCCCAGGGACGTCTACATCACCGCTGCCTCGGATTTTGCTTATCAGAGGATGCAGTCAGGTTTCCTCAATGAGTCCGGGGTCACTTCCGCCTCCCTCCGCACCAATGCGCCGGCCCCCAAGACCTCGTTGAGCGCGGGAGCCATTGCTGGTATCGTCGTCGGAGTGGTTGCTGGAGTGCTGCTGGGGACGGCAGCGTTCTTCTCATGGAAATATCGGAAGTTTATCAAGCAGAGGATGAATGGCTTGCGCGAACGAGCTCGCGGCAGCAAGCCGGAGGAGAAGCAAAAGCAGCAGGAGGTTTCAGAGAAGAGTCAGGCCCTTGGAACAGCTCAGATGCAGCCCATGTACGTCCCTAACGCGATGACGTCATCGCACCTAGCCTTCGGCCACACACCCCACGTCATGCTGGGCCAGCCGCAGCCTGTCTTGAGCTTCCCGGGGATGATGTTGCTTCCTCGCTAGGCGACTGAAGGACTTCTTCATCCTCGTGCTTGTCATGCAGCAAGTAGGCCCCGAGCGCACCTGGAGGAGCAGGTCAAGGTCAGACGGTCACCCTCCTGTGCTCACCGAGAAATCCCTCATGCTCCATGAAGAGCGCTTGGAAGCGACTGCCCGACCAGAAGTCTGTCAAGGAAGGTGAGGAAACCCTCCGCCTCCTCCCTGTCTCTACCTAATCCGAAGCTGATTTTGCTCCACACGTATGCGTTATTGCGAATAAATCCTCCAGAAAATATGATATTCTCAATGCGCTTTGTCAGCGTCAGAATCTGATCAACATGAACATCTCCCATTCTACCTCTCGCTCAGCAATGAGGCACGCTATCTGCGAAAGATTGTTGCTGAACATGAAGATAAGACTTCGAACCTGAAGTGTAAAAGATTAATTTCCACAATCATCGCCTTTCACCAAACTGTTGTGCGATTGCTACAATTATGTATGCAAAGCGCCGTACCATGTCTTCAGGACTGAATGTTTCGCTGCTGTGATCTGCAACTGCAACCTGCAAAGAAGAAACATGTCAAACAAGAAGCAAAAGGAACAACGGACTGCGTTCCTTGCCAAATGAACTCGCAATAAGGTCGTCGGAGAGCCCAATATCCTTGAGAACAACACAGTCAAGAGCTAGTGCACTGTACATCGATAATTGCTCTGCACCTTCACGAATCCTTGCCCGTAGATATCGGATACTAGCAGGTCCACGTTGTTGATGTTCCCTGTGTCACCTTGTTCACTCACACTTGCGCTGAAACAGGGTCACCTCGTCGAGACATCTCCACGATCTCGTCGAACTTGTACTTCCCGGTGAGAAGCTTGCAGAGGCCGAAGAAGCTTCCTCCTCCCAGACAGGAACCTGACGGGCAGGCGTTCAACCTTGGATGCACAACGACGGGAAAGAAGGACCGCTAAGACGACGATAACAGTCCATCTATTGCAAGAGGTCAGCTCCTAGACATTCCCGCTCCCCCTTGCCCTCCTATGTTCGACCTCATCCTTCTTCCCTCCATCCTTTCATCAATCTGACATCCCCCTGTCCCCCGTCGTTCCTCTCCCCCCCCTCCCCCCCAACCCCCGCTCGCTCTCTGTCTCTCTGTCTGTCTGTCTCTCTCTCTCTCTCTCTCAACAATTTTTTCCATCACACACCTGATCGACACGAATGATCGAGACTCCGCTTCCGATGTTGACGAGCAGATACCTGCACATCCGTCAGCACTGCCAGCTTCCAGCTACACTCCTACTCACGGAAAGGGGCTCTTCTTCCCGGCAAAGGAGACATACGCCTACCCTCCTCTGCTCAGCGGGTCTCATTACAAGAAACAATTTCACCTTCCTCTCAGCATCCAGTCCCCAACGATAGTGGAAGGCCTCCTGACTCCCTGCAACCTTGTGACAACAGGAGAAACCTTTCCATCCCTTGCCTGTGAGTAGCCGATGATTCACTCCAGTGATGACGGACCGCATCTCGTCGACAGAGGACAGCTTCACTCCGATCTCCCGTTGAAAGAGCTTCAAGCACGTCAGTCGACTTCTACGTACCTCCCTCCACCTCACCTCTTGAAACTTGTGCCCTCCTCCTCCGGACGCGCTGACCCGCACGTTGCAAATGCCTGCTCTAGGACTCAGAGGAAGGGAAGGGAAAGAAAGATTCAAGGACCTCGTGCTTTCAAGAAATCAACAACTGTGTGGATCTTCTTTGTCTCGAACGAATAGAGCTTCAACTGTGAAAGCAAAGAATCAACAACCCTGAGCTCACTATAGGCTGTTTTTGATGTTTGACGTATTACGTGGACAGTATCCGTTGCTGTCAACCTCACAGGAATCGATCCGCTATCATGATCAGTGTCATTGCAAAATTCCCGCTCTGTGACATTTTCAGGGCAATTCACATCACATAGCATCGCCAAGAGTGAAGACCTGGATCGTAAGTGTGACATTTCAAATCTCGTCCTCCACCTCCGCCAGGTTTGAAGACAACAAGTTTGGTAAGAGTTCCTGCACGTTCCGCTAAGAATATCATGACCACTTCGGTTGTCTTGCACTCACCACCGATGTCAAGAGCACAACAAGGCAAACTGCAGCAAAACAAATCTTCACAATGGTACTGGGAAAACAAGGTGCCTTATACCGGCAACCGCTCTTTACAAGCTGCGCAAGCGGTAGAGACTCGATACTTGCTTCAGACAAGATGGTGAACAAGCGATCACTATGAAGAGAAGAGTGAGATGGTCATAAGGACTTTGACTTGACTACTTGAGTCGACTGATCTCCAAATCGATCTGATCCACAATCAGGTCCTACGAATCTCTAAGCGTAAGTCCCTTCAACTCGCTACGTCGCAAGATCACATTTCGCAGCTTCGGCTTTGAGGTCAAATTGACGAAGTTCTGGAGACCGGGGCAGTCAAGAGAATGAAAACAGCAAAATATCAAGGAGAAGTATGCAATAAGAGATCAGTATCTTTTTACTTGTGTATCCATCGCCTTCGACATGGCTTCAAGCAATTCGTTTACAGTCGTGATGACAGTGCTCTTGCCCTGAAGGAAGAATGGTTTAGTGCATGGGTGGGGGGGGTGGGGGGTGCAAAGAGCAAACATGTTTTGCTGCAGTCTTGACGAAATTCTTGAATTGACACTCTTCATCGTCACTTTCACGTTTCCTTTCGCATGTCATTAGCGCAGCAGCAATTCATCGCAGAAGCGCCAACCTCCTCTTGGGAAAAGCAAAATGATACATTGCAACGGCAACCAAAGCCGATGAGGTGCAGATAAGAAACTGATACATCTGTTGCCCATGTCATCTTCATCATCAAGTCGCTGTTAAACATGGTACCAAATCCAAGCTTCTCCCGCCCATCCTGATCGAAACTCTGTGCAGAACACAACCAAAATTCCAGAATTCAATGGTTGTTCATGCTGGTCCCGGCCGTGTAAACCAAAACTTCCACATGACCTGATGCATTTAAAGGAGTATCAATATCACACATCGTAAATCGAACTCGAATGTATGCTGCTCCCCATTCTCCTTGTTCCACTTCCTCCAAACTCACTCATCTCTGTTTTCACTCTCCTCTTCTCTTACACCTTCTCTCTCTTCCTCCTCCTCCTCCATTCTCCATCATCTACCCTGATACCAACTTTCTTCATTTCATCACTGTGCCGAGCAGTCCGACTTTCCGCAATTCATCCATTAGAGGCTTGTACAATCTTGAAATCATTAAAAGATATTCGAAACATTTCAGATGTTCCCTAAGTAATTCCAAAATCTCGGCAATACATGTGAAAATGAAACAAATCTTTAAATCGCTTTGCCGGAGAACATGCCGTACTTACCGGGGCCCGGGCCGCAGTGGGCGGCGGCCCGGCGGCGGCCGGGCGGCCGGGCCGGGCGGACTCAAGGCATGACAGAACCTCAGGCCCACCGTGAGTTGACAGTGAGATCTGAGTCGGGCACGATGGTGACCGTTTTCGGGGTCAGGGCGGTCCTGGCCGCGTGACTGCTCAGCGGCTGAGTGCGGGGGCCTCGGAGACTGAGGCTCACTGTCACTCCGAGCGCGGCAGGCAACCGTGAACGGGCCGGCCGCCCCGGCCGGCCCGGGTCAAAGTGACGTGGCTTGTCAAACATACTCGTCATGCTGACCGCTCGATGACTAGCATGGCAAGGTTTAGAGAGCTTTCAAGACTCTGATGAGATCTTGTTCGGCATTCTTGGTTTCTCTGCTCTCTCTTTCCATCTCGGTTCTACCCTATTGCCATTGTTCTACTGCAGGGTGCTGCCAAAAACAGGACGGCGACAATGCAGCTGTTGAGTTTTGTTGCTGTAACGGAGATCAGCCTTACGATGCACAACTTGTCTGCTCATGTGGTTTTTGGTTTGAAAGGGCGAGCTACGTGCAGTCAACCAAGACATGCGAGGTAGCAGGAGCTTATTGGGATATCAGCCAAGTCCCGAGTTCATGCTCAACTGCCTGCGGCAACGGTACCCTGGAGTACCTGCCGATCTGCAAGGACGCGGATGGTGTGCAGGTGGGGAGTTTTGTTTATCTTCCTTTGTTGCTGATTAGAACAGATCAACAGTGTTTACTGCACTAGATTTGCAAAGCCGAAGTCAGTCGTGCAGGCCTGCACACGAGGTACGATCTCCACTTAAGTGATTCATCCTGCTGTTCAGCCTCTTATCAGGATGTGGACCCTTCATCGTGGATAACGTCACCATCGTGCAACCTGACGCATGCATTCCCGTCGGCAGCTCTGCTCAAGTCAGTTGCATCAACGGATACTCGCTGTTCGGCAACGGGAGGTGAAGGAGGAGCAATACCGATGTGAGCACTGACGTAGCCTGCAGTACAAATGCAACTTGTCTGAGCAGCGGAAAGTTCACTCAAGATGTCAAGAAATGCGTGGGTACTCTCTCAGCTGGGAACAAGACCGGAGGTTGCTGGTCATTATACTTCATTGTGGTGCATTCGCTTGTTTTGCTTCTTGTTCACATATGGGGGAGAGAATGAACAAGTATAAGAGTCCTCTCATCGCCGCCTCACAGCAGGAGGATGCATCGGGCTCTCTATCACAACCGACCCGCAGAGCTGTTGAATGACTGACTGCACATGTTTGCTTGCCCGAAGTTTCTCCGTCTGCTTCTCGATGACCAGGGACTGTTCTTTGTGGCTTCTTGCCAGCAGCGCAAGTTTGCGCTCCAGCTCATTGATCCTCCGCGATTTTTCCTCTAGCTCCTCCTGAAGTTGCTCGCTATCAGGAGGGAGCGAAAGGAGCAGGACACAAATCACCTCCATGGATTCTACTTGCTGATTTCGCTTGTCGAGATCCTCTTCTAGTTGTGAGCTCCGGTGCTTCTCTGCTCTCAGTTCCTCATCGGCCTGGAGGGAAGGTCAGTCCGAGCCTTCATCAAGGTGCCGGTACGTTAGCTAGCTGTTCCTCCACTTCATCCCTCCGCTTCTCACACGTCAGGAGCTTCTGTTGATGGCCCTCCAGGTCCTCTTTCATGGCCTCTAGCTCACTCTGGCAATCTGTCAGCTTCCGTTGATGGATGGCAATCTGTCGCTCTGCGTCGAAGTATCTCGATCTGAGAAAGGAAGACGGTCAGGCCATCAGTCAACCTGCCCTGTCCCGCTACCGCATCGACGAGACGTGCCCGGTCAAAGTTGCCTGGATGGCGGAATGAGACCTTTCAAGCTCGTCCATATCTTCTCTATGTTTCTCTTTCTGTGATTTAAGAAGTCAACCCAATGATTTTGCAACATCTTTTCATCCACCAATTTCTGAATTTGACACGTTAATCTGATCACAACATCCTCTTGAGAAATCACTTCACGACCACACCTGCAGGCCCAGCGTCAAGGTTTAGTTCATGGCAGAGTGTCTGACCCTGGAGCCAAGGAGGCAGAAGAAAGCTGACTCCCATCGATTGCGGAAGAGAAGGAGCAGAGAAAGTTGGAAGCTGCCTTTCGCAGTAACACATCTTCACAACTGGAATGAAGTTATCATATTGTCGTCATCGTCAACAACATCAGTTGAAAACTCGCTTGTTCAGCAAAGACATGAATCAAAGATGAGCTACCTCAAACATGAGATCACTCCTCGTATGGTCTTGTTCCAATTCCCAAGTTCAAAGTTCGGCCAGATGACACGGTAGACCAGTAAGTCGCTCAAGCTCTCTAGGAGGTCGACTATGGTGGCCACTAGCTCCTTGCGCTCCGCGTTGACTTCGCCCATCGATGGTTTTGCTGTATCCTTGTCCTCCAGCCTGGTGGCCAGGGCTGCAAACGTTTGAAGGAGTGTGCACACCATGTTCTCAATTTCCTGATGGTGAGAAAAACAAGTTCGTTCATTGACAGGTCGAGGACAGCTTGTTGAGTATTACCGGCTGAGAATCCAGAAAGTTTCTGCAGTCCGGATCCTTTACGAGGGTTCTGATCAACATGCAGGCCTTTTGCGACCAAGTCAATCATAGCAATGAAGACAACTCTCTTGCTGACCGGAGTCAAACCTGTATTGAGAGAACAAACAACCGTCAAGAGAAATGAAAATGCCGATCGTACGTCGATACCTCGTGCTTCCATCGAAGGTAAATCGACATGCGAGATAAGCCGTGAAGCATGCCTGGGGATATGGAGTCATCGCATGTCAATACTCCATGACAAGACCTCATGGCCTTCATGACTACATCCTGTGAAAAAAATTTCCTGACCACGTTGGGAGGAGCAACTCGAAGCAAAAGGCAAAGAGAATACGATAGTTGGTCATCATCATTGTTGAATAAGAACTCGGTCAGCTTTGGAACAGCTTCTATCTCTTGCACACAGTCTGAAATGTCGATTTGAATATCACTAAAAACGCATGTTGTGCAACTTTCGTATTCAGCAGCATGCAAAACTTTGGCCAGAAGCTCCACGCTGTACCATGCACATGGATCAATTAAAGGAAACATCATTCAATTCATCAGTCTCTTACCACGACGCCTTGAGGTCCGCAGAATGATGTGAACAGAACTTGTTGATAGCATTTCTGCATACACGTTTCCAGACTTCACTCACTATCTTTGCATCCTGTTCATTGGTCGGACAAGGAATAATGTTTCCGCATCCACAGAACGGCCGAAGATGTCTGTTCGCAGATATCCATCTGATAGCACCTTGAATATCACCATCTTTGACAGGCTTCCATGCTCCTTCTTCCGCATAGACTCGACTCCTGCATGGCGTATACCCGGCGATTGGCTGACTGATGCTTGACTCGCTGCAGATGAGCATACTGACTGACTCACGTGAAGCCATCGGTATCTGGACAAGAGAAGATGAGCAGACTGTGCGGGTTAGTTCAAGAACATGCGCCTGTACCCTCAAGCTACACGCCTGCTCTGGCAGCTTGAATCCAAACGACCTTCCGTTACACAACATAACGAAATCAATTTCCGTGACTGACGACGGAGCCTCGGAGGCCGCAGCCAGCGGCCCGGGCGCCCGGCCCCGGCGGCCCCGCGGACTGCCAGTCCCGGGGCGTGACTCCGAGAGTCGAGGAGGCCCGGCCCGGGCCGGGCCGCCCGGCCGGCGGCGATTGCCACCGCAGTCACTGAGCCCCGGAGCCAGTGGCATGAGTTGATCCGATAGTCCGAGGCATCCCGGGCCGGCCCCGGCGGACCGGCAGTGGCCCGGGACCTTTAGCCTACGGGCAGTTTACAAGTCTGACGGCTCCGAGTACTTCACTGACTCTGAACGGCCTTTACCGTACTCAAAGTTAAGTCAAAAACTTGAAAATCAGTACGAGGACAATCACTGAGAGTCGAGCCTCCGGGAGGCGGGCGGGGGGCCCGGCGACCCTGACACTGGCTGAGTCGCACTGGCCAAACGGCGAGAAGAGAACTGAAGACACCGCGGCCGCGGGCGGCGAGACTCAACCAAACCTCAGTACTGACTGCCCTGCCGACTGCTGTCCCGGCCCAAACTTCAAAACAGTGCCCGGCAGGAAACCTTCAAGGCCGGCGGCGGCGGCGCGGGGCTGTGCCGCGGCCCCCGCCGAGTCCGATCGGAGCCCGCGCCGCCGGGGCCGCCGCCCCGCGGGCCGGCGTGTCACCACTGCCAGTGGAAGCCAGTCGTGACTGATCATCGGATGACCGCTACCGCGGTAAGTTAGTCCCCAACTTACTAGTGACTAATTTCTGAAGTTCAGTCCCCCACCGGCGTGCTGGCTCCCCGGGGCCTTCAAAGGCTCCACCACTTCGGAAAGCTAGGGCTCCCCAACTTGAGCGCTTTTGATAGATGATGACAGTCACATTCCGACCTTGAGGGCTCTGTCAGAGAGCTATTCCCCAACTTCCGGATATCTTCCGGGCCTCCCGGAGTCTGGTCTCGAGAGCAGGGGACAAAAGGGCAGAATGAATTGATACGAAAATACTCCTTTTCAGAAAGAAACCTGAGGAATATTGGGGAGAGATTCGAACATGTGACCGGAGGAATCTAGAATCATCTTTCCTTACGGGTAACGTGCAGGCACCGTGGCAATCCCATGAGGTCCAAAAGAGGGAATGGGTGTAGTAAACATGGGGAAGAGGAGAAAATTGCACGGATGCCACCAAGGCATAACTATAACTCCGTATAAAAAGCTGCCTTTATCGACCGGGGAAACCAATCCCTCGCTCTCCCCACGCCAACGCTTCAATCCTGTTGAGACATTGCCTGCTGCATTAACAGAAGCTTCTCACTCTGTGCTTTCTTTGCTTCCCAGTCATGCAAATACCAGACTTCGAAATAGGCATCCAGCCATCAATGTATGTTTCAACAGATCTTTTCCATGCAGATCACAACGAACACCTCTCCAACTCACATCTTCACCAACCTCCTTCTCAGCAAGCTCCCTGTTCCACAAACTGCTGCTACGAGTCCTGGGATTCTTCCTTTCCTACCGGCATCCAAATTAGCGCATTCGACCCAGCTCAAGAGGATAACGGGACAGCGATGACCTGGAACACAGTAAACATATTACAGCCAGCCAATCCTGATTACTGCATCCAAGCCTATCCCGCCTTCCCCGACTACAGCCTCGATGATCAGCCCCCCCAGCCTCACTTTCTCCAGCCAAGCAACCCCGAGGTGCTCGACCACGACCACGACCACGACCACGATACCGACAGCCTCTCGTCCTCAGATGCTGCAGACATGTCTGCAGCAGGATCGCCAGAGGGAGAGGACAGCTTCGACCTGGACAGCATCTTCGAGGGGAGCGACCTGGAGGAGAGGAGCGTACAGGTCCATGCCAGGAAGGGCAAGTCCATGTCGCGGAGCCCTGTGGTGATCACGTTCGAGCTCCTTGCCGAGCACTTCCATGAGAGCCTCGAGACCGCGGCGTCCAAGATCGGGATCGGCAAGTCGACGATGAAGCACGTGTGCCGGCGGCTGGGGATCGAGAAGTGGCCCTACACGCACAAGGGCCATCGCAAGAACCGCCCGAGGAAGCTCGCGCACCATCAGATCTCAGCGTCGTCGATTGTGTTCACGGACTCGCACGAGTTCTTCGGCGCGGCGGCACTGCCGAGGGTGGCACCGGGGCTGCTTGGAGCGAGCCAGCCGAGCGCACCTGCGCTGTACATGTCGGCGGGGCTTGGAGAGGCAGCGCTGGCCCATGCAGGGGGGATGGGGATGGCGGCTGCAGCCGGGGGGCAGGGGGCGATGGAGGGAGGGATAGGAGGCATGCACGAGAGAGGATGCCAAGGGGAGTCATCAGGGAGCATGATATCGGAGACCGACCTGAACTTTCTTTGGGACTGTGTAGGACGGACGTAGATGATTATTCTTTCAGCAATTTGTTTCTTTTTCATTTTCATGTAAATGGTTTACTACAACGCGCATCACTATTCAATGTTTCAAGCAAGCTGTCTCTTTCCTGCGTTAGATTTTTTGAAATCCTCTTTTTGTTTTGTTTTGGCTCATTGTTGTATAATTGAAAGCCACATAGAACTGTTCAAATCGGTCTCGCTATTTCCACGACATTGCAATACCGTTTAGCTTGTGCAAATAGAGCTCAGTAGGCTGTTCGTAGGTGAAGGACTTGAAAGGAATCTCATTCCTGATTGGAGTCCGGGGCAGACCCGCCCTGATTTTGTAAGCCCACCTCGGGGAAAACGATCGAGGCACCAAGGAGAATACCTCAAACTGTAACGAGCAGTCAAGGCAGAAGTTTTGGTGTCGGGTTTCCTCATTTAACGTTCCTCAAATGTGAAAGGCTACAAGAACATGGCTGTCAAATCAAAGAGAGGGTGGGGGTCTGTTTTTTGTACCACATATCCTCGAATGTACCCCCTGAGCACGAAATCTCAAAAGCCTGACTCTCGTTTGCTAGAATTTCGAAGCCCCTCGTGACTGAGACGAAGAGGAAGAAATACGCAACGTTCCAAGACCGAGGCCGCATTTGCAAAACTTGAAACTTGGGGAATAGAGAAGGGGTCACGAGACCCATCTCCCCAACTTCTAAATTAGGCTACAGAGAACTCCCCAACTTGATCCCGTGCCATATACACATCTCCTCATGTTTGACCTCAACCTGGATGTAAAAATGATTTTCAAGTTCTGAACGATACGACAGAAAACCGAAACAATCAACAAGAAGATGCCCTGATACTCCAGCGTCCATCCATGCAACAGACCCCTGAGCTCCCCTGCACCACCGTCGACATAGTACCAGCCTATCAACACTGCACCGCATCCTCCGCATCCTTCCAGGCCTATCCCGCCTTCCCCGACTACAGCCTCGATGATCAGCCCCCCCCGCCTCACTTTCTCCAGCCAAGCAACCCCGAGGTGCTCGACCACGACCACGACCACGACCACGATACCGACAGCCTCTCGTCCTCAGATGCTGCAGACATGTCTGCAGCAGGATCGCCGGAGGGAGAGGACAGCTTCGACCTGGACAGCATCTTCGAGGGGAGCGACCTGGAGGAGAGGAGCGTACAGGTCCATGCCAGGAAGGGCAAGTCCATGTCGCGGAGCCCTGTGGTGATCACGTTCGAGCTCCTTGCCGAGCACTTCCATGAGAGCCTCGAGACCGCGGCGTCCAAGATCGGGATCGGCAAGTCGACGATGAAGCACGTGTGCCGGCGGCTGGGGATCGAGAAGTGGCCCTACACGCACAAGGGCCATCGCAAGAACCGCCCGAGGAAGCTCGCGCACCATCAGATCTCAGCGTCGTCGATTGTGTTCACGGACTCGCACGAGTTCTTCGGCGCGGCGGCACTGCCGAGGGTGGCAGCACCGGAGGCGCCGGGGCTGCTTGGAGCGAGCCAGCCTGAGAGCGCACCCGCGCTGTACATGTCGGCGGGGCTTGGGGAGGCAGCGCTGGCTCCAGCAGGGGTGATGGGGATGGCGGCTGCAGCCGGGGAACAGGGGGCGATGGAGGAGGGGATAGGAGGCATGCACGAGAGAGGATGCCAAGGGGAGTCCTCAGGGAGAATTTTCTTTGATTGGGATGGAACTGTGTAGGAAGGTTTGTGTTTAACGTCTGAAAATCGGACATCAAATTCTGTTGCAATTAACCTATTGTTTTGATTAATCAAGATAGGGGAGGAGTACCAAGACAGTTGCAGTTCACACGAGAGGCTAAACTCTCTCATTCATAATGTGTCTAGAACCATCCACTCGCTTGGATAGCACAATTGTTAGGAAGAAAAAACTGGGAATGAGTATGCACTGTTCTCACTGTCGATGTATGCGTTTCTGCGATTTTTGAGTATCAGATGTGATGCAAGAGTTTTGGTATTGTATATAAATTTGAGAGTTGATTGCGTACGACATGTCGCTGAACTTAAGGAAACTAGATGTTTTGTGAAAAGAGGCTATTTCAATTCTCAACCTAGGGGAATGCGTTGCTGACCTCCCAGTCACATTCTTCTCCCCAACTCTTCTGAAAGGCTCAATTTTGTTGCATCTGGAGAACGTGGCTCCTCGTGACTTTTCTTTCTAGAGAAATCCAGTTTCCCCAGGGGTAAAGGTTCCCCAAGTTTACTACAAATAACGGTGCGATTCCATCAACCTTGTTTCTTGCACGGTAACGTGATGGACAACTGATAAAATGCAACGTTATATGACCGCGGCCGTTCCTCTAGTCAAAGGGTGGGTCAGTTTCATATCGAATCACCCGGTACTGTTGGCCTTACAGGAAAACTTGGGGAATATGGAGGGGGGATCACGAGACCCACTCCCCCTGTTTAAAACAGACTCCTTCCCTTCCTGATCCCCACTTTCTGCAGGCAACACGCCGCTCCACGCTAATTTTCGCTGCTGGTCGACCCTCTGATTGTCTACTCCCAGAGCTATCTATCTACACTTCTGCTTTCCGAGCACTCCAAATGCAGATCACTGAGTACGAGACTGCCATCCAGCCATCAATGTATATTGCTCCAGACTTCTCCATGGAGCTCCAACAGTACAACACATGCTATTCCTTCTACGAACAGACTCCTGCTCAGCCCTCCTGCTGTTCTTCTAACTACTGCTGTGATCCTTGGGAATCTTCCTTTCCTACCGGCATCCAAATCAGCGCATTCGACCCAACTCAGGAGGCCTTTGCGAATCCCGTCGATCAGCCTGCCAATGATCCAGATGCCTGGATGCTCATGGGTCCATCCATGCAACAGACCCCTGAGCTCCCCTGCACCACCGTCGACATAGTACCAGCCTATCAACACTGCACCGCATCCTCCGCATCCTTCCAGGCCTATCCCGCCTTCCCCGACTACAGCCTCGATGATCAGCCCCCCCAGCCTCACTTTCTCCAGCCAAGCAACCCCGAGGTGCTCGACCACGACCACGACCACGACCACGATACCGACAGCCTCTCGTCCTCAGATGCTGCAGACATGTCTGCAGCAGGATCGCCGGAGGGAGAGGACAGCTTCGACCTGGACAGCATCTTCGAGGGGAGCGACCTGGAGGAGAGGAGCGTACAGGTCCATGCCAGGAAGGGCAAGTCCATGTCGCGGAGCCCTGTGGTGATCACGTTCGAGCTCCTTGCCGAGCACTTCCATGAGAGCCTCGAGACCGCGGCGTCCAAGATCGGGATCGGCAAGTCGACGATGAAGCACGTGTGCCGGCGGCTGGGGATCGAGAAGTGGCCCTACACGCACAAGGGCCATCGCAAGAACCGCCCGAGGAAGCTCGCGCACCATCAGATCTCAGCGTCGTCGATTGTGTTCACGGACTCGCACGAGTTCTTCGACGCGGCGGCACTGCCGAGGGTGGCAGCTCCGGAGGCGCCGGGGCTGCTTGGAGCGAGCCAGCCGAGCGCACCTGCGCTGTACATGTCGGCGGGGCTTGGGGAGGCGGGGGCGATGGAGGAGGGGATAGGAGGCATGTACAATAGGGGATGCCAAGGGGAGTCATCAGGGAGCATGATATCGGAGACCGACCTGAACTTTCTATGGGACTGTGTAGGACGGACTGGGATGGATGCTTGTAGAGTTTAGATTTCAGACTCAACGAGGTCTTGGAGGCAAGAGATTTATTTTTTTGATGTTCATATTCGTTCATTAAAGTGTCAGATGCATTTATTTTTCGATTGCGAGTTGCGATGAGTGCACCGGGCAGAGAATGGACTCTTCGAACTTCAGTGAGACCTGAAAATATTGAACTTTCAATCAATGAGTGAAACCAGGTCTTTGACGACTTTGAACCAGGTCTTTGACGACCAGGTCTTTGACGACTGTCGTCAAAGCAAACAAAACTGCGAAGCTGAGTCGGGGAGAGAGACTCGAGGAATCCGCAGCTGGAATAAGAGAGAGACAGACGACCATCATGAAAGATTGAAGGGTCCCTGTATTGAAAGAATAACAACATATGGCATAGTTAACATCTTTGTATGATGCCGCTGGCAGCAGCATCTGACTGAGGAGGATTGACGGAGGCTCGAGCATGGGCTCGGTGGTTCAAAGGAAACCTGATGAAGCATTCTGAAGAGTGTTACCTGGCAGCAGCCCCCAGCTTTGGACGGCACCAGCTCTTGTTAGTTGTTGTCGCATACTTCTTGAAGATTCTGATGAGTGGCCTTACATCGCAGTGTGTTGGTGTGCTCATCTTGGCGTCAATCTCCCCGGGGAGCATATTTACATAGCCCAATACACCGAGGCGGGTTGTTTGAAGATTTTTAGTCAACATAGTGAGGCGCATGGCACGGAAGGTTCGATTGGCTCTACTGTGCGCGTGCGCCATGGCAGATGAGATGCTGGAGGGTAGGAGGGGGGATGGTGCAGCACGTAGATCGCAAGTAGGCCGAGGAGAGAGGAGGAGCGATGGTCCGTAGGAGAAGGTCTCGTCATCTGATCCTCGATCCTCGAGACCACAACCCTGATCTTGTTTCGATTTCTGCATGGATTGATTCGTTCAGCAGGTCTGGTGACTCTCCTTGTACGAAGCCGGTGGGAACTGCACAAGACATCTGAATCTGCTCACGTTTCTCTTCCTCTCCCAATGCGATCGCCGAGGACTTTGCGGCCGGCATTCAACGTCGCCTCGCTCAGCATCACTCTGTTGCTTTTCTTTTCAAACTCGCCTGGTTGTCATGGATTGCCGGCCATAGCATCTACAACATGCCCCGCCTATGATCTATGTACACCACTGTCTCGATGTCCAGCGAAGATCTCGCCGTCATGCCTCTCACTCAAAGGAGGATCCGGTTCCAATCCCCCCGACAGCGGCACGGGCTCCCCAGCCAATGCTCTGCAGAATCTCTTCTCGGCGCTTGGAGCGACGCCGACCAGTCAGGAGGCACCGAAACCCTCATGCTTGGACAACAACCCCAACTTCGGCCTTGGTATGGGAAGATCCTTCAAGGCGCTCGCCATTTTCAATGAGGTCAAATCCGACTACGAGAACTCCCTGCTGAATGTGAGCGATCCGATCCGTCGCGCCAAGGTCCTGAAGGAGGTGCATGCCAGGGGCGCGCAAAAGGCGCTGCAACTTGCTAGAGAGAATGGAGGGATCTACAACAAAGCTGCTCAGTTCGTAGCATCCCTCCAAGGCGGAGCAGGAAAGCGAGGGATCCCAGAAGAATATGTGAGGACGCTGAGTGTCTTGACCGATCAAGCGCCGCCGAAAACGTTCGAAGAGATCGACTCCGTGATCAAGGAAGAGTTTGGAAAGTCTGCGGAGGAGCTGTTCCTCTCCTTTGACAAGAAACCCATAGCAGCTGCTTCCCTGGCTCAAGTACATCGCGCTCTCCTTCATAACGGCACGGAGGTAGCCGTGAAGGTGATCTATCCTTCGCTCAGGAAGGAGATGGCCTCTGATTTCTCAGTACTGCGGACGATGGGGGTGCAAGTGAAACCAGGAGGGCTGGACCTGAGCGTCTTGATCAACGATTTCGAGAAAGCGCTGAGGGGAGAGCTCGACTTCGAATCGGAGGCGACCAACTCCGAGAAGACGGCCCACGTCCTTGCGCACATGCCGCAGGCGAAGGTGCCACGAGTGCTTTGGGAGTTCACGAGCAAGAGCGTCCTGACCATGGAGTTTGAAAGAGACCTTCTGCGCCTGAACGACGAGGAAGGGATCCTGGCGGCCGGGCTGAGGCTGGAGGATGTTGGAGAACTTGTTGCAGATACTTTCTCGGAGATGATCTTGTGCCATGGACACGTTCATGGCGACCCGCATGCTGGGAACATCTACGTGCGAGCTAAGGGCTCGCCTCCCCGACCCGAGCTCGTGCTGTTGGACCATGGCCTCTATCACTCCATCGATGATGTCTCTCGCGAGAAACTCTGCAGGTTCTGACAACTTTCGTCCTTACAACCGCTCAAGCTGAACCCACAGGCTGTTCCTTGCTTGCATCCACCGCCGGACAACGCAGGTGATCGAAGGTTGTGAGGTAGATTGCCAAGTCACTGGTATTCATCAGATCCAGAAGATATCCGAGGAGATCGCCGGTCCCCTGCACCGGTAGGTTTCTCTGCCTCGCGCTCAAACATGACCTGGCGCTGCAAAGATTTCTACCTCTCCTCCTGTCGCCGACCTTTGCGATTGCTACCTCCATGAACGCTTCCGACCTTATCGCGGCCTCTAAGCATGAGCTGCCAGAGAGTATCTCAGTGCAGGATGTGGTGAGAAAGCACATGATCGGTCGCTGTGAGGTTTTCTGGTTGACTTGCCGCTCGGGTGACAGGGGAAGTGTATCAAGGCGATGCATTCGCATGGCAGCAACATGCTCGGAGTTCTGCACTCGTTGGGGTGAGGAGGAGGGGAAGATGGCGAGAGGCCCGTCAGAGATCTCTGACAAAGTGCGCCAGATACACGAGGGGGCTGCTACATGCAGTCAAGTACCCTGAAAGAGACAGGCTGTGCAGTATCGCCAAGTTCTCGGTGAGTCGACAGACCTCTGGCCGTCTACTCCAGCTGACTCTGAGCAGGTCCTCGGGCTGCTCAAGGCAGAGCAGAGAAAGAGCGCATTGAAGGCAGGCCTGATCACTCTTCCGCCCGAGGACAAACTCAGGATCCGATATGCAATCTTACAGGTCAAAAGAGCTGCTGTTAAATCGGTTTGAGTTACCAGGTCCTCTTGCAGGTTGACATATCGAAGATGATTCTCACCGTCATGGTATGGATCTTCTTGCACTGGCGGCAGGCAGGAGCGTTGGTCTTCTCCTTCTTCACCTTCCTGACCATGCTGGTGAGCTGCTTCTCCGCCTGGAGCTCCCTCCCTGCCGCTCACCCTGCTTTCAAGGCTTTCGGGTACCCACGAGGCGTGATGTCCAGCCAGAGCTCAGCTGGAGCAGGCTCGAGCTCGGGATCGGTCAGCTGGTCCAGGCGGTGGATATTGGGATTGAGAAGACCGCGGATGTGATGGAGAAGGCAATCAATAAACGGGTATGAGGATGTTTAGTAGCAGATGTCAAATGTGCAATCGTGAAATCTGGTTCGATCTCAAAGTAAACAAGGAGGTGTAGGGAGAACTTTTATTCTCGCTCAAGACACGATCATGTCACTGACGGGCAAGTGAGGAGAACTCGCATCACAACTCAAACTTCACGCCTGCATCCTTGAGCAACGTAGCCAGCTTGCCAGATTCCTTAGCCCTCACGCAGTCTGTCGCCAGTGGTCAGCTGCTCAAACGACGGTCAATGGTTTCACCGTCGTTTCCCCCGAGATGCTTCCCGTCGATGAAGATGTTGGGGACGGTTCTCTGCCCCGTGAGCTTCGCGAGCTCCTGGTAGGAGGTCAGGTCCAGTCTAGAGCTGCTCGACACTCAATCGGTACTCACAGCTTGGATCTCAGCTCCGTTAGACATCTGGTCGAGCTCGTCGGCATGATACTCGACCCCCATCTTCTCAAAGACGGACTTGGCATTCTTGCAGTAGGGACAATAGCTCTTGGAGACTGCAGTGTGTCAGTTCAAAAGGCTTTCGGTCTGCAGAGATCTATACAGATCTGAACTTTATGCTGCTTGATCGCGTCCATCATGTGATCCTCTGCCGACTTGCCTTGCACGACTGCAAGACCCTGTAATGATCATCCGTCAGATGACATTCATCATCTGGCTCAAGTCTCGCTCCTCTCAGCTGGTCAAGGTGCTACAGCTACATCTGCCATAGCAAGCAGCGCACATTCCATTCTCATAGCATCATCACACTCTTGATAGGTCATCAGAACATGTCTTCACCATGTTGGATCCATGACATCTCTCAAAGCTCTTACCACCGCAACCATCAAGATCATTGCCCATGCCGCCTTCGCCATCCTCGCCGTGCTGTCGCCACTTTTACAATTGAGAAATCTGAGGCCCTGAGGCCCGGCGGCGGCCGCTGCGGCCCGGCAGTGCCGGGCAAACACCGGGTGGTGACCGTACCGTCGGACGGAGGTTGAGGTACTCGGGACTCCGGGGAAGGGGGGGGGGGGTCAGGCGACAGGCACCGCTACCGTACCGTCAGTGAGACGGTAGTGTGTTCCACGGCTAGTCACTAGTCCGAGCCACCGTGACTCGTTGAACGGGCCGCCGAGTCGGACGGTCGTGTTTCAGTCATCTCACTGAGTTGGAGGAAATGCTATAACAGGCTGGGATGAGAGAGCACTGATTTATCCAAAGGCTGGAAGTGTGAAAGATCGAAGTGGATCTACTCGTCTGCCAGCAGAGTCTCGTTCTTGTGTTGGCTTTCGGCTTCCATCTGGTACTTGTCTGCAATCTGACAGTTGGTAACCTGCAAGCATATACAATCATAATCGCGATGAATGCATTTCGGAACATTCAGACCGTGCAATCATTCTCGATGTATACATTGTTGGAGATGACGCATCCCGTAAGATTACAGTTGTCCTGCAAGTCAGAAGTGGAACCGTAAGGAATACACGAAATGGCGCATACACTGAGCGATCAACCTGAATAGTCACGTGGCTGTGTAGGATGCAATTGACGATCTTCACATTGCTCCCTATCGAGCTAAAACAAGACTCAACAATCAAACCAGAAACTACCTGACTTGGCTCACCAATGTTTGCCGATCACTGACTTCTTGATGCTGCTCTTCTCCCCGATCGCAAACCCCTGCATCACCCACTTGAGACAGGGCAGATGACGAGATTGAACTGCTTCTCACCTCGCCAACAACACAGTCCGACCCGACTTTCTTTGCAAACGCTCTCTTCTCCTCATCGGTCTGTCAAAACAACATGAGCGCTCAGCTCCTGGAAGGCATCGACAAGAAAACCTTGTCTGGGAAAGAGGAGTTGGGCTCCCACGGGACGCTATGACCTGAAAGAGGTGTTGAGCTATGAATGAAGATAGCGAGGCAGCGACCTTGATGGCGGGGGACCTCGAAGTTCATTTCCTTGTAGGTGTGTAGGGAGTCGGCGCGACTGCGCAGGAGCATGTCAGACATCTCGCAGTCATCAAAACAAGTCCATGATGACCTGCAGTATCCTCCATCGTAGATGAGCGCATGGCAGCGGATGGGAACGAACTTCGATCGCTCCGCATCGTCGTCTACCAGGCTCTCGTCCTGGGGGCACCCAAAAGAAAATCAGGCTGGTGGCCACTGGAGGGAGAGACGAAGAGAGAATATGAAACTCACAGCCTTCTCATCTTCGTCTTCTTCCTCTTCCGAAACAAGAACCGGCTGTCCCGGCACCGACTTTGAAGAGAACTGACTCTTGATGAGGTATGGCACGAGCTCGGTCTTGATAGACCGAATCTCGGTTTCTTCTTCCAGCAGGTCAAGAATCCATCGAGAGAAGATGTAGAAGTGGGCATCCAGGATCTTGTTCGTGATGGAAACATTCGGGTAACTCCGCAACACTTTCCGCGGAAGAGTCAACTTGTCTTCAACGTCCGCGGCTGATTCCAGGCACAACAGCCTCGTCCTCTTGGCATCGAGAGCAACAAAATCGACGTTTCCACCCTCGCCCTTGGCAGGCTTCGACCCAGGTTGTTTCACCTCCTGCTTTGGAGGCCTCAAGAGCACCGTGCATGTGGCATCGTTGATCCTGTGAACGTCGGCGAGGTGATGAACGTATACGTCCGTGACAAGGTCCCCACTCACTACGACGAAATCTTTGGTGATTTTCTCTTTCAGAGCACGCAGAACGTCTGCCGTCTCACAGTTCTCGTCCACCTCTACGATGTCAACCTTGATCGACCCCTTGTACCCCTGGTCCATGAAGTTGACGAGCTCGTCCCTGGCCTTCGGTGTGGTAGCTACTATCACATCCTTGAAGCCGCTCCTCTCCAGCAGAGCGAGCTGGTACATGACCAACGGTCTGTTAGCGACAGGGAGGAGGCACTTGGGTGTAACTTCATTGAGGGGATACAGCCGCGTCCCGCCGCCATCGTCGTGATCCCCCAGCACCACAGCTTGCAGTTCCATTGCTACGTCGACCGCCCCTACCCCACCCCTCGCTGATTTCAAAAGCAACCCAGCACTCGACCACTACCCTACCATATTACTGGAGAAAAATCGTGATCCTGTACCTTGTTATTCACTGTTAAAAATACCCGTGTGTTGCATCACTACCCCTTATTATTCATGACCCTACCTATCATTGAGTAGAAATACCCCAGACCCCACCCCACAACAGTCCCTCGTGTGAAACCCAGTCATCCCGATTCAGACCTGGGCCCTCATACCGCTCACTGAGTTTGTTCTATGGCAGAGTTGCAGAGCCCGCCGGCGAGGGGAGGCCGAGGAGAAGCCGAGGGGAGGGGAGGAGATGCTGAGAGAGCAGCGCAAACATGCTGGCAGGAGGATGAGACTGTGGGGGGAGGTTGAAAGGAGATTGCAGGGAGGGAGAGGATGGTAGGGTTGGATATCGATGGATACGAATATTTTCATCAGAAAATTGGATGAAGAAAGGGAAGAAAGAATGCTGATGTGGCCTTGGGATTCAAGATATTCTTGATTATATGATCTAGTTTGGAACCTATGAATTTGATAATCAAAATTTTCATTCCTGTCTCATCAACTTGATTATTTTTTGAATTGCGCTGTTTTGAATATTTGAAGAGTATATTGCCTCGATACGCCTTTGAATTGGCAGAAAAATGTGAGCATGGTTTCGTCATTTTTGTGTCATTACAGATACCTGCCCCTTGAATCATCTTCCAATTCACCATCTGATAGTAATTCTAGGTTGAAATCAATTTTGGTTATGGACGAAAGCTATTAGATCCATTAAAAAGAACATGCACTCTGATACGGTATGAACGCGTTAATCTTACGATGCTTTTCTCTCACTCGCTTCAGGTCTATTCTGGATCTTCTCCTGTGGACTCGATTTATTGGGTAAACCCTGTGGTTACTAAGGGTTTCCGATTGTTCGGTCTCCTGCCTACCGATGTAAAATGCAAGATCTTCTCATATTTACCCTTCGGCGTCGTCAAGAAAGCTGCTCTCTGCAACAAAGAGCTCCACGATTATATATCCCCCTTGATAGACTTTGATTTTGCGTGCATGGGGTGTAATCATAGGCTGGTTTCTTTCAAGAGATTCGTTCACACCATGTGTTCAGGTGCGTTGACCATTGAGGGATGGGTTCAATCATGTGTGACTGTTGTTGTAGATTTCATTTATGATGTCGCTGTCTGTGTCAAGGTAGATGATGAGTCAGAACTCGATAAGAAGGAAGGTGGTCATGGATTTCGATTCGGAACAACCACGTTCATTCCTGTGCCAACCTATTCCTCGTCCGAGCACGAGATTCTGCAATACTCTTACATTCAGAAGCTTCTGGTGGGCAGTCATGCATGCAAGATGATAGGATAGCTTTGCTGACGGCGTGATGGGGAACAGGGGTTCGTTTCGGATGGAGAGCTATCCTTCAGTCTTTGCGACATGTGCTGTGAACAATGTGGAATGTTCTTGGGCCTGAAGGTTTGCAACCTGGGGGTCACGTCAAAGTCAGGGGATGTGGAGGCGGAGAATCTTGTTGCGTTGCAGCGTCAAGGCATCACAGACGGCAGAACACAAGGTTGGGAGGCTGTGATCTGATGTAGTTGGTGGTGTGTTGACTGTCGAGAAAGGTTCCAGGTTTGTCCTGCCCGGTGTAAATTTGAACTGGTTCGCCCTGACTATGTGAGATCGCTTTCTTTGCAGTTCGGTGATTGTAATTCTGTGGTTTTGCAGAAACGAAATGCTGAACCTGGAGCATTCAGAAGAGAACTGGGATGAAAATTTCAACCTCACTGATATCGACACGATGGTACCTTGTTGTGAGGGCCATTGAGATTTACATACTGATGATTCTATTGTTTCTTGATAGAAAACCTTTCGACCTATCAAGAAAGGAGAGGCGCTTTTGTGCAAGCAAAGACTAAATATCATCGACAAAGCGTGCAACTCGCTGATTACATCGGGCAATATCCACTGCTCCCACTGCAACAACGCCATAGCCCCTGGCAGGGTAAGTAGCTTGGCACAGCTCGAAGTCGATTGTTAGGGTAAGAATGCAATCACTGGCAGGCTGTGCTCAACGAGAAGGGGATGGAGCCAGAGGAGGAGGAAGGCGACCTTGTGTTTGTGGCCGGAATGACCGCCGGCTCATACATTGAGGAGGACGAGGCAAGAAGTCGGAAACTGGATGCTGAGGACGTGACATGGTTCCTGCAGGAGAGGAGAAGCTCGAGGTTTGCGGGTGTTGTCGTCAAAGATGTTTCCTGTGCTGGCTGCCGTCGAAGGGTTGGATGGAAGCACTTGGTGATACCAGAGGAGGAATGGGATGGAGACGAGATGCTCTCCTCGCACCGGCACCTCCATGGCGTCTTCTGCTTGCGCCGCCATCTGATCACGCGCGAAGGAGCTTCCAGCATCAGGAGTGACACATCGCTAGCTCAACGCATCCTCCCTGCTGAATTTCAAACCCCAGCGAGCCCATCGTTGTAGATTATCCCTTGGAGAGAACTGCTGTACATTATTTGGCCTTGTTTGACTTGTTTGTCCCCTTTTTCTTCTTGCCGCTCTTCGTCGTCTTTGTCTCGGGTGTGCTGGGGACGGGGAATTGAGAGAAGTGAAGCTTTACCTACGTGAAGTCAACCATCAAGACATCGCATACAAGCCTCGTTCGCACATTCTCCGGCAAATCAGCGTCATTGTAATGCCTCTCGAAGTACTTCTTGATCTGCTGCAGCATCAGTATATCTCCTGCACAGTGCGCCTTCAACATGTTCACCTTGCGCTCGAAGTCCGTTGACGGCGACCCGAGGCTCTTGCTGTAGCTGCTGAGCTGTGTACGGGTGAGAAGGAGCAGGAGGAATGTTGAGGCATCACCAGCCTTGCTGGATCCACAGCTGGAGTCGGGCTGTGCTGGATTGGAAGGAGAGGACGGGAGCTCGTCGTCTTCGTCTTCTTCTCCAGCAGCATGCGCTCTCTCACTGGGACGAGTCAGAGGAGCTTCGAGCCGAGGGAGCTACCTTGACGGACAGCAGAGCTGCTGAGCAAGGAGAAGTTCTCGAAGACACACCTGTCGGGGAGATGCATGATGTGCTCCCGCAGGTTGGGCTCAATTTCAGTCTGGCGAGACTTCCTCGAGATCGTCTCAGCCTCTTGCCCAGCCAGGCCCTTCAAGACGTCAACGTCCACCAGGTGAATGAGATCGCGCAAGAAGCTTGTCTCTATCTTGTAGCCGGCGCAAACAAGCGAGTCGAGATCGGTGATGCTCGTTGGTGTGACTATATCGGAAGGGTATCGCATGTACAAGACCTTGTCCTTCCTTCCCACACCCTCAACCTCAACCTAACGAGAAACACGTGTCAATGACAGAGCAGCGATCGTCATGTAGTTTGATGACAGTAGAAAAGCATCGAGTCAGCAGGAAATTGTTTCACCTTCACTCCCATCGGGCATTGCAACTGCATTCCTGGGAGCAAGCCCAAGCTTGAGACTGTTTCAGCCACGTCGGCAAACTCCGCAGTATCACTCTTGGGCATCCAAAGATAAGGCAACGAGCGGAGGGTATGAAGTCAAGGACAATGATAGTCAGATGATATCAACGACTGTGATCGTCAGATGATATCAAAGATTGATATCGTGTCGTCAGATGATATCAAGGACAGAGATCGTCAGGTTCTCGCTCGCTCATCGTCGCATCAGGCTCTTGTCTCTGATCGCAGCCTCCTCGTACTTTGCTCCTTTATAAAGGATCGGGCCGGCGGAACCTAGATTTTTTTGTCAACAAATTACTAATGATCTGATTTGACTTTTAAGTTTGAGTTAGAAGCAGTTCGTCTATCGAACAACAAGAGTTAAGGAGAAGCAGCACTGTGACAAGGCCAAGACGGCAGTGAGGGGCATCAAAGACTCTTGCATTGCAAGTAGTTTATTCCGTCCTTACATTATCTTCTCTTCATCGCGTTGCCAACATTCAACACACAAAATCGTTCTTTCCAAGAGGAGCGATCTGAGGCATGGAGGCGTAGTTGCTGACGAACGAGCTATAGGTTGGTGTGCCTACATGTTCACGTTAGCGTCAGATGCGGCAGGAGAAACGAGCAGACTGACCTCTGTAACTACTCGCATAGGAAGCTGCTGGCATGGGACTCTGAGAAGCCCACGTTTCAAACGTCACAGGTCGCTCAACACAAGACTTCTCACCATCATAGACATGCGATATGAATCAGCGGCAGCAGGCTGGAAGTTGTACGTCTGATACGACCTGGGAGTGCGAGGCAAATGCCGTCAGACCATCTCGAGCCATTTCTCTAGGAGCAGCCAACCTCGCGTAGGTGGGGGTCATGTTGTCGTAACTTCTGAACATAGGAACTTGAGGGGTGATGGAGGGAGGAAGGTGATTGAAGCTTCTTCCGACGACAGAGCTGACACAACTTGTGTCAACGAACATAACCTTCCTCTTGCTCCTTGAATCTCTCCTCCCCTCCACCGTCATCCCTCCTCCCTCCTTTCTCCCAATCGCTCCCCAACTCATTACTTCTCCTGTGGTGCTTCTGCAGTGGAGGAGATATTCTTCTTGGGGCCTTGGGAAACGGATCAGCAACAGGAAGCAACAGGGCAGGCTTAGGACCGAAGATCATGTCAGCTCTCCACTCCTTCATGCTCTCCTCCACGGAGTCGTGCACCGCATCGCCCCAGATGAACGACAGGCCACTGAACTGCTTCTTGAGGTTCTTGATGGTCTCGTTGTCATTCTGCGAGCTGCTGGGAGCAGGAGGAGACGAGCGAACAGACTGTGGGCGAGTGAGCACACATGGGGAGAGAAACGATGGAGCAACAGGTACAGGTGAAGCAACTCCTTCGCTGGACGATGGTGCTCCTGATAGCACGGCCCGCAAAATCGTGACGACAACCTGGTCTTGACTCTGGCCGACGGTTCGCTGGAAGATCATCGTGATAGGGGAGTTCCTGTCGCCCTTGAGCATGCTCTGCACCTCTCCGACGGGCTTCCCGATGACCTATCAAGGGGTCACAAGGGCAACCGAACTAGAAAGAGAAAAGCAAGCGTACGTCTCGGCCATCCACGTCGATGAGAACATCACCCTTCCTGATTTGACCGGAGATGGAGGCTGGACTTCCGTGCAGAATGTCTACGACGGCGATCGAGTTCTTGTTCTTAGCCAGGACAATTCCAACATCAGCCACTCCTGCTGGTGATCGCGGTTCTGCATCGACCTGCTGACTGGTAGGAGCCTCTGATGCACCTTTGTTTCCTTGGCTCTCTGCAAGCGAAGGTGATGTGGATTTCGAGTTAGTGGGCGAGTTGTAAGCTGTGACTTGCTCCTCGACTTGCTTCGAGCTCTTGACTTGCTGACCACTGTACGACACTCTATAGGTAAGCTGCGCTATGGTGCCATTGGGTCCCAGCAAGGCTTCATCTGGGGCATTGACAGAGCACAAGTTGGCTGTGATGGGCCCTTCGCCCTTGATATCGGTCAAAGGCAACTAAAAAGCTCAAGTGAGCCCAGAAGATGGGATGTTGAAGGCAATGGCGTCACCTTGTAGACACCAACAGATTCATCATTCCCTTTGCTCCAGTTGTACACTGTAAAGACGATGGATGTTTGTTCCGACTTCTGTAAAGGAGCAAGTCAGCAAAAACAGATGCTAAGTGATCAGTACTTGAGAGTCAACTCCAAAAACAAAAGGTTGATCCTCAAAAACTGCTTCATGCGCTCTGTCCTTGAATACTGAAGTACGTCCAGACACTCCATCGACTTCCATCAAGACGTATGGGCGCGGCAGTGACCGGTTGAACTGTTGCAGTGATTACAACATACACTTACATAATCCCGCTAGACACCTTAGACCGTGGAAGGTTGGATAAACCTTCAATAGACACTTGGACAGTATTCTGATGGGCTTCTGGAGCTGGGGGATAGGTTGCCTTGGGAGCTTCGATCTCCGATGACTGCTTCTTCAACTGTGACAGGTTCAGACGGCAGGTCGAAGCCCATAAATCCAATCGTACCGATGAGGGCTTGATGTTGCCAGGCTCCTCCTCCTCCTCCTTCTTGAGAGCAATCCATCACCTCAAGCACTTTCCCAGGTACCCATGACTCACCTTCGGAACAGATGGTGGAGGTGGCGGTGGCCCTGCAGCTGCAGGAGATGTTGGAGCAGCAGGTGCTGCTGCTGGGGCCTCGGGAGCTGGTTGTTCGGACGTGACTTTTGTGTCTGCCTTGGGAGCCTCAGGTGCAGTTTGAGAGTCTGCAGCCTTGTTCTGCACGGCAGCCCCTTCAGCCTTCTTTGTCTCATTGTCAGGGATGTTGAACTGCAGGCCGATCTTGAGCTTTCCCTGTGCCTTCCTGTCGCCTACAACGGGATAGGTCTTCCCCTGTTTGATATCAAACCACTGCATCGCACATGTGTCAGAGTCTTCCGAACAACCGATGGACATTCGAAAGAACCTGCTCAAGGTAGCGATGGTTGAAGGGAATCAACTTGGCCAGGTTCAGGATGACCTCTCCGTAAAAGTTCTCCGGGGAGGGCGTCTCCTTCCCCACCTCCTCGGCGCCCCATATGGTGCATTCCAGCTGGCTGTTCTCAGGGTCTCTGACTCTGAGGTTGAAGGATTGGTCCCACTGGGGGTTGTCTTCCTTGGGCGCGACCTCGGTTATCATCGGATCCTCCCCGTGCCCGCCTTGAGAGCAACCTCGTCAGACTTGTCTGTCCTCCATGATGAACTCAGCGCACCTTTGTTGATGCGAAATTTCATGAAAACACTGGGCTGAGACTGATCGCTTCCCTTTCGGATGTTCTCTGCCCGAATGGCTTTCACAAAGACCATAGGCTCTTCTTGATTGTCTGCCATGTCTTTGGATTTCTCCCTTGCAAACGAGGAATGTCACAAAAGAGTCAAATGTTTGAAATGAAGACTCCAGGTCTATCAGAACGTAGAAAAGCTGCAGACTTTAGCAAAGTGCAGACAAGCATGCACTAACAAGACCCTCTCATATATGATAACGAAAAATTTGTTCTTGAATTTGAATTTGAAAACACTGGCCCAACTCAGTTTTCTGAGGAGGCGTACAAAATATGCTGTGTATGCAACAATCTTTCTACGTTTCAAACCTACAATATCTCTCATCCGAAACCTGAACTACTCTCTATCTTCGCAACTCAGCATGCATAATCTTGAATCTCGTCCAAATATTATGCGCCATGGGTTGAACATTCTATGTCTACCGTGCCATCAACCTTCCAGTCTTTGGCAGCCTGAGTTTGCAAAGAGAATCAGAGCAAAGATGTCTGGTGACATCTGCATATGGAGCCACATGATTCCACCATCACCAACTCTGATCCCATGATTCAATCGCTTTCCTTGTCCTCTCATAACATGCTGATTCACCCCACCCTCTACTTGACCCACTACCCCACCCCCTTATCGAGAGCCTGACCGACACCGTTATTGCTGTACCTATCACAAAGGATGGCGCGTCTTCCGTTTCTCACCCCTACCCCGTGACAAGCCTCTTTGACAGGGTACTGTACACTTCCTCTCTCCCAGTACGGGTCTCAGATTAAGTTTTGCTAGGTCGAAGCGGGGGTAGTAGAGCGGGTAGCACAATGCTACCGTTACGAGTAACAGTCACGGGTCCCGATCAGAACTACCCCTCCCTTCTTCTCACTGTATGACCTCAGGTATGACCCACCGTACGGGGGTGGCTAACCTACCTCCCGGTATTACCGGTAGTACCGCTGTACCGGTCTGAATGACTGAGATTGGTGTAGCTTTCTACCTCAACGGTGGTGTGCCGGGGCGGGCTTGTCACCCTGGCACGGTTGCCGGTCGGAGAAACGGAGAGTCACCGACCCCCGCGCCGCGGCGCGGCGAGCCGCCGGGCCGGTTTCGGACATTACGTTCGCTTGTTGGTTTTGGGGTTCTTTTTCCTGTGGGGCTCTGATACAGGCGTGGTAGAGTTTGAAGAGGGAAATGCACAGGGGTGGGTCCTGTAATACTAGTCATCGATGGTCAGACGGGCCCGGGCCTGACCCGGTCCGGTTGACTCGGAACAATGTTCAACGGTTCTACTTTCAAGGCACATAGTAGTTTCAATAGTACGTACGGTAGTGACTACTAGCTAGTTAACACTTAACGGCTCGGAATCAACCTGTACGCCGGCATCATAAGTTATAGGCAAAGCTGATGGATCGCACTGCTGCCAGCCGTGCCAGTCAGATAGCGCCGAGTTAACTCGTGACCGTGACTCTCGATCGGACTCCGTCACGAGCCGGGCCGCCGGATCGGATGGCCCGGCCGGGCCCAGCCCGCCCCGCGGCGGCCGCGGCGGCGTGACCGTGGCCACCAGTGAGTCACGGGAACACGGTCAGTGGCCGGGGGCAGGCGGCCCCGATGACACGTTCCGAAGTTCAACACAACTCCCGCGTTGTAGGCTTAACTTAACAGTAAGGAACTTCCGAGTCCGGCGGAACTGTCCAAGCCCGGCCGGGCTGACTGACCGTGACTCTGAGGCTTCAAGTCAATGAATCAAGTACGGTAGTACTTAAAAAATTTCTGTAAAAGAAAGAAAGAAAGAAAGAAAGAAAGAAAAGGAAAAACCATAGGATCCGGCCCGGTCCATGCAAGTGTACGTGCAGCAGGTGAGAGAGGAGAGAAGCAAGACGGGGAGAAGAGGAGGAGAGAGGAGGAGAGAGCAGAGAAGAAGCAAGGAATCAAACAAAATGAAGGGGGAAGCGAGTAGAAGAGGAGGAGGAGGAGGAGGAGGAGGAAGAAGATGATGGGAGTAGAGCCTGCCCGAACTGAAGCATGGCACACGAAGGGTTCGGCTATTCTTCCTGCACTACTGGATGAGGAGGGTACAACCCTAGAACAACCAAGACGCGCTTATTCTGTGAAGATACTTCCTGACCATGAAGAAGTCAGCGCTGATGTGATTATCTTCCCTCCCTTGCTCGATCGCATATGTTGACAACAAGAATGATCAGGAGTGTGATGTGTTCTTCAACCCGCAGGATGCAGTTCATGCTGCTCGAGACAGGCGTACGTTGAGATATTTTCATGGAGATATCTGAGTTGTCCTTACTCTCCCCGTCTCAAGGAGTTCGGCTCAAAGGCGTTTTCCAGCTCTGCTACTCCGATGGATGGGGGAGGTAGGAAGGGAATGGTATCTTTGAGGAGCGAGGCTCACATGGTTTGAAAGGTGGATACCAGAAGGAGAGCACATCACTTGCAGCTACGATGACGCTATGAAGGTTCTTCCGCACGTTGTGACTGATTTATGACTGCATGTTACAGGTGTGTAGGGAGCGAAACAAGGAGCGGGCAAGGGGGGAAAGATTGAAAGTAATGCCGGCCGACTCCGATGCGTTCTTTTCTCGAGGTAGAGTGGAAGAGAGAGGAAAGAACCTTGTCTTGCTCACTCGTACTCACGTGAACACCAGATGAAGAGGTCGATTTTAAGCACATTGAGGTTTTTTTCGTTTGCTGGGTTGCTCATCTCAACTCCATCGCAGGTCAGAAACTTCGATGCAGCACGCGATACGGAGGAGTGCACTCGTAGGTAGTCAACGGAAAGATTGCAGGAGGCTGACGTGCGTCCCCAGAAATCATTCGAAGATCGATCCTGGAGTATGGTCTCCGAGCAAGCAACAAGGTCTTCTATGCAGGTTCTTCTGGTCTGCTCCAGGACTTGCCGCTCACTCATGTACCAGAGGAATTTGAGAAGCTTCAATCAGATGGCTCGAGGGATTTTCTCAGCGGCTCATCGTCGTTGGATCTCTCTGCCGTCCCGTTACCTCATGAAACTTCCAACATGTGGGTCGCATGTGCAGCAACAAGGTAGCGAGCTTCATCAAAGTTCTCCCTGTTGCTGTTGTTGATCCCTTGCAAGAGCCCAGCACGGGGAGCAGGTGGCAGCTGAAAACAATGTTGGTCAATCGCGCCGAGTGCTGGGCATGATTGCCGTCACTGTCATCGCTGCCTCTATTCATCCAGGTCTGTTGATACAGCAAACGGCTGTCACGTTGACAGCCCGCAAGGCTTCCGGCCGGACAGTGCTGGGCTCGAGCTGAGACATTTCTACGTGCGGAGAGACGCAAGGCGAGCAGAGGGATCAGCGGCGTAGCAGAGGCTGACGCTGGTAGCAGGGGAAAGGGAGTTGGGAGCTTGCTCTTTGCTACAGCAAGGTATCAAATCCCCGCCTCTTATCGTGCGTTGATTCAGTCTGCCAGATCGTTCGCGATGCAGCACGGATACAAGAGGATCTTTCTCCAGGTCCTGCTCCTGCTCCTGCTCCTGCTCCTGCTCCTGCTCCTGCTCCTGCTCCCCCTCCCTCCCTTCTTTTCTCCATGTTTCATGTCGATTTTAAGAGTGTTTATTAAGACATCACGCAAGTTTACTTCTGGCCATGAGTTCTACCTGAGGTTAAGTGGCTGGCCAGGTTGACCTTGGTGACTTTACCGACTACAGGAAAGGCTTCCGGGTCGTCAGGAGGAACGAGACGGTCTGGGAAGTTGATCTCATGGAGCTTGTCTTGTAGCAAAGAATATCGAGAGCAGCTGGACGATTAGAAGCTGGTGAACGCGGGATCGCCGCCGACATGATCAGCCGGCGGCTCCCAGACAGGGTCACGAGATGCCTTGAGGATGGAGGCGGGCCGAGCCTGAGCCTTCTTCTCCACATGCTCCAGCGCCAGCTGGAAGTCACCTCGGTTAACTTCGAGCCCGTTCTTACGCCAGTGGGAGAAGAACTCGAGAAGGAGGCCCATGAAGAACGTGTTGAGCACGTCGAACACGCTCTGCTCGCGATTCATCGCGTCAGTCAGGCCGCCCGTCCTCAGCACCTCCAGGCAGATCCTCGACAGGCTGATGGCGAGCAGGCTGAAGGGGAAGCCATGGTCAGCCGCGTCGGAGACAGATGCGGACTCCGACGCGAACAGGAAGACCTGCTTGACCTTTTGGAGGTGATTGCTCGAGGCGTACAGTAGGAGCAGCATGCTCAGCATCCCCAGGTCGCGCAGGTCCGTCGCTGGGTCAGTTCCTTGGAACCCAATATCCTCCCAGTGCCGTCCTATCCTCGCCCTCGGCTCCTTGCTCCCCGTCACATGGCTGAAGATCGTCTGCAGCATCCGGAGGTGGATCACCTCGGGCTCAAGCTCGGAGACGTAGGAGCCTTTCCCGAAGGCAACCTTAGCGATGACGAAGACAAGCTCTCGCTCGTCCACCAGGGAGGGCGAGCTCAGCTCCTTCTTTCCCATCACCTTCTCCATGAACCTCGCCATGCAGCCGACCGCCTCTGCCCGCGTCACGATCGAGTCGAGAAAGGGCGAGCGGTCAAGGTGGCGGAAAAAGTCAAGGGCTTCCTCGAACGAGATAAGAAATTCGCGCTTGACAACCTTGGTAGGAAGAACCTTCCCGCTCTGCTCCGACACCATCCCCTGCTGCACTTCTTCACTTCTGTCAACCAACGTCTGCTCTTCGATCCCGGCCCATGCCCTCTGTGCTTGCTCCAGCATCTTACGGTCGATCTCCTCCTGGTTCAGCGGCTTGCCTTGCCCAGGCTGTGAAGATGAAGCAGCCTCGTCACTTTCTCCTCCATCATCGACTCCTGGTCGCTCGTCCTGCTCCACTTCAGCCTCCTCCCCTCCCTCCTCTTCCTCCTCCTCTCCCTCCTCCACGATAGTGTTGATTTGAGCAGACGGGACGCCCTCCCCCATGATGTCAGTCTCAATCTTCTTCTCCTGCTCCTGCTGCACGGTTTTCTCGTATCGCTCCTTCACCGACAACTTGGCAGATTTGCCAGGGGGTGACGTTTCTTTTTCCTCCACTTCTGAGAATGGGTTGTGCTGACTTGCATTGGTCGGTGATTTCTCCGCCTCAGGCGAGAGGAGAGGCTCGTCAGGCATCGGGGGGATTTCCTTGGTGAGGTAGCAGGACAGAGTGAGTTTGACACGCTCCCATATTTCGTCCTCTTCAGCTTCAGCATCGATGCTGGTACAGACCGATCCAAACTCGTGAGCAATAGCATTGTTCTTGAGATTGCATTCGTTCACAGCTGCAAGAGCAGCGTTCTCTTCGAAGTCAGCGTCGATCACCTTCTCGCCGTCCTCGTCCACAATCCATTTCTTCTTCTCGAGCACGAACTCTTCGTCGGCTTCCAGCAGCAGGAAGTCAGTGATGCTCAGGTTGTTGGTGATCAGTGCTTCTCGAAACATTTCCGCCTCGTGTCCGTCCCGAGGGAAGTTGATCAAGACAAAGGAACCCTGACATGACTCAACCCTCGCAATCACTTTTTGCAAGAGTTCTGAGCCCGAGGAATCAGCGGAATCCTCTCCATGTAGTGAATTTGCATCAATCAGCTCTCCTTCCAGCTCCTCTGCGAGCCGTCTGCCGATACGATCGATGCCAAAACATGAGTCGCCGGCGAGCAGGACATGAGCTGGGGTCCGTGAGTCAAAGTGCCTATCTTTCTCGTGATGGAGAGATCTTGACAAGGTGCTGGAGTCGGAGACCTCAAGCTTTCTGGGAGTAAACCCCTCGAAGTCGAAATCATCCTCCGAGGCTTTGGAGAAAGGGTTCGGCGCTTTGTAGGCGTTGCGGATGGGAGGGAGTTTACCGACCAGCAGCTCGCGTGGAGCGACTGGCTCCTGGGAAATCGGATCCTTTGTCGGAATGATTGCCCCAACCTCAGAAGCGAGCATGGCATCCAATGCCAGCGTGAATTTCGGGTCAGGAGCTGATTTGACAGGGAGAGGAGGCAGGTGGCTCTCCAGTGAGTCTGGGGGAAGATGAAGTTCTGGTTGGACAGATGGTGGGCCTTCTGCAAGAAAACATCAGGATAACAAGCAAAGAATCGACAGCATGAAACCAGGATGACTCGCATCCATCGCTGTCAAGGAATTCTATCATAAAACGAGATCACATGTTGCAAGTTACTGACCTGAAGGCTGCAGGTCCACCTCGTCAGTGCCCAGTTCGTGATCGTCAAATGGGTTGGACGAGAATTGCTCCCATTCGGCTTCTGCGAAAACCGAAGGATCATCGGCTGACTTGTAGCCTGCAGCTACAGAATTCAACACCACACACCTCCTTCTCCAGGTTGATCCTGCCCCTTGTCTTGATCGACCTGGTTTTCCGCGATGGTTTTCTCCTCTACGTTGCCATATAACTCTGCACGCACGTTACGTATCCGTGGTCTCGGAACGTCTCAAAGAAAATAGCATACCTGCTTTTGCATTCTCCGCCCCCCCATCATTCTCTTGGGTGTCTGGAATCTGCCTGCTTTCGCCGTCCTCGTCCCAGTCGGAGCTGCTGTCCTCCTCCTCCTCCTCCTTCTCCTGCTTCTTTCCTTCCTCTTCCCCGGTCTTCCCCTCCTCCCCTCCTGCTCCTGCTCCTGCAGCCGGGCCCTGCTGGTTGTCGTCTTCGTCCCAGTCGGAGCTGCTGTCCTCCTCCTCCTCCTCCTCCTCCTGCTTCTTTCCTGTCTTCCCTTCCTCCCCTCCTGCTCCTGCTCCTGCAGCAGGGCCCTGCTGGTTGCCGTCTTCGTCCCAGTCGGAGCTGCTGTCCTCCTCCTCCTCCTCCTGCTTCTTTCCTTCCTCTTCCCCGGTCTTCCCTTCCTCCCCTCCTGCTCCTGCTCCTGCAGCAGGGCCCTGCTGGTTGTCGTCTTCGTCCCAGTCGGAGCTGCTGTCCTCCTCCTCCTCCTCCTGCTTCTTTCCTTCCTCTTCCCCGGTCTTCCCCTCTTCCCCTCCTGCTCCTGCTCCTGCAGCAGGGCCCTGCTGGTTGTCGTCTTCGTCCCAGTCGGAGCTGCTGTCCTCCTCCTCCTCCACTTTGGTTTCTGGATATGCTGGTGAGCTGCGACAGGGATGGTTTCATCAACTCTAACCTCCTTCCATCTTCTCTCCGTGGTCCTTCTCTTGATTCTCGACTTGCTTGTCTTCATCTTCTTCGTCCCAATCGGATCTGAAGCAACCTATTGTTAGTCAACTTGAACTGCTCGTTGCACGAGTCACCCTTCGCTCGAGTGAGCATTTGTGTTGAGCTTCTGCTGGATAGAGCTATCCACAGCATCCAACAGTGATGCAGACATGTGTATTGTCGATCTTCAAGATGCCGTTGATCTAACTCACTACCATCCAGTACCTGAATCCAGATCTATCAAACAATTTTATCGCATCATTAGACGCATGAGACAACAATGTTGGCAAGAGCAGTCTTCAGACCCATCAGATATGTTACAATCTCACCAAGAAATGGCATGAATGTCAAAGGCATGGGGACAAGGCATATCTATGTTTCACGCATCCCCTCAATTAGGTGGAAGATGTGTGAAGGATACGTGCACGCAGAAAAGACGAGAAACAGCTATAGAGCGAAGCTACAACCATGAGCTAGATAAACCAAGAGTATAAAAATGAATGTACAAGAGGAAGTACACGGAAAGTGGGGCGAGGGCACAAACCAACTTTTAGAGCAAGACTTGTTTGCGAGGATTTCATGCACAGTTGGTGAAACAGGATTGGCAAAACCGAATGATTCAGACAGAGAGAAGCAACAGTGTCAGGACAAGAGATGAGGAAGGGAGAGATGGAGAGAGGGAGGCAGGAGGCAGGAGGCAGGAGGATGGGGAGGGGGAGGAGAACGAGGAGGAGGAGGAGAAGGAGGAGAGGGAGAAGGAGGGGGAGCGGGAGGGGGAGGGGGAGGAGGAGGAAGGCAGCAGGGGCAAGCCGCATGGCGGGAAGCTCAAACCTTGCGACCTAGCCAAATATCAGTTTTTTGAAAGTTTGGCTAGTAAATCAAACCCGCCTCAGAGTATACACATTCCTTCTCCTATTCACACACCGCTGCCCTCCATGATTGCTAGCTGTAGGAGTCATAGAAGCATTCTTCTGCCTCCTCTCAGGGTGCAAGTTGAGTGATGCTTTATTCAAGTCTCTGAGTTGTGCCATGCTTTATTCAAGCACTAGTCTCTACTGTGATGGGAAAAGTACGGCAACCCCGGGGCCCCGAGCCCGCCGGGCCCGAAGTTGACTCAACGGTAGCGGCTGGACCGTCACCGGGATCGGCCGCCTGGCGCGTCACTGAAGTTTCTGTAGACAAGCAGCGAAGAAGCCGGGAAAGAGATCGACGTCTTCCAGCTGAAAGTCAGTCAGCGATACTCGTTTGAGGTTACTACCAAGCCGTTGACCTCGTTAGTTTCGATCCGTTGCAGTTGCAACAGCGTCCCAGGGACGCCGGCCCCCAGCACTCACGATCAGTCACCTTGCGGGCGTCGTCGTCCTCGAGGCCCGGGCAGCTCATGCCATGCAGCCCGAGGGAAGCGAGAGGATGTTCAACTAGCTGCACGTCGAAGTTCCTGGCAGCCTAACGGTCAGGCCGCTGCTCCCCCGCCTCACTTCCTCACCTCAACATCCATGCCACGTTCCCCTCGTTCTCTTGAGGGTTCAGCGTGCACGTCGAGTAAACGAGCCTACCCCCAGGCTTCAGCGCCATCACAGCCTGCCATGCCGCAGGTCAGCTGGATGCAAGCTGGGGTCGTCGGACCTGTCTGATCATCTGCCGCTGGTACAGCTGGAGTTGGTGGAGGGAATCAGCCTGCAGCCTCGAGGATCGGGACGCGCTCCAGGCCCTTTTTCTGTTGCTCCCTCCTCTCCATTCCCTTCCTCTCCGAACCTGAAAGAGGAGGAGAGTCCCATATCCTGCTTGTCATCTGCTGCTCTTGTCAGCTGTGCACCTTTCTAGCTGACATGCGATCATTCCGACCTCAATCCCGATCCCCCTTGGATCTTTCCCGAATATTCCATTCCTAACCACAAAGACTGTCATCAACTTTCGATATCACATCCATCCAACCTGTTCATGCACGCTCGCCCAATTCCAAGAAAAACAGACTTGGAGGTGTCAATGACAACATCAGTCGCCTTCGGCTGCTTTCCTGTCATCACCAAACATGTTCAGTACACGGCAAAACGTTCACTGTAAACACAACCAGCTGTAACGCCGCGTCTGTCGTGTCGGCTGCTCTAAACATCAGCATCTCCTGCTTATTTCCTTGCCCTCCCTCCCCCTTGTCCTCGCCTACCGTAGACTGCCAGCAGATCTCCCTGGTTCATACTGTATGGAGCTGCTGCGATCCCAGGAGCGAAGATTTGCGCTCCTTGCATCACTGCTTCTCCGCACAGACGACCCACGAGCACCTGTTAGCCAGTGAGAGGATTGAAGTGAGTGAGTGAGTGAGGGAGGGAGGGAGGGGAGGAGGGAGGGAGGGAGGGAGGGAGGGAGGTAGGGAGGGAGGTAGGGAGGGAGGGAGGGAGTGAGTGAGGGAGGGAGGGAGGGTCACTTTGGGGAGGTCGTTGAAGGTCGTATCCTCGGCAAGCTGTCTCACCAACTCCTGTACAAGGAAAGAATGACGAGAAGAGCATCAAGAGAAGAGTTTTGCTTCCTCATTGTACGTCGGCTTGATGATGATACATTCCGGTAGTGCCTCATGCCTGTCGTGAAGGTGTGAGAGGAGACAAAGTTTGGGTTTCATGGAGCACCTGTACAGCCTTGGGGGAACCCGGGGGTTCCGCGCGCCCGAAATACTCATGGGCAGCCACCACCAGACGACAGCAGTGGACGTCTGGAGCGCTGGGGTGATACTGCTCTCCCTGCTCTGCCGGGAGACACACTGCTTCCAGTGGTTCCGACATGACAATGACAACTTGGCGGTCATGGAGATCTACTGGTACGATCGTTGTGTAACTTAGTAAGCGCTGGTCTGACTGTCTGAGCAGCTTGCGCATGTACATCAAGAACATGGTGTGGAAGCACGACTACGAGAATACGGGTCAGTACAGAGAAACGATCAGAGATGTTATCGAAGATTTCAAGCTCGACGCTGAGTTGTTGCGTTGTTGTATCATGAGGATGAGGATGAGGATGAGGATGAGGATGAGGATGAGGATGATATGGTGTTGGGAAGCCTGGGGATGCTAACTTGATGCCATTCAGTTCAGAACATTCGAACACCTGAGCGCGCATGCGGAATGCAAGGGCTGGCTGGAGGTGGAGGAGAAACATGGGATCTGGGACTTCCTCAACCGCTGCCTCAACATCGATCCCCGCACGAGGATGACAGCACAGGAGGCTCTGAGGCATCCCTTCCTCGCTAGTGTACCGGAAGCTGCCTCCTTCCCCTCCTCTCCTCCTCACCCTTCTCCCTTCCTCGCTAGTGGTCTTGAGTAAACCGTCTCTCCTCTGGCATCTCCTCTCTCGCGATCAGCATATCAATAGGCTCCCAGCCCGGCTTCCCTTTCCCTTCCCTTTCCCTTCAGCCTCTCAAACTCCTCCCATCTTCACAAACACCTGTAGCTGATCAGGGCTTTAGTACATCAGAGTTGAGGTGTTTCAGTTCAAATATAGCAAGGCAAGTGCAAATGTGGATGTATACCTTACACATACCTTACACATTTAACCTGCTATAGGTGTGATTCTCAGCCAAGGATTGAGCTGTTTGATCTCAGCACTTGCCTTGGACTGTCAGGAGTTAACATTGACGGGCCATGGACCTTGATTGCGCTGAGCAGCTGTGCAAACAGTCCCTGAGTGGAGATGGGAGTAAAGATCAGTGGGGACTCGAGAGACGAGTGAAGTTGTTACATGTTTCATTTGAATACTTACCCCGAGACCCCGCATGATTAGTTGGTCAACTATACACGCCTATTCATTTCAAATAGAAGGAAGGTTTACTCAATGTTGCCTTTCCTTGTTTAAGAGGTCGCGATGGCTGCAACGGAAGAGGTACAAAAAGTGGGTGACGGAGCAAAAATTTTAGGTCAAATATCTTGGTATTCGAATTTGACTAAAACTACTACCAGAACCACCCTGGTTAACTCATCCGGCAACGAGAGGGAACGGCAACGCGTGCCGCGGCAGATATTATTTAGTTACCGCTGTATACTGTACGAGCACGAAATGTTCCTCTGGATGGTATAAGAACGTGGGTAGTTTTAGGGCAAGAGAGGGGTTCAGGTCAGCCCCGACTTGTTTGATTTTTATGCGGGCAGGTGGGGATGGAGAAAGAAAAACTGACCGCTATCAATCATGCTCTCTCCTCCATCTTCATGCTGCTCCCCCAACTTAATGAACGGGAGACCCATGTACCCCCTCCTTCCTCTTGATATTTCCTTGTCTTTGATGCTTTCATGTACACCCATGTACCCCCTCCTTCCTCTTGATATATGTTTCCTGTCTTTGATGCTTTCATGTACACCCATGTACCCCTCCTTCCTCTTGATATATGTTTCCTGTCTTTGATGCTTTCATGTACACCCATGTACCCCTCCTTCCTCTTGATATATGTTTCCTGTCTTTGATGCTTTCATGTACACCCATGTACCCCCTCCTTCCTCTTGATATATGTTTCCTGTCTTTGATGCTTTCATGTACACCCATGTACCCCCTCCTTCCTCTTGATATATGTTTCCTGGTCTTTGATGCTTTCATGTACACCCATGTACCCCTCCTTCCTCTTGATATTTCCTTGTCTTTGATGCTTTCATGTACACCCATGTACCCCCTCCTTCCTCTTGATATATGTTTCCTGGTCTTTGATGCTTTCATGTACACCCATGTACCCCCTCCTTCCTCTTGATATTTCCTTGTCTTTGATGCTTTCATGTACACCCATGCACCCCCTCCTTCCTCTTGATATTTCCTTGTCTTTGATGCTTTCGTGTACTACCCGCTACCATCACTATTTTATTTCTGAAGAGTTCCTCCTCAATTTGAGTATAATTCTTTTTCCCCTCCTTCTTGCTTCATTTCGCCTGATGCAACCTTGTCTTTCGCAGAGCTTCGATCCTTCATGACTCATCGACTTGAACCTTGAGCGAACGCGGATACGAGAGCATGGAGCTTGCTGGATCAGGCCAACTTTCAGTGCTGCGGGGGTTTGACCCTTTAAAGTTGCATCCGCCATTGCGGTATGGACACTCCGTGGCGTTGGTTCCCAACGGCTTCAACGGGCTGGCCTTCTACGACAGGTGAAAGTTCTCGCTGCTATGAGAGATAACATGCATGTAGTTCGCTCAGCAAAACTCCTGGAGTTCGAGTCTTGGAGCCTGAGGTCGCAATGCCGTCCAACATGGAGCTGTGCCATTGGATCATCATCCCCAAGTTTCAGTATGAGGCTGCCAAGGCGCTGCGAAAGCTTGTGAAGAAGGGATCCTGGGATGGGGGCCAAGGACTTGACCTGCCATCTCTGCCCAAGAATGTCTACAAGATCGAATATGCTGTACAAGAGTTTGCTCGCTTGCACAAGATTCAGAACCTTACAGAGCTGAGGGAAATGTACAGATTGTTGATCGACTTCGAGGAGGAATCGAAGGCGAACAAAGCAGAGGAGAGGAGGCAGAGAGGAGAGATCGTGAAATATGGCGATGCGATTCAGTTTGTGCATGCCTCTTCAGGTTTCATTCTCACAGTGTCAAAGAAGCAGGAGCCGAGAAGAGTAGCAAATCACTAGAATTGCTGCAAAATGGATCTGAGAACTCCATCTTCATTGTGCTGCCAGCATACAAGACGTTCGGGCAGGGGGAGCCGGTGAACTCGGGAGATCTGATATGCTTCTTTTCGGAGAAGAAGATCGTTGGGAATATCTGCCGTCTTCATGTGTCGCAGAAACAAAACATTGCGATCGACCCAGATGAGAGTGAGACCCAAGAAGTTGTGCATGAGATGGATGCTTCAGTACATGATGCTGACTCGACCTCCTGGAGAGCCTTGTTATTCCAGTCATTTCAGCTGTCCAGCGAAGAAAACATCATCAAGTCTGAGGACGTTGTTTGTATCTACCACAAAGACGGAGAGTCGTACCTTAACTTCGACTCTCAGTTGAACCCAAACCCCTTCTTTCACCTGAGAAGGAAAGTCAAGCCCATCGACAGGAAGAAATCGGGATGGTTATGGAAGATCGAGGGGGAGCACATCTACCTTGGAGGACAAAACATCGAGTGCGATGAACGAAAACGTTATCGACTGAAGCACTTGGTGAGCGGCCTGTACTTGAAGAGCAATGGGGGGCATCTAGCAACTACCAAGCATTGTTCTGAGGGAACTCTTTTTTCCTTCCGGCACTTTGCCAAGGACGTTTCCACCAAGAGCGTGTACACACACTCACTCATCATGATCCAGGGGAATGGATGGCTATCCATGTCGCATGGTGAGAGCATCACAGTCTCGGAGCGAGCCGGGAAGAAGTGCTCGGGGAACAAAGCAATCACGACCGACCTGGGAGCTCTCAACTCCGAGAGAGACGCGTTTATTCTCGTTCCTGTTCCCAAGACATACGAGGATCTGATCAAGCAGGTTTGCGAACCAGTGACTGCGTTTGATCCTGACCTCGCTCCAGTTGAAGTCAGAGGTCGCTGTACTTCTGCAATTCCGCAATCGTCTTGAGCTCGTAGTGTTTGTCGAAGAAGCAGGAGATGACAGGTAATTTGACTGGCTTGTTTCTTCTTGATCAGATTCTGCAGCGGAGGTCAAGGAGGCTCGCTGTCGGAGGCAGCGGTGAAGGTGGTGGAAATGTTCAAGCGCCATCACGCGTCTTTGATCTCTGCGCTGACAGCGCTGATCTTGCAATGCTCGTCAGATACCGACATGAACCCCATGACTCGTGAGGGTCGTCCTCGACCTCTCATCCAGAAGCTGCTCCGCGAGATGAACGTCATAACTCTGTGCTTGGACATCGCTGAGCTTCCCTTCCAGAAGCTTCTGCCCCTCACATGGCTCGAGAAGGACAAGTCTGCCAAGGACATGGTCGTCATGCTGCGCATGATCTACAGACTGATGAAGCACATGGTACGCGAGAATGAGCAGAACGCTCAGCTTGTCTTCGAGCGCATGGATGTAATTAAGAGTCAGCTGGGGAAAGGAGTCTCTGCGACAGTTGCCATGAAGGAGATTTTCTACGGAAAGAGGAGGATCTTAAACCTGATCCAAGACAGTGATGTCGCCAAATTCATGGAGATGCTTGAGACCGAGCGCGATCCCCGACATGTCGACTTCCTGGCAGCGATTTGCGCGTGTGGAGATGATCCAATCCCGAAGAACCAAGCTCTCGTCTGTGAGAAACTCTTCAAAGATTTCTTTTACCTGCTTCCCAAGTATCGTATCAACCGCGAAGCAGCTGGAGTTGAGCTGGAATTCATGCTGCCTGTTTCTGCACAATCAGAAAATGAAGGCCGTTGGATCAGCATGTCAAATTTTCTTGCTGGAACCGTGAGCCCGGGTTCTGTGTCCGACTACGCGTCGAGCATCATGATCTGCCAGTACTTCACGCTGAACAGTGATGAGAAGATGTTCAGGTACCTCATCCGGTGCTGCTCCCTCCTCTCCAACCTCGTGGTTGGTCGCAACCACGTGGCCTTGACGCTGGCGATGGACAACTTCGGCTTTCCCCTCGACTTTGACAGCCTCTTTGCGGTCATGACCTCCCCAAGAGTCCCTGCCATGGTGCGGGCGAGGTTTTCCCAGCTGATGCTGCGCTTCCACGTTGATCGGGACCCTCAGTCTTCCAAGCCCCAGATCTCCTACACGCGGATCTGGACCGAGTCGTTGAAAGATGCGGAGGAGCTCATTAAGGCGTCGCCTGTCCTCGCTGACAGGAAGGAAACAAACTACTCTGAGGACACCCTGGCCAAGTTTCGCAAGTTGACTGACCACCTGCTCCACTCTCTCTGCACCTGGGAAGGCGAGAAACCGTCTGATGGCGCACGAGGCGAGTGGAATCTGAGCATGGCTAGCCATGGCGAGCTGGACTTGATCTTGTCCTGGATCGACTTGTGTGACTGGCTGGTGGACTTTGGATTCATTGTGGAGGATCGAGATGAGCTGAAGGCAAACTTCAAGGGGATCGTCCAGCTCTATGACGGTCTCTTCCGCATGATCGGAAGTCGCCACCTGCACGTCAAGAGCGCCGAGAACCGAGAGGAGATCTTGAGGATGAAAATTCGATCAAAGTGCTTTGAGCTCTTGACTCGTCTCTGCAATCTCCGCGCCAACTATCGCTTGACCTGCGCGTTAAAGTGCTGGGAGGATGTATTCGAGAAGATGAGCGCCAGGAAGATCGTCTTTGACAAGAACCCGCTCATCGAATCGTCTTCTCGCCTCTTCAGCTCCTCCCACGGCTCAAGGACATTCTCGCTGCGGATGAACCTATTGGAAACACTGAGGGAGAAGTTCAGACCCTACGCAGACGAGATCGAGAGGCTGATGAAGAACATCTTCAATAAGAACATCGTGAGCCCCGAGCGAATCTCGAGTGACGTCTATGAGAAAGACAACTTCCAAAACGATGAGACCATCTCAGCCGTCCTGTCTGTCATGAGGCTGGGAGATGTGGCGCTCACCGAGCAGGCAGTGTCTTTCCTTATCTCCCACTTGTTTCAGCGGAGCAAGTTCATCGAGGACTTGAAGCAACTGCAGGTGCTAGTCTACCCCGAGGCTGTCACTGTCTACAACGAGATCAAGTACATTATCGAGAGGTTGACCGACCTCAAGAAGTCTCTCAACTCTGATGAAGAGAGCGCGTATGTAGAAGCTGAGAAGCTCCTGAAACATGTCACTTTCAGCATCACCCTCTCTTCTCAGATCCCCAAGGAGATCGTCGCCAAGAACCAGCGGATCATGTTGAATTGGGAGCTGGACGAGCCTGTGGTTGACCTGCTAAGGTTGACCATCAACGAGAGTTCTCAACAAAGCGGAGGAGAAGCGAAAGTCGCTAGGAGGAAGAAGCTGTTTCAGCTGTGCTACAACTTTCTTCGTGCTCTTGCTAGCAACCATCCACCAGCGCAGAAGAAGTTGTTTCCGCTCCTCGGAGTCTTCTTAGATCACGTAGGCGTTTCAAACTTAAACGTCGCCGACACTCTCCGCGAGATGGTCAGGAACAATGCAAGGTTGGCAACACAAGTCCCGGAGCACTTCTTCCGGCACTTTCTGAATTCCATCAAACGGCATGGGAGAAACGCTCGCTGGCTCCGGTTCTTCGACGTCTTTCTCATCATCGACAATGTTCCGCTGAAGCGAAACCAGGACCTGATCCTCCGGCTGCTCATGGAGGACAAAGAAGCCATTCTTGATCTCACGTGCGACTACAGGCAGTCCAAGGTTCTGCTCATATCGGACGAGAGGTATGGCAAAGATCGGCTGACGATGATGATGGAGGGAGAGCACAGACGAGAGCTCGGGAGTTTGATCAAATATCACATCGCCAGCCTTGAGATCTTGTCGTCTTGCGCCACTGGCAAGAACGTTGGAAACAAAGTCAAGATACAGCAGGAGGTCTCGTTTGAGGTGGCTTTAGCAAACTTGTTAGATGTTGATAAGGGGCCCGATGGTGTCCGACAGGCGGTAGATATCGAGGTGTTGCAAAATGTGAGATCAGCCTGGTTGACCTTCATCACTGAGATCTACCTTACCTCTGTCGATATCCTCGCAATCAAGCAGATGCAGAACTCGCGACGAGTTTGGCCCTCCAAGTACTACAAGTCCGTCATCGCAGCAAGCGATAGCTCCTATAACTCCATTCCCGACGAGAGCGACCAGTCCCTCGCTGAACTCTTTCTCAGCTCCATAGAGGCGGCTTCGGAACATGTCACAACGATCCTGCCAACGATCTCGGGGGACGACCAAGTGAAGAAGTCGGAGGACAACGAAACCAACGCTCACTTTTCTTACCTTATCAAAGTTGTTTGCGCGATGAAAGAAATGTTCAAAGAGACAGAGATTTGTCCTGACGAGGTCATCAAGCATTCCATCTGCAAGGATCTGAATCAGGATATCAGATCCAAACTAACAGAGCTCAACCGCAAGCTGATCAGGATCAGCAGGCTGGAGGAGTCCAGGCAGATCATCGAGCTTCTGACGCTGATGAACGAGCGAGGGGTTCAAGGAGAAGAATTTGACCTGGCCCCCGATGACGAGGACGATGACACAGCGCCCCGGAGCCGCAAGGAGCAGTTCCTGGAGGGCTGGACCAACTTCTACGAGATGCTCGCTGACAAGTGCGGGTTCATGGACAGCAGGAAGGAGATACTTGAGGCCGACGCCCTCAAGGATTTCGCGAGGACTCTTGTGCATGGCGTTGTGCGTGACAAGGGAGACTTTGCAGTCATCCAGCAATTCTGCCGCGTCCTCGTCTCCAACAAGTGCGAGCAGAGTGTCCAGCTTAGAGGTCTTAAGGTGCTGAGGGCGATCATCTACATGAACCCCGCAAACAAGTCTGTAGGGCAGCAGGAAGTAAGCTTCAAGCCCCTCATGCACAACGAGGACCCCAGTGACGAGGAGCTTGCGGACCCGTCTTACATCAGACTGCAGGCGAACCTGAGCAAGTTTGGAGGAGTAAACATCATCATCAACCTTCTCGCCTTCTCCAACGACAGCGACATCCTGCAAGCTTGCCTCAGTTTCGCCAACGCTCTGCTGCATGGCGGAAACCCTGACGTGCAGAAGCAGTTTGCAAAGTTCTTCATGTCGTCGTCGAGCCAGCACCTGTTCGTTCAGATCAACAAGATATTTCAGGATGCGGTCGAGGGCCTCAAGGATGTCCGAAAGCGAGCGAAGCAAGAGAACGCAGAACGAATGCTGTCTCGCAAGTCGATGAGAGGGAGAAGCAAAAGCGCAGTCTCGCAAGCTTTTGGAGAGTCACAGATGCTCATCACAGAGGTATAGCCGCGTGCTGCAAGGGAAACTAGTTGTTGAGATGAGACATCAGGTGATGAAGATGATTCGAAGGTTGTGCATGGGACAAAACAAGAAATTGCAAGACATCTTCAGATTGCAGAGCTTGAATAAGATATCTTACAATTTCCTTGACGAAGCGATCAAATATCAGATCGTGCTTGAACCTGTACTCTCTATCTCCTTCTCTCCCCCTCTCCCCTTCTGTCTGTCTGTCTGTCTGTCTGTCTGTCTGTCTGTCTGTCTGTCTGTCTGTTTGTCTCTCTCTCTCTCTCTCTCTCTGGTTTTGTCTCTCATTCTAGCGAGCGCTTCTCTGACTTCTTCTCTGCTTGCAGGAGCTGAAAGATGCCCTTCAGAAAGGAGACTTTGTGCTGGTCGAGGCGGCGATTCGCGGTTTTCTTATGCTGGCAGACACCATGCACGGACCTAACTATCCCAACCAAGAGTCCATCGCCATCGCTGACTTCTTCGACCTCTGCGATAGAATCCTCCACAAGATCAGGTTTGAAGAAATCGACAAGCAGACCCTTGTGGCGAGAAGGAAAAGCTTAGCCCAGGTGATGCCCGACGAAGTGACAGAGGAGGAGAGGAACGCGGTGCGATCAAGGCTGAAACTCGCGGTTGTGTCGTGTTCCTTCGCTCTGCTGGAAGGCGTACAAGGAGAGATGCTTCCTCAGCGGATGATCACAACAGTCTCCTGGGCTGCAATGGTGTTTCAGATGAACTCTTGCTATGAGCTGCATGACAAAAAGATCGGAATATCGTCGGAAGCTATCATCAGGGAGGGCGCGCTCTACTACTTTGTCATGCGGTTTGTGATCGAGTACGATCAGACTGGAACCATTCAATCCGCGCTCGTGTCTGCTCCTTCTGCCGTCAGGTTCTATGAGCAGAGGACCGCGTACGTGGAGATCCAGCGAGAAGGGCGGCTGGAGCGAATTTACTATCAGCTGCCGGACAAGTGTGTGGCAGGGGGAGCGCTGGACAAGGAGTATGCGGAGATGTACGAGACTGAAAGAGAAGACCCCGACAAGAAGAATCAAGGCTTCCTCAAGAACCTCTGCAAGATCGTTGCTCGAGAGGAATTTCAGTCACGTCTGCGAAGAACTTGGTTCGGGTTCGCCATCGACCGCTGGAGCCTTATCTGCAGGATATCCTACCTGTGGGTCTTGTTGCTGCATGCGATGATGGTACTGGGGAGTTACCCGCCCAACACAAGCTTGTCAGGCTTGTCCTCTCGCCAGCTTTTCCAGAATCTGTCAAGCCTTTCCAGCGCAACAACCAACGACAAGTACTTCTATCGGACTGTTGTTCCATCTGTGCAAGAGATCTCGATGTACATGTGTCGAATCAATCTGCTGATCTGCTCGATCCGGTATTTCTCATTCATGATCGCTCATGTTCCAGTCATCATCATGGAGATGCGAGAGAACGATAAGGATGTCAAAGATTCGGGATCGCTCGCTAGCTATCTTGAGGCGACCCCGGACGGCGAGCAGGAGGAGGAGGAGGAGGAGGATGGAGAGGAAGCGGAAGCGGAAGAGGAAGCGAGTGAGACCATACAACATTTACAGCCTGCTACCAAACATCGGAGGGCTTGGTCGAGAATTACAAAGAGAATTCCTCGTTCAAGCTATCAAGATCTCGTCTCTGTGCTGACATCCAGCACCTTCATCTATGAAACCGCCTTCTTCGCTTGTGGTCTGACTGCGGCCATCACTAACGGACCGCTCTTCACCATCTTTGCCTTCTTCGAGGTGACATTTGAGTTGACGAGGAACGAGCTTGACAGAGATGCAGGTATTCTACTTCAACTCTTCCAAGACTGTTGTGGACGCCATGAAGTTCAAGGCGGTGGAGATGTTCAACACCTTTATCATCGGACTAGTTTTCATGTACATCTGGATGGTGTTGGGAATGATTGCCTTCGAAGACATACATCAAGACGGAGATGGCAACTACATCTGTGTGAACATGTTTCAGTGCTTCATGGCTTATTTCTTCATTGCAATGCGAGGAGATGGTATCCGGGATGTCACGACCAGCCCGACATTTCCATCAAACATTGTTGACGCAGTATCATCTCCGTCTTTCTTCCTCTTCAGAGTCGTCTGGGATCTTCTCTATCAGGTGGTCCAGTGAACAAAGATGAAGGGCTGACCGCGATTGCAGTGGCTCTTCATCTACGTGCTGCTTGCCATCATCACCGGAATCGTCATCGATGCCTTCAGCGGGCTGAGAGACAAGCGTGAGACTGCAGAGAACGATCTCAAGTCCACATGCTTCATCTGCAACCTCGAACGATTTCAGATTGACCAGGTGTGTCTTGGCCTGATGCTTCCCGTCAATTCTGACTGTCTTGCATAGAACGGAAGCGGTTTCGAGAAGCACGTCCTTCAAGAGCACAACCCTCGCTGGTATCTCTTCTTCCTGCTCTATATCAAGTCCAAGGCAAACTCATACCTAACGGGACAAGAGAAGTTCATCAAGAGCCAGGTGATGTCTTGCCTTTTCCTCTAGCGCTTCTTAGCTCCTGATCTCCTCTCAGGTCTGGCCCGCTGAAGGACCTCTCCGCTACGACTGGCTCCCCAGGTTGAACGACGGGTAAGCAGCGTATCCATCATCGCTAACGGGGCTGGTCAGGGAGAGGACATTCAAGATGAAGCAAGAAAATGCTGGAGACGATACTCTCACATCGGTAGCTCTTTCCTTGTGCTCGATGACAAGGCTGACACTGCATCTCAGATCCAGCAAAGAATCGCGTCCTTGGAGTCTAGCATGTCTACCAGTATCTCCCTCCTGAAAGACATCCAGGCATGCGCCATCATCTTGTTTCTTTGCAACTCATGGCGGTGGTGCAGGAGAGAATGAAACTGATGGAAGACAAGCAGATCGAATAATGCTTCTTTGACTGTAGTACTTTTACTGATTCTAGGCTATTGGCTACATCTTATCTTTTTAGCTGCAGCCCCATAAATAATCTAAAGATAATCCTGGCGCCCCCGGGCCCCGGTCGGTTGAACCGGCGTTGAACGGTGCTGGACCGTGGACTGAGCCTGAGCCGGCCTGACTGAGGCTGGCAGCCGGCCTGGCCCGGGCCTCGGCCCGGGGAGTCTTGCCGACCCGCCCGGCGCGTCACTGAAGTTTCTGTAGACAAGCAGCGAAGAAGCCGGGAAAGAGATCGACGTCTTCCAGCTGAAAGTCAGTCAGCGATACTCGTTTGAGGTTACTACCAAGCCGTTGACCTCGTTAGTGTCGATCCGTTGCAGCTGCAACAGCGTCCCAGGGACGAACCGAAACAGCTGAAGTCTCATCAGATCCTCGCCGGGCCCCAGCACTCACGGTCAGTCACCTTGCGGGCGTCGTCGTCCTCGAGGCCCGGGCAGCTCATGCCATGCAGCCCGAGGGAAGCGAGAGGATGTTCAACTAGCTGCACGTCGAAGTTCCTGGCAGCCTAACGGTCAGGCCGCTGCTCCCCCTGCCTCACTTCCTCACCTCAACATCCATGCCACGTTCCCCTCGTTCTCTTGAGGGTTCAGCGTGCACGTCGAGTAAACGAGCCTACCCCCAGGCTTCAGCGCCATCACAGCCTGCCATGCCGCAGGTCAGCTGGATGCAAGCTGGGGTCGTCGGACCTGTCTGATCATCTGCCGCTGGTACAGCTGGAGTTGGTGGAGGGAATCAGCCTGCAGCCTCGAGGATCGGGACGCGCTCCAGGCGCTGCAAGGAGATGGAGGTCAGAGGGAGAGGAGGTGACAAGTAGGATGGGGAGGAGGAGGGGAGAGAGAGGACAGGGGCTAAGACCGCAGTGTCTGAGGAGACGCACCTGTTGCTCGCTACCCGCAGCGAAGGTCTGAGCCCCAGAGCCGAGCACGGAGGATCGAGGAGGACCTGAAGCAGCTTCAGATGCTTCTGCTCCCTCCTGAGGTCTCAACCCGGTCAAAGCTCTCCCGCTCTATCGTTCCTACGAAGGGAGGACATGAGGAGGAGAAAGAACCTTCGCTGTGACAGAGGTCTGACCTCTCTCAACAGAGCACGTCGCGTCTGCCTTTGTAGGCCGAATGCAGGAAAGTCCCAACCTTGTCAGGCTCAGGCATGTTTGGAGACGATGCAGACTTGCTGTACCTCGTTGCCAGCTGCTGAATCTTCTCCACCTTTGATGAGCTGTAGCAGCACTGCATATCACAACACGCACACTCACAGTCCTTGCAAGCGTCACCTCCGATCGCACGAGACAACTTCTCCTCTGTCCTTCATAAGCTGGGCGATGTGCGTTGATTTTCCTCCTGGCGCCGCGCACATGTCGAGGACTCGCTCGCCGCTCTTCGGCTCAAGTAGCAGGGACGTGAAGGCAGCGGGGAAAGACTGGAGCATACAGACATCCTCCCTCCAACCTGATCCCAGGTTCACCTTCCCTGTACTCTTTCCATCCTCTTCTTCTCTCTTTTCTTCTCTTCTCTCCTCTCCTCCCTTTCTCTTTTTCTGTTGCTCCCTCCTCTCCATTCCCTTCCTCTCCGAACCTGATAGAGGAGGAGAGTCCCATATCCTGCTTGTCATCTGCTGCTCTTATCAGCCGTGCACCTTGCTAGCTGACATGCGATCATTCCGACCTCAATCCCGATCCCCCTTGGATCTTTCCCGAACATTCCATTCCTAACCACAAAGACTGTCATCAACTTTCGATATCACATCCATCCTACCTGTTCATGCAAGCTCGCCCAATTCCAAGAAAAACAGACTTGGAGGTGTCAATGACAACATCAGTCGCCTTCGGCTGCTTTCCTGTCATCACCAAACATGTTCAGTACACGGCAAAACGTTCACTGTAAACACAACCAGCTGTAACGCCTCCTCGTTGGACCGCGTCTGTCGTGTCGGCTGCTCTAAACATCAGCATCTCCTGCTTATTTCCTTGCCCTCCCTCCCCCTTGTCCTCGCCTACCGTAGACTGCCAGCAGATCTCCCTGGTTCATGCTGTACGGAGCTGCTGCGATCCCAGGAGCGAAGATTTGCGCTCCTTGCATCACTGCTTCTCCGCACAGACGACCCACGAGCACCTGTTAGCCAGTGAGAGGATTGCAGTGAATGAGGCAGTGAGTGAGGGAGGGAGGGAGGGAAGGAGGGAGGGAGGGAGTGAGTGAGTGAGGGAGGGAGGAAGTGAGTGAGGGAGGGAGGGAGTGAGTGAGTGAGGGAGGGAGGGAGGGAAGGAGGGAGGGAGGGAAGGAGGGAGGGTCACTTTGGGGAGGTCGTTGAAGGTCGTATCCTCGGCAAGCTGTCTCACCAACTCCTGTACAAGGGAAGAATGACGACAAGAGCATCAAGAGAAGAGTCTTGCTTCCTCATTGTACGTCGGCTTGATGATGATACATTCCGGTAGTGCCTCATGCCTGTCGTGAAGGTGTGAGAGAAGACAAAGTTTGGGTTTCATGGAGCACCTGTACAGCCTCGGCTCATACTTGCATGTCTCTCTGCAGTAGGTCAACAGGTCTCGCTCGACCTGACTGTGAGGTCAGAAGAAGCGATGCTCGACCTCAGGCGCAATCAACATCTTCGATGGTTGTCTTCAGAGTGTTTACTCGCACACACAAGGCAGCTGGTGTTCGGAGCACGGGGATGACATGTTCAAGAGCATCTCGACTGTAGCCGGCTACGGCAAGAATGTCATGAGCTAATGTTTTGATGCTAGGATAGATGTCAGACCTCCAACGAGGTAGTCGAATATGTCGTCAGGGAAGAAGTTTTTCGAGCCTGCGACGTACAGATCACTGATGCATCGTGTAGAATGCTCCGAATACAAGGCAGCAAAGAACATCTCGTAGCGCATGCTATGTTATGTTGCAGTGTGAGACCGTTTATGTGAAGATACTGATTGATGCTACTCCCTTTGACAAACGCCCTTGAAAGCTGCGTGACCGCAAAACCATGGCAGGAATCCAACAGCAGGAGGGAGAGGAAGAGGGAAGAGAAGAAGAAAGAAGGGCTTGTTGAGAGCTTGGTCAAGCTCTTCATTAGTTTTCGAAGCATATCCAGCATCTCAATCGCTTCTTGCCGCCGGCATCGCTTCATTGTCACTCCAGTCGCCTTCATACGCCCGCTGCCATGATGGCCCCCAGTCCCATTACTAACAAGTTTCAAAGTTTCTCTTCATTTTTGAAAGTTTCCTTTTGCAAATCTTTCAAACTCTCGAACTTTGAAAGTTTCCTTGTCAAACCTCAGCGCCCGCAGCAACTTGCTCGTAGGAATGCAGGCAGTCGGGGCTCTGAAGCTCGTTGCGCTCGTCATGCTCTCAGCGCAGATGGCCTACTGTGTGCAAGACCCCAACATAGCCAAGATGAACAACCTGACCGCCATCTCGATCCTCCTCGACCACCTGCCTGAGTCTGCAAGGGAATGGGTTCGTAGACACTCACTGTACTGTATTTCCAATACCGAGCTGATGTTGTTTTGCAGTGGCCAGTGTACAAGAAGGCGTTTGACATGGGACATCTTCCTGAGAACAAATATCATCTTTCAAGGGCACTGAGAGTCACGCAGCAACTGGCAAGGGACGTTGAGCAGCGAAACTCTCTGGTGGAGTATGGCTTCGTTCAAAGTATCATCCCCCTCCTGTCCAGGAGCATGCTGAGCAAGGAGGATATAAGAAATGTTCTGTTGAGCCTCGTCCTCCTGGCTCAGCACACAAAGGACGAATTCCCATCGGCAGATAAGGCCAAGGTCGCCAAACTCCAAGGTGTTCTAGAAGCTAACAACGAGGTTACCCCCGTGCGATCGCTACTGCACGACACGAGCTTGATTGAGCCCTTCCATCACATGGTGAGCAAGACTAGTGTACGTATCGAAGTCGACTGACTTCTTCTCTCGTCCAGATGGAGATTTTGGCTCAGATTCCTGCCACCCAAGAGATGACCAAGTGAAGTGAAATTCATATCCAGAATGTTGTTGTAACTCAAGGTATCGAAAGCGGGTGAGGGGCAAGAACCACGTTTATTGCTCTAGATGTGACTTGCGCTGAACTGCTGGCACCACGCGTATGCCTGAGCAAGAATAATCTCCATCTGCTCAGCAGACCTGATGGGAAAAAATCAGCACCGTGAACAAGCTGGGATAGTTCATCCTACCACTTTTCTGTTGGCATCTTTTGGAGGAAGAATATGATCTCTTGAAAGTCCATGGCCTACATGAGTCACCTCGTCAGCACAGGTCGAGCTGGCTAGCTCTTTGTCACCTTGAGCTCCTTGGAGAACGACAGCAGGACGGCAGCGCAGACGTAGACATGGAAGGAGGCGAAGGATTTGTCAGCCACGTACGTGTCCCATAGCCGGAGGGTGCACTCCATGGAGAACTCGCGCATGAGGAGGCAGTTGAACCATCTGAACGCAAACTGGCGGACGAGAAGTGACAAGGTGGATGGCGCGGGAGAGCACAAAGGAGACCTGAAGGAACTCGACATCGTTGGCCTCGAGGTGTTGAACTAGTTTCTCATCCAGGCGCGAGATGATCCTCTTGAGTTTGAAAACTTTCTCCTGCCCAGCACATGGATCAGCAGAGATCAGCTAGTCGTAACGGAGCTCCGATGGTTGAGCTTCGGGTCCTGTACCTGGATTCCCTTGGAATCTAGCACGTAGTTGTCCTGAGAGAAAACGATCAGACAGAGCAAGAACAGAAATATTTCCAACCTGAGCATTGTCCAGCATGTTCGTCAAACAATGATAGCAGTCCGCCTCCACCTGGTGTAAACAATGGTCATGGGTGTTCCTTGCCAGCAAAGTAGATGGATATCAAGGACACCTTTTGTTGTTGGCTGGGCGTTAAAAATTTCATAACTTCACCATTCCTTACGTCTGCCTCCTTGGCTCCAGAGACCTTTCATATAACACTCACAAAACTCCTGATCGTCGCTTGTACCAGCACACCTCTTGAAGGAAGACGAAAAAGAATGGAGTGACTAGATCATTTATCCCCTGATAGCAAATGAGTGTCAAAGTCAGGCAGAGTACTTCGCTCCGATGTATTCCAACCTGTACATAACCTGTTCCTGGGTGCCGAATCGCCCAAACATACAATATTCTATGCAAACTCTGACAGCACGTGTCACAACAACCGAGAGCGTTGATAAGGAATGAAGGCAAACCTGTTGAACTTGCTCATTCTGAAAGAGCGGCATGGATGGATTCGTCCTGGGAAGATCCACATAGATTTGATTGTACATGGTCTTGTCATACAACTAGCCCCAAAGCCAGGGTCAGGGTTCAAACCCCAGCAGACATCCAGCGGTCATACCGAAGCCTTCTCTGGGTCGTACTTGTCGAAATAATGCACCACGGCATCAGCGTACTCCAGCCTCAGCCGATTCATCTTATCCTCCCGCCTCTCAGCGTTTCCTGTGCAGGCTCAATCAATAGCTCTCGAGCATTCGCATGCCTACCTGGCATGTAGCGCAGCAACAGCCGCCACGTCATCGCCCGGTGTTCTGCTGGACAACCACTCCAGCACAACGCCTGCAAGGCACCCAGATCTATCACCGCAGCTCCGAGAACCTTGTCAAACAAGTGTCATCTTCGTCACATCACCGCAGCTACTCACTTGATCGAACTTTTGCTTCCGCCTCTGATACTTCCCATTGCTATTCACAGCCTCGCGGGGTTCAACCTCTTCTTGATCAAGGTTTCCTGTAGGTCTGATCGACGCTACTGACTGTCCAGACGAGGAAATATGCTCACTGCTCTGCTGCTCTGACGAGCTCCCATCCCCAACCACCTCGCTCTTGTCTGCCCCATTTCTCTGAGGCGCGCTGTCACCTTCGTTCCTGTGAGCAGCACGCGTTTACAAGAGCCAGCACGCTCACGCCAGACCTCTCTGACCTGTTGTCACTAGCAGTGTCTGTCATAGCTCGTATCCATGAGAAGGTCGTCAGGCCGCCCTCCCCATGGGACGAGCGTTTCTGCAGCTCTTGCTGCATCATGATCTCTGCCATCTCAGGGGGGTAGGCGGCTCCATATACCACCTTGTCCTGCCGGCTCTTGTAAGATAGATCTCAAGACAGACACTAACAACAACCTTCGGGGTGTTGGGAGAATTCAGATCTCCTTGAGGACTCTGGGTATCAAAATCAGCAAGTTCCTTTTCCGGCTCGTCAGTTCTCACTTGGACGGCTACAGCAGCATTCTGCTCCTCGGTTTCGACGTTTTGGTCATTTTCATGCAGCTGTTCAAGCGTGTTGTCCTCTGTCTGGTATCCCGGCGATTGAGGACCCCCACTGCTGCCTCCCGTCGACTCACTTCGAACAACCTGAACTGCAATCAGCAACTGATACCGTTCGCACAACCCCTCCAAACTGCAGCTCACGGCCACGACAGTTCCATCGTCTGATTTTTCAGCTTCCTTTTCTTCCAAACTTTTCAGCTATCATACTACGTATCTCGCTCTTCTTACTTCCCCTTCTCCCATCTCGTCCAGCATCTATTGGACACGACCCTAAGACCACCATCACCCGACCTTTCGCCAACCACCGCCATTTCTTGCCAACACTAACTTCATATCGTATTGCCATCATTCCATTTATGTTCATTGTACATATAGCATCATACAGCCGCATTTCTTGTCTTCTTTTCTGTCCTTTTACACCCCACTCCTCCACTTCCTCTGGCGAACTCCACAGAACACGAACTGTTCACTCAAGCCTTCTCAACCGCCTCCTCATGCATGCTGCTTGGGCAGTTTACCTTGATGTTGCCAGGTCGTCTATCAGGAGTGAGAGGGGTGAATCCTTCCTCCCTCCTTCCTCCTCCGCCGCCGCCGCCCCCATCCTCCCTGCTTCCTGCTCCACCCATGCGCGTTCCTTGGCACCCCCTCCTATCCTACCCCACCTGTTTCCACAACTGGTACAACAGTACCCCACCATACTCAGAAGTACCTCTTTCTACCCACCCCTTCATCGTTCACCCTCGACATCTTCCCAATACCACCCGTCATTTTGACATAATATTGCTGCCTAGCAACCCAAGGGTGTATACAAGTGGAACTTCTTATTTTATTCGATGTGGTGGGGTACTCAAAGATAGGTGTGGGTAGGGTACTGAAGGATCAATGGGGGTAGGGTTGCACATAAACATGCAATGATGGTGATGAGGCGCTAGGGACAGAGGGAGAGGAGGGAGGAAGAGAGGGCGAGCAGTGAGGAACAACGTGGACATCATGAGCAGCATGAAGATCATGAGCTTCAGCAGGATCAGGATCGAGCAGTAGCAGTCGCCGTAGACGGATCTACAGCTGGAGTAGCACGATGTGCTCCATCACGATAGGGGAATTCACTGGGCAGAGATCGAAATGAACCAGGACGAGATATATGCTCGTGTCAAGACGTGATCGAAACATGTAATGGTCGAAGATGAAGTGATCTATTGCGTTGAAAACCATCAACCCTTTCAGAGAAGAGACGCGCAAACTCAAACAAGTGTCAGAGATAAGAATCAGATCTTAACGCATACAACTACCTTATTCCCCTCCTTGCCCTAACGATACAATTGCAGATGATTCGGATGAAATACGTAGCTGTGTTGTCCCTCTTAATCCTCGTGCCAATCGAGGGCTTCAAGGGCCTTGCGGTCCCTAGCGCTGGTCTTGGCAGATTTCACAGCTGCCCAGTCAGGGCGGTGGGTGGGGGCGACTTTCAAGGCTCGCATGGTAGCAGGACGATCAGGTATGTTCACGTGACTCTCTGGTTGACTTGCTCCCTTGTGTTGACCGCGTCTCTCAACAGAATTTCAGCTCTGAGCGCTGTGTCGAACCCTGAGGGAGCTGAGAACCTGCAGGGCTCGATCGACCGAGCTCTCGACCTGCTGGTACTGTTGAGCTCTGAGAGCTGAGAAACTGGCTGACTCAGGGGAAGGTGAAAGCAGCGGAGACGAAGCAGGAAAACAGCGAGGCTGTATGCGATGCGCTGGAGAGTCTGGAGGTACAGGAGCTGACTTGTCTAGTATAAGTCACAACCCCTTGCAGCAAAACATGCGAAAGAAGTGCAAGGAAGACTCTGAGGTATTTTGACGGAGTTGCTGCAAGACTTTCCTCAACACGGGTTTCTGTAAGGGATACGAGACAGCTCGTCAAGTTCTCAACAACCTGGACGGCCAATGGAGGCTGATCTTCACAACTGGTGAAGAAACTTTCTTGTCCCTCCTTAGAGCTTGACAAGTGCCAACTAGGTACCAAGGAGACACAGAAACGATTTGGTAGGAAAGTGAACTACTTTCCTCTCAAGGCCATGCAAACGTCCCTTGCTTTTTGACGTCATTACTCGCCCTAATGTGTTCGCCAGGTTCGACGTGCAGAACGGGCTGATCACCAACGGCATCTACTTTGGGGATACTGCAGTGCTCAAGTTCTTCGGCGAGTTTGAGTTCAACCTCAAATCCCGCAAGCTGGAGTGTATGCCGAGCTTGAGGCTGCAGCTGTGCTCTGACTGTCCCCTCACTTGTTCCAGTTGACTTTGATAAGATCGCTGTGCTGGGCCTTGAGGTGAACCTGCCCAAGGGCAAGGCGGCAGAGATCGGGTCGGCGAGTGGCCTCGGCAGCAGCAACAACATGGACCTGATCAAGCAGTCGCGCAAGCCTTTCTTCAACTGGATATCGGCAGATGCAGAGATCGCAACAGCAAGAGGAGGCGGTGAGAGCATGGCTGCCTGTTTACGCGCTTGTCGTCATTTCGTTGCAGGTGGCGGGTTGGCCTTGTGGAAGCGAGTAGCATGAGTACGTTGCTCGTAGAGAAGCTAGAGACGGTGATTGTATTCAACTTGTACACTGAGGAGAAAATTTCATGATCGAAGCGATCGTTACATGGCTGTCACAGATCCCAGCGAGAGCTTTAGATAACGACGTCTAGCCCTCTTCTGCTTGATGCCTGCTTCCGGTAGACGATTCTGTCTCAAACGTCAGCGTCGTTTACTGCTATGCTATGGCTAGACCTTGGAGGTGGGTAGACGGGCCCAGCTATTGTCATGATTGGCTGACTGCGGAGAAGGTCAAGTCAAGGTATCAGGGCACGGAGCCTTACCTGTAGACAAACTTTTGTTGTCTTGCTCTTTGCTGCCATGTCTGCCTCGACACATTGCTCTCCGACGACTCCCTCCTCCCTGCGCAGTGACAAGTTCACCTCTCCTCCTGATCCAACATCGCTTCCTACCTCTCGACGCCTCTTCCCCGCTGCCGCTTCCCTCCTCCGACCCGAACAGAAAGTTCTTGAGGATCTTGTTCCTTCTCCTGAACGCAGTGGTGGGACTAACAGGAGGCTCGTTGTGTTCGCTGGAGGCCGTGCGGCCGAAGGGGGTCAGAGAAGTCCAGGCATCAGAATCCTTGCGGCCGATCACGTGCTCTTTCTCTCTCTGAGGTATCTTGAGTCCTCTGACCTCTCTCACCGCATGCTGTACGACGGAACTCTTGTATTCCCTCCACACTCGCTGCTTCTCCGCAAACTGGTCGAAGCCTTTGAAGGCGGGCTTCTTCTCCCGCTCCAGCAGCTTCTGCATCGTCTCCCTGTCGATGATGCTGTCGTTCTCCTCCTCCCTCGTTGCGATCGCCTCGTGGCAGTTGACTGCGAGAAGCTCCACGATGGACGTCGCCACGGCTGTGTAAGTGCATGGCTCCTCTGACAGCACATGCTCAAGGTCAAGGGTGTCCCCTGCTGCCAACGTCTCACACAAGAAGTCCTCGTCCTCAATGACTTTCCAGATCTCGCAGAACCCTCTGATGATGATCATGATGTCGTTGTAGACCTTTCCCTCCCTGATGATTGCTGATCCCACATCATACCTCCGAATGTAAGTTATTTGCACCAGGTCCGATATCTTCTTCTCCTCCCATTCACTGAAGGCGGCGATTGAACGGAACTCACGCTCTTTGCGATGATACCCTTCGAAGTGCAAGGGCAGGATGCGGTTGCAATAGTTCCTGGAAGACATGAGACAGAATGTGCAGGGCTGTTCTACGATGTAGTCAAACATGCTAGTCTGCAACGACATGTATGAGATCGAGCGGAGGAGGAGCAAGGAAACAGGGCAGAAGGTCTCAATCTACCTTCGAGCAGGCAGCACTATCATTGCCAAACGAGTCGCCCTGATGCAAAATTTTGATAGTTCCCTCTGCTGCGCTCTGGACTTGGACCCTCCCTTGGATGATGATCTGCCAAAGGTGTCAGAGGAGCGTCTGTGAGCCAGCGGACTCATGACATAGAACTGGTCGATTTGTTCTCCTTCTCTTCCGACGTACATCCCAACCTCTGAGACCGTGTGCAGTGATACCACTTTGCACATCTCGACCTCGTGCTCGGGCGAGAGCTGCACAAAGAGTCATCGAGGCACCTGGAAAGCTGCTGAGCAGAACCTTGAAAGAGTCGAAGCATTTCGTCTTGGACAACTCGGCATGGATCTGTCCAAATAAGGCTCAGAGGACAAATAATCATGTTTGTTTCATAAACAATTATGTATGTCTCATAAGTAACCATGCATGTTTCACATCACCAGGGCAACGTCTTCAATCTGTCTCTCCAGGACGTTCTTCTCTAGCGCCTTGCACAACGCGGTCACATTCATCCTCTTCTTGTCTGCGCGGCACTCAGAGCTGACGGCATCGCACTCCGGCCATCTCACCTTTGCGGTTGCGAAGCCTCCAGGCATACTCAAGAGGAATAGAAGCGTTCACCCTGTCTGCCGCATCTCTGTCGAGTTGCTTCCTTACCTGCGAGCTGACCTTGAAGTTGTTCAAGATGGCCTCAGCCATGTCATGTGACTGCTGCAGTCTCACAACCAATAGGCAATCGGTTTGTGCTTACTGAGATATCGGATGATGGCGCAAGCAGATCTATCTTCGGCGTTGGCGATCTCAGCCCGCGGCTGTTCCTCCTTGACAGTTGAAACCTGGACATCGTCGTGTCGAGTTATTCGGGATTCAACATCTGATGTCGATCATGTCTGTGTGTCGCCGTTGGCAGCTCATCGGTAGCTTCTGTACAACTCGGATTGATCTCTTGGATCTTGTGCCTTGAGCAACGATATTCGATCCGTTCCTTCAGCTCTCCCGCATGACCCACTCGCTATCTTGGGCAACCTGACCTCCCTCTCCTTACGTGAGAGTCTTCATGTTCGTCGCTCTCGCCGTCTTCCCATGTCCTCCTCGCTCTCGCTCATCGCGCGACACATGCCATCACACAGCACTATTCCCTGCCATGGTCAACTGCCGGTAGAAACTTCAGTCAATCTTTCGAGTACAGTCTGTAGGGTACGACAGATTTAAAATATTATTATATTACAGTACAAATTTACTTGGATTGACAGTACCACAATACACAAGCGCTATCCTTGTAGTACCGTAGCAGTAGCACAAAACAATTACTCTCTTACTTGCACTCATACAAAAATTCAGTTTCGGTTCCATATACAGTTCTAAGTACCATGATTATTGGATCGGACTGGGTACAATCGGAGGAAACTCGCCGTGACTCCTTCAGTCGCCGAATCATGTGTCACCCAGCAGCTCTCAAGTTCGAGAGTCTCGGGGGCGCAGGCGCAGGCCGATGGCCGACTCAGCATCATGGTATCGCCCCGGCCCGGAGTCCGCCACATGGCAGTGGACAAGTTCCGAAGTTCAGCTCACTGCGGCTGTAGACAACTTGAGCGTGTGCGGCAGTGCGACTCATCGACGTTAGGTGGAGTGGCTTGCAGTGGCTTGCAGTGGCACTGGTTCACTGGAGACGTTGTGATGGCTCAGTGTCTACCAGTCTTCCACGGCTCACCGTGAGCTGCCAGTAAAGGATGTCGCCAAACTCAGTTGTAATGCATTGACTTCACTGGACCTCGAAACAGGCAAAGGGCGTCTGCCGAGCCTGTTCAGCATCGAGTCCTGCGAGTCCAACTTCAGCAAAGACAACAAATCAGATACTGTCGGAACAACCTTCTGTTCTCCTGCAAAAGTAATAGATTGACTTGCTGCTCGCACTGCTAATGACAATCGTCTGTGTCTGAGTCCCGTAGCTTTCAAAACCTGCCGGCATCTATCGGCTGATGTTCAGCTCTCCCTGACCTCATTCTTACCTGCACTCGGCCCGTGAATGTACGGGCCCCTTTGCAAGATAGTCTCCTGCTCCTTGGTGAGAGGGCTAAAACTCATATCGGGTAGACTCTCCTGACAAGTTCTGCATTGAGGGTGCTAACATAAGATTGAAATATACCGTACCTCAGCAAAATTCACTGTAGAGGACATCGCTATGCTCATCGCTTCTGCAAGTTTCAGTGCGCCTTCTTTCCCTTTGCTTTCAACATTGAACGATTTGATTGTTCGCTCAAGCTCTTGCTTGAGCCAGGCGCACTTCGGGAAGTTGGCTGTGTTTACACTTCTGCATTCTTCATTGCTGATACAGTACACGTGTCCAGAGTCCAGTCGTTCACACACAGTTTCCCATGTGCATTCTCCCCCACCAACAGTAGGAACACAAGTGCGAAGGTAAACTTCTGGTTCGCCATGTTGCCTTGCTCTGATATCGCTGCAGTGCAACCTGTCTCGCAGAGTCAACTCCGTATCTCACCAGCATCTCATGAGCATATACGTGTGATAAGCATAGTAGTCCTCCCATTGTTCGCTTCTGCGTTGTCAAGAGTCATCTTAAACTTCTCTTCGTACACATTTGCATTTCTAGCATCACCCTCTCTCGAGGTAGTCTTGAACCATTCTTCCCCGTGATTTGGACGGAGTGGGTACCTTTTGTTTTGTTCTCACATTCGTAAGCGCAGCGAATCTAGCAGTCTCCTTGTGCAACCCCATCCATGTTCCACCTTCCTTGTTCGTCATCAACCATGAGCTCGACCTGCCTCGGCAGACGCACCTGCCCTGCTATCGATCGCCGCTATGACAGCTCCGTTGTCCTGCACATCGAAAGTCTTCCTTGTCCAGTCCTCGTCGCGATTATGAACCAAGATGAACTGCAATCCATACATCAAAGCAAGTCCTGTCATCTCCCAACAAAGAATTGATACTGGAGCATTTCATATCCGAGTCTTTGCCTTTATTCTAGTCTTCTACTGCAATCTCTCTGTCGTGATATGTTGCTCTCCTTTGGATCCCAAATCCCTCTTCGACTCCCCTCGCGTATATCGACTCTCATCTCATCTCTACTTGTCTCGTCTCATCTCATCTCGTCTCATCTCGTCTCGTCTCGTCTCGTCTCATCTCGTCTCATCTCGTCTCATCTCGTCTTGTCTCGTCTCGTTTCGTCTCATCTCGTCTCATCTCGTCTCATCTCGTCTCATCTCGTCTTGTCTCGTCTCATCTCGTTCTCTCGTCGCTTCATCATCTCACCGGGAACTCCGCGCTCATCCCAACCAAGGCCGCCATGATGCACATGGTTGTTTAATCAAGACTCAGGGCAGGACAGCATGCTGGCAATCAAGAAGGAAATTCGCTGTCCTCTTTCAACCCCCAAAGTTTAAAATAATGTTAATTAAAAAAAAACATCGATCCTTTGGTACCAATTTTTACTTTTAAAACTTTGCATTTCTCCAAGTCTTCCGGGAAATACCGATACGTTTCCCTACAAATAAATAAAACTTATAATTATTTACAATTATTTTTGGCGATCAACGGCTCTTGGTTCTCCGATGAGCTATTCTTCGTACCACTGTTTTACTTAAGTCTAAAAATGATTGTTAAAATGTAAACAAGTCGCGCTCACAATCACAGGCTTCCTATATTTCAGCTGCCCAGCGCGACGCTGAGGGGTGCAAGGGCGAATGGAGTGGCTGGCCGGTATATGCACGCCGCAGCGGATAGGATGCTGCGAGCCCAAGGCGGCAGCAGACAAGGAGGTAGGAGGAGGGCACTGTGCCAGTCTCTTGCCTCCTATAGGGAGCATGCTTGCGTCGATGTGTGTGTGTGCGTGACCCTGGGGAGTGATCATGAGAGTTTGACCTGTGTCGGTTTGTTTTGAATCTGAGAGGGAGGAGGGCGGCAAGGAGTTGACGATGGTTACAGGGTCAGCCCCCTGAGAGCAAACCAGGTCATAGCCGAGCTCTGGATGAAGGCAATCCTGCTCAGAGGGTCACACAGCCGGAAAGGTCCAGAACCTTGCAGTCGAAGAGCTCAAAGGAGGAGAAAGTTGGGATAGGGATCATCGTTGCCATGAACAGCGAAAGGTGCCTCTACGTGCACACGGTTGTTCCCTTAGCCTCCTCCTCGTCCCCTTGAATGTAATGGCTCGTGAAGGTTTGCCCTGGAGCCACTTCAGAAGGAAGGTTGATTGCGGGAGATGTAGGATTGAACCAACTCAGTTTCGCTATGCATGACGCCCATGCCGCAGATCCTGTTGAAGATCGATGGAAACAATGTCTACAAGGCACCGGCTACTCGAGTAGCTGACCTGCTTCTCGGCCCTCCAGGTTCAGAAGTTGAGGTGAGGACTGGCATGCCGGTGCATTGCATTCTGACCGTGTGGTGGCAGATTTGGGTACAGAGGTTGCTTCATTTCCTTGGCTGATGTTTTCTTGTTGTCTTGACGATGTTCCTGCAGAGACATCGGAGATATTGTCACACGGTGCTTCCGGGTACGGTGATGTGAAAGTCACAACAATCGTAGTGATCTCCATCTCAGATCATTCGGGCCAAGACTGACCCGCAGCAAGCGCGGAGTGCGATGAACAAAGCGTACTTGAACTCGATGACGAGCAGCAACGACAAGAAGGCTCAATCCTCATGATCCCTCCTGCGGATACTCTCGCATTCGTCCCAGCTGAGAGCATCCAGACGCACGCTTTCCTTCGCATCTCGTTCGTATCTGACTTTCATCATCTATCAATAAATATTCCCGCTAGAATACAAGTTGAGCTCCGGCCTGTAGACCTTTTCTAATCCTTCCAACATAGTGTCATCTCCTCGCTCTTAGTTGCTGCTTGCAATGATGATTTTCAACCTTCCCTCCGAGACTTGAAGGTTGGGCAAGGAGCGCAGCAGCGGGCGACGGGAGATATTGGAGGTGTGAGAGAATCGTCGGTATGTGGGGTTGTCTTCGGAGACAGCCTTGTGATACCTACAACAGTAGATACAAGTCAGTCAGCAACTATGTGACGAAGGAAGGGAGGGAGGGAGGAAGAGGGAGAAAGTGGGGGAGGGGGTACAGGAGCGAATAGGTGCATGCAGAAAGCGTGGGATCAAAGTTTGGATCGTTACGAACAAACTCACTTTTGCAACCTTGACATGATCTGAACAAGGTTGTTGAGTGCCTCGTGCACGCACCACTGCGAAGACGCACTGCTGTCTTCGTGACTGGAGCTATTCAAAAGATTGCTGCTTCACAGTGTCAGGGATTTCCATTGTCTCCGATACGACATCAGTTCACCTGATTTTGTACAGGATGATGTTTTGAACATGGACTGGCAGAGTCGCATCTTCTTCTATATGCCTTCCATTTTCTGCGTGCGATTGCAAGCACAGATCCACGATATCGCTGTCAAATTCATAAGCTCTCTTCCAGCAGAACTCTACTTTCCTCGACTTTACCTTTCAAAGTTGTGCATCGAAAGGATAACGGCAGCCGCTGCAAGCTGAGAAGGACGGGTGAAAATCTCTTGGAATTCGCTCAATGCTAGCTCCATCAGATATCTGAAGAAGCAAGCATGTTATAAGGAATGAGTTTCATCACAGTCGGAGACCTTGACAAGTTCCACATGTCGTTCGGCAGCGGCTGAGTCCGAGAAAACATACTACACAAACAGTCAAGCAATCTGGGGAGGACTAGTTTAGAAACCTCTTGAGAGATGCCGGCAGTTCCCTGTCGTACAAGATGTGGAATCGGTAGAATTCTGAACAGCGCCACGGGGTACAAAGTGTCAAGGAGTAATCTAAATCCCGCAGGACATCTGCTTCCATGCCTAATACCTTCGAAATCCAGTCAGATGAGGACGATGACATGAAGAAAGGTAAAACCTCATCAAAGGTATCCTCTGTTCGGAGAATTAGATTCAACACGCTCTGGGGAGCAAGCTCTTCTTGCTTCGAGGCGATGAGAATGCAGGCGACAGCAACAAGTTTCATGTTGTGCAGCGCCCGTGGGCAGGAGGTCACAAACCTGTAACAGAAAGCCATCACAAGGAGATAACATGACGCCCAAATCAATCTGCAATATCGAGCTTACCTGTCCATGTAATTTACAGCTAAATACAAGGTCTCTGGCTTCATTATGTCTTCATCAATGACTTGTATGATGAAGTGTACAAGATCTTTCCGCACTGCTTGATACTCCGTACATCGAAGCGATTCTTGATTACAAGGCAGAAATTTCTCCTGCGTCGTCCATCGTGGTCAGTTGTCAAAACAGCTGCCAAACACGGTAAATCTCACCTCATTTCTGGTCAACGACTGAAAGATATTTACACCGTAAGATTGATAGATATTCTGATACGACAAGGAACACATAGCGGCCTCGTTGGAGCTGTCATCACAACAATTTGACCTGCAAACTTGTGCTTCGCAACAAGTATGATGCGAAGCTTCTTGCTGTCTGCAGCTTTCTTTGGCATCCGCTACGACAGCTCTTGCTAAGACTCTGCTGATCTCACATCCTTGAGGCATTCGCATACATGTCAGCTCGTCCTCGCCAATCAAACGTTTCAAGGAGCAGTTCGATTGCTTGCAGACATGATCCCCTTGAAAGTAAGGGTGCTTCAGAGCATCCCTTGCTGTAATCCTGCTACAAGGATGGTACAAGAGCATACGCGATAAGAGATCAACCCCTTCGTCACACAAGCCCTCCAGCCTTTCACTCAGACTCTGAGGCTGCCACTGAGGAAGAAGCTCAATATATGAAGGGACTTCAAAGCAGAATGACTTGTTGCAATCTGAAGGTGTGCCCAGTAGCTTGAAGATCTTGAGAAGCTGCCCGATCTCGCTGTCTCCTTCGAAGAGTGTCCGGCCGGTGATCATCTCGGCAAAAGTACAACCTGCTGACCATATATCGACAGGTGCCGTGTAGACAGGATAGGTTCCACCCAGGATGATTTCCGGTGCTCTGTAAGAGAGCGTCACAACTTGTTGTGTAAGAGGTTCCTCAGGAAGAAGAGAAAAGCGAGCCAGAACGAACCCTGTCAGCTTCAGTGTTCCATCGGAAGAAATCAGAAAATTCCTAGGTTTCACGTCTCGTAATAAAATTCCGATGGAATGACAGTAATCAATGCCCTTCAGAACCTGTTTCATAAAATATCGGCCCAGCTGAAGTACCCATTCATGCTTCTGCTTGTTTCGGGTGAAGTATTCGTCTGAAAGACTCGAAATGTAGTCTTCTACGTTCAATCCGACAAACTCAGAAAAGAGCTCGATCTGGCCTTCATGATATGTCACGAATTCAAGCTTCATCACATTGGGGTGATTGCAGGCCCTGAGAAGACAGGCCTCTCGAAGATAACGGACAGGGAAGCCTTGATCGGCACCGGCCTCATCTTCATCTGAGGCGTCTCCTGATACTGAAGGCATCTTCTTGATTCTCTTGACAACCATCACTTTGCCAGAAACACGGCTCTCGCATTTCACAACCATCGAGTCTTTCTTCTTCTTCAAAACTCCTTGAAACTTGAATGCTGCCCAATTGACTCGAGAGCAATCCTTCTCGATTTCACCGATTTTGCTCCAAAAATGGCTACTTCCCGCAATCAGCTTCATCTTGCGACACACTGCCATGACACAAAGAATATGCCTTGCATCCAAGAACGTCAACACTTCCAGCAAGATCTCCGATTGGAGTATCTCATCTATGATAGTCTTAGGAGCACGCCCGGAGCTCTCCGTGTGGCTCATAGCGAGACATATACTTCTACGTGCAAGCGCCTTCAAGCTAGGTTCGTGCTTGCTGGATTTCTGCGCTTATATGGTAAACAATTCGACAAACGTGTTGAGAAACAAGTCACCTGTTCAGTGGATATCCCGACTATACCAGAGAGCCGATCTTGTCGAGCCCTTTCATGTTGCATTTTGGCATGCAGAAAGTAGGACGACGGTGAGGGGAATTCCTCAAGCTGTGTGGAAGCCATCATAGCAACCTCTAGCTTGGGAAGGAGCGGAATTCTAGAAAGTAGAGGAGAAGAAAGATCTGAGCTGGTCCGTTCTGATCTGGCATCTTGTGCGCCAGATTTCTTCTCAAATGACCCCGGCGAGTCGACCCGCAGGATCGCCTCCTAGATCAAAGACGTCATTAGATGTTTGGCACGCCTCCGAAGCATCACTTCTAAAAGTTGCCCTTCTACATCTAAAGTTTGCAATCAAACGAGGAACCTCCTCGTTACAGACTCAGGGATTACTACAGGAAACGAAAAACCATCTCTTCCTATCCTCTTTGCTTTCATTCAGGCTGTTCGAGAGTTATATTCCATGTTTGGCCCCATTCGCCCCAATCTTCAGACTCATATCATCTTTTGTTGTCATCCAACTAAATAGCTTGTTCCAAATGTATTTCTCAAGGTGGCCATCACCATTCTTGTTTGCCGCCCAAGCTCAACTTGGGCCCTCTCTACCCTCCTGTGCAACAGCCTACCCAGAATTTTCCTTTCTCAATCTCCTTAGATTTCAGCACTACTGCTGTGTATATTTCGCGGTCGAGTTCGGCAATCATGCCTGCAGTCTTGTATGCTCAAACCTTGCTACTGAGAGTGCTTGGATGTGAACCTGTTTCTATTGTTGTATCTTTCCTGATCATTATCTTTCGCTTTCTGCTTCCTCATCCCCATAAGTGTCATGCAATGTTGTTCTCACATGCTCTTTCCTTTTCATTCATCTCCTCTCCTTCATGTTTTCTCACCATCGTGCCGCTGTTGTCCTCCACTCCCGCCGACATTCCCGCTCGCGAACCCACCCCTCCCCGATTTGCCTGCGCAGACCACGTACCCAGGCCGCCCCACCCCTACCCATGTGGAATAGCGCCCCCCACCTCCTACTCCGACACTTGTATGACCACAACATGGGAAGGAAATGAAAATGGGGCAGACATTTAGGTGGTAGGGTAGATAACCCCACCCATTGGAATCACTTGACCTACCCCAAGGTACATTCTCAACTTCTCCCTACCCCCTCTGTTTGACTTTCCATTTCTCACCCTACCTATGTTTTCAACTAATTCTGATGGGAATGATGGGGTACAAAGATATAGCTGTGCCATAGGATAGAGCTCTGGGGTAGGGTAGTGTACCCTTCCCTGCAAGTATGACCCCACCGGATGTTTGGGTCTAATCACCAGGGGTAGATGTATCATAGGCGCAACCCCCCCTGTCAAATCCTAGAAAACTTGGGCGCAAGGGTAGGGTCCAGTCGAAAATTGTAACCGCCACCCCCAAAAACCGTTATCAATGTGCCCAGCATCGATATAACTGCTGTAACTGTCGGCTGAAGAAAGAAACGAAAATCAAAAGCAGGGCGGCAATGGCCGTTGCAAACGATAATCTTGAGTAGGAGCAGCAAAGATCGCGAGGAGCGCGGCAAGGGAGGAGGAGGAGGAGGAGGATACTGACGATAGGACTCGGTACAGCCTTTGATACTAGGCTGAAAGTCTGATCTACCACGTCACTCGATTCCAACGATGAGTTCGGCACCAATGGAGAGGGAGGAGATTTTGGGGTGGGAATTATACGTGGACAACGTTATTGGAGAATGGAAGAAACAAGAGATATCAAAAGAGGAGATCATTAATGCAGAGATGTATGCAGAATCTGCATTGGCTCCGGAGAACCAACCATCATGCAATCGGAGTGATTCAGAAGAATTGGATCGACTTGATGAAGAAGAGAATGCAGACCCGAACATCAACACCGCAGAGTCTCCTCTCCTCTTGCGAGGATCTGCTAAGGTCAGCTCAGTACACAGCTCCTTCAAGACTCCTGGATTGCCAGCCGCACAATGCAAGGAAGGAAGGTTTGCGCAGGCAATATGCCAGGATTCGGGAAGGATTCAAACAGGACAGAAGGAGCAGGGCAGTTCGATTGCGAAAACTCAGCAGACAAGCAGCAAGGAGGCTAGGAAAGTTTCGAGCGCATCTGACTACAGCATAGAGATAGCAAGCCCCAGCTTCATGAGAGGAGGAGGGGGAGGAGAACGGGGAAGTCACTTGTTCGACCCAGATTCAACCATCCCAGCTCATCGTTCACTTCAAGGAGAGCGAGAAAATGCTGCAGTGACGCCGCAGGAGGCGAGATGCCGATCGATGCTAGACCATCGCGAAGCCCAGAGTGTGAGAAAATTGCTGAGGGCCACCACCGATGGAGAAGAGAGGAAAGTAAGAGATCAAGAGCAGGGGCAAGGGGACGAGGGAATCACAGATGATGAGGGGCTAGGTATGGAGGATGCAAGTGAGAGTCCCGCGAGAGAGCCCGGTGGGGACGAGAGCGAGACATTGGAGTTTTGCGAGGGATTGAAGAAACTGAACATGGGCGAGGAGGAACGTGATGAGGAGAGAATAGACGAAAGCATGCAGGATGTCGCGGATGGCAGGAACGAGGAGGGGAATTATCAACAGCGGCATGCAGGAGAGGAATGCTCGTCGCAAGAGAGCACGCGGCTGGATGCATCTATCGACTGCATCCCTGACAGTGAAGAGGAGCGGGAGGAGGAGGAAGTTGTTGAGAACTCAGGAAATGGGCTGAGTGCTGTCGGAAGGATGGGGGAAAGCCGGGAAGATCCTGTTGTAGTGGAGGAGAAGCCACAGGGCAAGGGGAGAGTCCAGGTTGGTCGAACGGGGGGCAGCAGGATGAGGAGGCTCTACCCCGCTGGTCCTTGTGTTGACAGCGCGACGATAAGGGACGAGGAGGAGGATGGAGGCGTTGCGGAGGAGGCAAGCACTGGTGGCAGCTCAAGGTTGTTCCTTGTGACATGTGCTCTTGATGGAGACTTTGATGGGTATGGGTGTGGTCGATGATGACGAAGATGGAGATAACGATGATGATGATGATGATGATGATGATGATGATGATGATGATGATGATGATGATGATACATGTTTCGCAACTGTCACATGATGCTATGATCAGGAGGATGACAATGGCTTCTTTTCTCAGGTCCGGCATGGCAGAGGATGAGGTAGAAAAGGAGATGGCAGGAGAAGGAGACGCCTCGAGTATGTCTTTACGACCATGGCAGCAGCAGGTGGGATGAGATAAGGGGAGGGAGAAAGATGGAAGAGGAAGAGTAAAGTTTGCTGCAGGAGATCGAGCTGATGATGGCGGAACTAGCAGCCTCCTCGATCAAGGTATTGTGAGCATGGAATGGAAGTGGAGGTAACCCCCGGGATAGTTGAACTGCTGCCAAGAAGTTGTTCTCGACTCAGCCTTCCGTGCAAGGTGATGAGGAAAGGAAATTCAAAACGTGGAGGAGAGGAGCAAGGAGGAGTGAAGAAGAGCTGTTGGAAGGAAGGAGAACAGGCAGGAGAAGGAGAGGTCATCAATCACTGTTCTTGCTAGGTTCCCTGTTCCTGGAGGGGCTCGAAGAAGTCAGGTGGGGGTGCGGGACATCAGAGAATGGTGCAGGAGGAGGCAGATGTTCTTTAACTTCGCCGGTGCGTCCCTATTGACTCCTTGAACTCGTTTCCCTTGCATCCTGCTCCTGCTGTTGCTCCTGCTCCTCCTTCCTCCCCTTCTCCTTCCTCATCCTCTCTGCCTGCTTCGAAGCCTGTCCACTCAATTCTCCTTCTCCTCCACCAACCTTCCTCACTGACATAGTCAGATCTGTATCCTTGCCTTGTCTTGCTGATGCGCCGTTGGCAGGTTTCAACTCTTGTCTTCCTGACAACCCAACGTTGTCGACAGCGAAACAGAAGCTGAGAAGCTGGCTCAAGTTCGGAGAGAAGGCGTGAGAGGAAGAGAGCAGGAAAAGGGAGAGATGTGATAGAAGGAAGATAAAGCAGTCGAATCCGTTTTGATGTTTTGTCAACATTCAGAGGGGAAGAGGACTCTCATAGTGTTCTGGTAACAAGCTTCCGCCACCTCCGCCACCTCCAGCCCCTTCACGCAGTGTCAACGGGGACAAAAAAATATTCGAGAACAGGGAGAGAAGGGAAGTCAGTCGTTCTAGCTGGAGTATTTCTAGGGGAGGAAGAAGGTGAGTGTGGAGTGTGGTGAAGATAGTCAGCGGAAGTGAGGAAGAGAAGATTTGGAGAGGTGGGGGGGGGGTGGGGGTGGGGGGGTAGAGACGAGGACGAAGGA